AGGTTAAGAGAGGTCACCCGGATATGGTTCCCCCTAGACTGCAGTTAAGCCGGATTGTAATTACCAAGTTCAGTTTCTATGATAGTTATACTGCGGAAGGTTCTTAAACAGCCTGAAGTCTCGACTAAAGGTCTTCAGACCCTCTCAATCTGAGTCTCTAGCGGGCGACTAACCTCCACCGTAGTAAACAGATTGAGGCCCTAAGAACAAAACCTCCACTACCGGAGTAAATCCGGTACAGAATAGTGAGTTGGTTCCTCGACTAAAGTCACCAACTCCCTACCTTCAATCAAGGATACTCTATTAACCTAGGCAGATATTCTCATTCTAGGTTAAAGCAGAAACAACAGGAATTTGATCAGGATTCAAGTCATTCAATCATAAAACCTCAATCGAATATAATCAAATCATAGAATCAGTACTTGGGTTCATACAATCAAACCTAACATACAAATCTAGGGTTCTCCATACCCAGATGAATGGGAGAACTACTCCATGGAGAAGAAAACAAAAGCAGAATCAGACGTGGAATTCATACTGTGAAGGATGGATTCCTGCTCTTGGACGTTGATCGGCACTTCTCCAAGCTCAAACTGGCCTCCAATGGTGTTGAAGATCAAGCTAGGGCACTTGGAGAATCTTGTTCGTCGCTTTCTCTCTCTAGGAATCGTTCTCTCTCTCAAAAACTCGAATCCCCCCGAATTGTGGCTGAAAATCTGCTTAAAATCAGAAAATCCCGACTCACACGGCCAGGGTGGCACGGCCGTGTGGCTTACCCAGTTGCCCGTGTGAGTCAAAACGCTGTGTTCCAATTAGTTCGATCTTCAGGCTTCTCACACGGCCAGGGCGGCACGACCGTGTGAGATTTCCATCTGCCCGTGTTTGCTCTCGCAGAAATCCACACGGCCAAACCACTCCTTCACACGGCCGTGTGGATATCAGGGCAGGCCGTGTTTTCCCTCGCACAATCTCGCACGGCCAAAGTGGTCACTTGCACGGCCGTGTGAGTTGTGGGTGTGCCCGTGTGACCTCCTTTGTGACTTGCCTCGCGCCCGATCTTCGCCCAATCGACCCCGAACTCGCTCCTAAACCTTCATTCACTTGCCAGGACCTGAAATATCACAAACAAGCACAACCTAGCGTGAAATCGGTCTAAAACACGAGAAACCACATCTCAAACGGTGTAAGAACAGGGGTGAAAACATGTGTAACTAACGGTCTATCAAACTCCCCCACACTTAACCGTTTGCTTGTCCCCAAGCAAACCTAACTCAAACCAATGCAACTCTCCAGACCTCTATAGCAACAAACAACCCAGATCGTAGGTAGAGGACTTCCTAGGTCATTTAGTAGCTTACGAGGTCAACCGACGCACAAGTCATCTCATAGCTTCTTCGGCGAGAGCACTAGTATCGAGTCGGAATCATGGCAAATAGTGAACAGAGGACAAATGAATTGTGGATGAAGAGATTCTAAAAAACAAAGGATCATGGACTCACATTTTTCAAGGTGCTCTATTTTCTTCTTGAAGATGGTTGGAACCCCTTTTTCTTTCTGTTTTGCTTGTTTTCTGTTATTTTTTCCTTCTTTTTTTTTTCTTTCAAGGGTCCCAACCTGCTCTTACCGGCCATGCCAGGAGCGGATGTCTCGAGCCTTGTGCGGGGGAAAGACATGTAAGGGGGCTGGAGGTAGTAGGTGGAAATTGGGAACGAATTCCCGTCTCCCCTTACACACTTTCACCCTATTTGCACGGGAGACGTTATTTCAAAGCACATTTCTGAGCACCTGTTATTCTCAAAACATGATACAAGAGTCCATGACAGGTAGAGAATCCACAACACCACACAATTCAAGGGTCCTAAGATCACTAATTCACTCAATCAACCAACACAATATGAAGAAGAAATGAGACTTCTTAAATGCATCAACATCCTCCATAGTGCTACACTACCTCCCTAGGTTGCATATTACTATAAAGACTGTCAATTCAAAGCATACTGAGCAGGCAATTGCAAGGAACACGTACTTGGAGCCCTCAAATTTTAAAAATTTGGACAGTGGACTAGGCTCCAAGCACACAAACAGATCTAATGCAGTCAAAGATAAACATCCCCCCACACTTAAGATCGACATTGCCCTCAATGGAGAAGAGGGAATGAAAAGGGGAACGATGTTACCGGTATGCACGGACTGCAGGAGACTGGAAGCGGACCAGTCGGAGTGAAGTGGACTGGAGAGAGGACCAGTCAGGGCAAGCACAGCCAAAGGAAACCAAAAAGCTCAAACACAAAATGTTAGGTCCAATGGTCAGCCCAATAAAACATCATCCAAAACCAAAGAAAACAAACCAAAACCAAACTAGTTTACAATCCGACTCAAAACACAAGAAAGAAAATCAAATTGTGGTGGGGTTGCCTCCCCACAAGCGCTTCTTTACCGTCTTTTAGCTGGACGCCCATGGTGGATACTCAGGGCGGTGCAGGAACAGGTGCCTCCAAGAGCGGATCCACGTCGCTCTTGAGGTACAGCTTCAGGTTGTGGCCATGCACCCGACGGATGCGACCACCATCATCAGTCAGCTGGACCTGGCCATCCGGCAAGATGCAGGCGAGTGAGTACCCGGACGGCCAGGGTGGTCGTGGTGCAGGAGGTGGGACCAGCTCATAGTGGTCTCCACTCTTCTTCCGTGCAGGCTTAGCAACCTGCGGCTTCGGCCGCCACTCCTCCTTGATATTTTTGTTCAGAGGCGAGGCTGGATGGAGTGGCGGCGAAGGAATGATAGGAGGGTCTTGCAAAATGAGAGGAGCAGAAGGATACACGACAGGCTCGTGTACCTGATCAGACATAGCATGCACAGGGGTGACAATAATCATAGCACAGTGATCAAATTCAGTCACAGAAAAAGTAGCTTGTTCATTCCCAGCACGCAAGATCAGTTTACCATCATGCACATCAATAAATGCCTTGGCGGTGGTAAGAAATGGCCTACCTAGAATCAAAGGCACATCCACATCCTCATGTATATCAAGAATAACAAAATCAACAGGATATGTGAATGCACCGACACTGACAAGCAGATCCTCTATGATTCCCCTAGGATGCACAATGGAACGATCAGCTAGCTGAATGCTCATCCTAGTAGGGCTAAGTTCACCTATGTCTAGCTTTTTATACAACTTATATGGCATGACGTTTATGCTAGCGCCTAGGTCCGCCAAGGACTTGCCTACATGCATGCTGCCAATAGTAAGAGGGATAGTAAAACTCCCTAGATCCTTGCGCTTCTCTGGCAGCTTGTTCTGCAGGATGGCAGAACACTCCTCACTGAGCATCACTATCGAAAGATCCCCAAGTTTCTTCTTGTCGGTGAGGATGTCTTTCATGAACTTGGCATACTTGGGCATCTTCGACAGTGCCTCCACGAACGGTATGCTGATGTTGAGCTGCTTCAACATTGCCATGAACTTGGCAAACTCCGTCTCCAGCTTGTCTTTGTGTAGGCGAGTGGGGAAGGGAAGCTGGGGCACATGCTCCTTAACCACTGGTTGTGGCTTGGGAGCAGCGACTTCCTTCTCCACCCGCACTGCTGCATCGTCTGTTGGAAGTGCTGAAGCAGGTAGTGGTTCCTCCTGTCTGGCCGGGACAGGATCAGCAGATATGGTCTTACCGCTACTGGTAAAAATGGCATCCAACTGCTGATGCTAGTGAGGATCTCGAGGATTCGGAACAGTGGTGGCATGCAGAGTCCCCGGTGCCCTAGTGGTGTTTTGGCGGGCCAAGATGCCCACCTGGGTCTGCAGATCCTGCAAAATGGCACCCTGGTTCCGCTGACCTGCCTCCAGTGATGTGATAGCAGCCTGAGTGCTAGTCATGAATGAGGCTAGAATATTTTCCAGCTTCGTCATCCGATCATCTGGGGCTGGAGCTGCTGCTGGCTCGGCAAACTGGCGCTGGGGTTGCTGGAATGGCTGCCCCTGCCTAGGCTGGTAGGGCTGCTGCTGTGGGTCTGGCACCTGGCGAGCCTGGAAGGGCTGCCTCTGCTGAAAACCACCTGCTGGTGCTGGGAAACCAGGTGGTTTAGTGGTGTTGCTGCTCCAGGCGAAGTTGGAATGCTGGCGCCACCCCTCATTATATGAGCTGCTGTACAGGTCAAGGCGCCGAGCATTGGCGATGAAGGCCAACTGCTCCTGGGGTGTGGTAGACTCTCTCATAGCCTAGCAGTCATCCACTAGGTGATTGGAGCTCTCGCACCACTGACATTGAGCTACTGGAGGTGTAGCCAAACCTCTGCCCGGAATAAGACTGTTGGGCTGCTTCAATGTCTGCACTAGCTCAGCTACCTGTTGCTCGAGCCCGGATCTGGTCTCCATGGCGTGCACACCACGGTCCCGGGACTGTCTGCCTCGGCTACTCTGTCTCCAAGAATGATCTCTGGCAGCCAAAGTACTGATCATTTGGTTCAGCTCGGGTGGAGTCTTAGTAAGAATATCCCCTCCTGGGCATAGAGACTCAATCACCCCCTGGTTTTGATTGTAGTCTTCCATCTCGTACTCCTCCTCAGAATCACTGCTCACGTGGCCGTCTATGCGCTCTTCCGTAGCCAGTCTAGCTCGCTGTTGTCTCCTGAGCTGGCGACAGGTGCGGTCAATCTCTGGATTCAACGGCAGTAGACCTCCTGACTGGCTACGGGTCATGCACTACCTGCACACACTCAAGCAAACAAACCCGTGAAGGCACAAGTGAGAAAAAGCAAATAAAGCAAAAAGAAAAGCTAAATTAACAGAAATCACTTTTCTTCAACAACCTAGCCGTCCCCGGCAACGGCGCCAAAAACTTGACTCGACTCTACTATCACCCTAGGAATTGTCCAAGTGAAACCACTTCCTAAAGCGTAGTATAGCGGGTTAGGTTTAATTATCAACCCGGGTCCTAGATCTGATGACTACTCAGTGAATTCTTGTTATCTAGCAATGAAACTGGAATGCAAGTCTAAACTATCAAACTAACAAAGCAAGTAAACTGTTGTATTCAGGTTAAGAGAGGTCACCCGGATATGGTTCCCCCTAGACTGCAGTTAAGCCGGATTGAAATTACCAAGTTCAGTTTCTATGATAGTTATACTGCGGAAGGTTCTTAAACAGCCTGAAGTCTCGACTAAAGGTCTTCAGACCCTCTCAATCTGAGTCTCTAGCGGGCGACTAACCTCCACCGGAGTAAATAGATTGAGGCCCTAAGAACAAAACCTCCACTACCGGAGTAAATCCGGTACAGAATAGTGAGTTGGTTCCTCGACTAAAGTCACCAACTCCCTACCTTCAATCAAGGATACTCTATTAACCTAGGCAGATATTCTCATTCTAGGTTAAAGCAGAAACAACAGGAATTTGATCAGGATTCAAGTCATTCAATCATAAAACCTCAATCGAATATAATCAAATCATAGAATCAGTACTTGGGTTCATACAATCAAACCTAACATACAAATCTAGGGTTCTCCATACCCAGATGAATGGGAGAACTACTCCATGGAGAAGAAAGCAAAAGCAGAATCAGACGCGGAATTCATACTGTGAAGGATGGATTCCTGCTCCTAGACGTTGATCGGCACTTCTCCAAGCTCAAACTGGCCTCCAATGGTGTTGAAGATCAAGCTAGGGCACTTGGAGACTCTTGTTCGTCGCTTTCTCTCTCTAGGAATCGTTCTCTCTCTCAAAAACTCGAATCCCCCCGAATTGTGGCTGAAAATCTGCTTAAAAGCAGAAAATCCCGACTCACACGGCAAGGGTGGCACGGCCGTGTGGCTTACCCAGTTTCCCGTGTGAGTCAAAACGATGCGTTCCAATTAGTTCGATCTTCAGGCTTCTCACACGGCCAGGGTGGCACGGCCGTGTGAGATTTCCATCTGCCCGTGTTTGCTCTCGCAGAAATCCACACGGCCAAACCACTCCTTCACACGGTTGTGTGGATATCAGGGCAGGCCGTGTTTGCCCTCGCACAATCTCGCACGGCCAAAGTGGTCACTTGCACGGTCGTGTGAGTTGTGGGTGTGCCCGTGTGACCTCCTTTTTGACTTGCCTCGCGCCCGATCTTTGCCCAATCGACCCCGAACTCGCTCCTAAACCTTCATTCACTTGCCAGGACCTGAAATATCACAAACAAGCACAACCTAGCGTGAAATCGGTCTAAAACACGAGAAACCACATCTCAAACGGTGTAAGAACAGGGGTGAAAACATGTGTAACTAACGGTCTATCACATATCGTGAATTCGTCAAACCGGGTCCTTGCGTGATTACCAAAAGGAGTTCGAGAAATTGGCTAATCGCTGCGTCGGCTGGACGCAACATGTATTGGTGGGCACCTATGAGGGAGGTTTGAAGTCGAAGATCGCTGACGAGATCCAGATGTTTCGTCCACAGTCTTTGCGCGACGCCATTAGTTTGGCAAGGATGAAGAATGACCAAATCCAGCATCACAAGCCGGTTGGTCGTGGGGCGCCGCCTGCTGGAGGAGGAGTGGTGACAGACAGTGGTGGTGGTGGAAATAATATGAGAACTGCAAGCTCGGGATTTCAAGGAGGGGGACCACCGCGTTGACCGTCAGGAGGGAAGGGAATGACCTAGGAGGAGCTGCAGCTGCGAAGAGCTCAAGGTCTGTGTTTTAACTGCGATGAGCGGTTCGCCATTGGGCATAAGTGCAGTAATGCTAGGGTGATGTGCTTGTTCGAGGAAAAGGACTGTGAGGGTCAACCTTGGGGACAAGGTTGATTTCAACGGGGGAGGATTGATGAGCGTATTTTTTGGTATGGGTTTTGAGAATTTTTGGATTTGAGCTAGGAGTCTCTTTCCTTGTAGTTTCGGTTTTCCTTGTATGCTTTGGGTTAGGGGTGTTTGGGTAGGATTAGGTTACGTATTAGGATTTTCTAAGTTTATAAATATGTAACTTGGGTATTAGTTCCGTATTGAATAATAAAACTAAAGCTTTATCGACACCAACGTCGTTTTCTCGCTTGTGAGCTACAAGCAACTCCGAACAGAGAGTGTCAGTTCATCATCTTTAGGATAGGCGATTTCCGACAAATGGAGGGCAAATGAAGTGATGCCTTCTTCCAAGTCCTTTGCAGCTGCACCATCTACAACTGCTTCTTGTTTCTTCTGATAGATGGATTTTTCTACACTTCTTCCTCTTCGAGATAGAGCCAGCCATAGACAAACCCAAAAGCAGCAGCAGATGGAGTAGCCACCAAACGATTTGGGAAATTATCAATTGATGCACTACTTTGGAAGTAATTGCCCTACATCAATCCCTTTTCATTCTCAAAATCGCTTCGCACATTAGGGTTTGTGGGTCAAAAGTTCATTTTCAAGCAATTCTCAGAGCAATTGGCGTCTGTGTCCCATCGTCGTCGGTTCCAGCACTGCGTTTGTCAAGGATTGAATTTCTTCTTCGTTGGTGAGAGAAGCTAGCTCATGTTCGCCGTTGGATAAAAATGGCGGATACCAACTAAGCGAAGCTCTGCCACATCACCGTCATTCATCGATTCAATGACTCTGGGCCAAGCTGTCAAAAATCATAAACCGCCAATTCCATGAGTCTCTAGAATACCCTACACAACTAGAAGCATCAGCCAACTACCTACAATAATAGAAATAAAATAATATAAACAAAATACAACCACATATGAAACCTACCCATCCAAATAATTCATGTATCTGGAGCATTCCTAACGGCGGTGGAGTGTTTTGGAATTTATATAAATAGAAGCCTTTGTTAGGCATGCAAGATCAGAGAGAGCTAGAGAGCATATGCTCCTCTAAAAAAGGTTAAGGCAACAAACTTGCCTAATCCGAATATGGAGAAAATGTGGACAGAGTATTTGTGAGGGTAGAGGCAAAACAATAAAGAGCAGCAACTCTTAATGTAAAAGGCAACAATTGTCGATATGTAATATTGTTCGGGTAAAAATATTGGAGTGAAATAATTTCCTCTGATATATTCATTCCTAAATTCCATCATATTTCCGCTGTGCCCCAACAAATTTGGTATAAGGGCCGATGATATTATTTTCCTATCCTCCTAAGTCAGTCCCATATATCCTACCCATAAAAAAATTTCCCCCAAATAATGGCAGCAGTCAAGGCGAACACAATGTTCGTACATACTGAGGAAGACTCTGACAAAATGTCAGAAACATGGTTGAAGCAAAACAATCATAATGGAGCAAGGCTACTGACACGCTAAAATACAACACCAAACTACGACCAAGTGTATTCGCAGAATGGAAATGCAGTATAGTGGAATCAAGTAATAAATATCAACACAGGGCCTAGATGTACTGCCTACTCCGTGATTATCTATTATCTAGTGAGAAAGTTTAATGAAAATTAGTTTAAACTAAAGCAGAAAGAAAGCAGTAAATTGTTCGGTTTCATGAAGCAAGAGAAGAGTCACTCGGGAATGAGTCCCCCTAGCTCCTTAGTTAGGTCCAAGTTGTAATTTCCTTTGGTTGATTTACCGTTGATTAAACTACGGAAGATCCGACAGTAGTTTGGAATCTCTTAAGCTGACCAAACTCTCTTAGACAGACTAACCGGCAGACAACTAGTCCTCACCGGAGAGAAAGCTAAGAAAATTAACACATAACTCCACTATTGGAATTGGATTCCAGTACAAAGCAGTGAATCGACTAACTCTCATATAATCAATTCACTACTATCGATTGAAGAAGCTCTAACAACCTATTCAGATTCTATCTATCAAAGGTTGAAGCAGAAATAAAGAGAAGTTGATTAGGATTCAATTGACTCAATAAACACACTTCAATCGATTATAATCAATCAATATATCAATCCAAAAGTCATTACAACTCAAATCTCTAACACATGGAACTAGGGTTCTTCATACCCAAGTGAGAGAAGGGTCTACTCCATAGAGAGAGAAGAAATCAGAATTCAAAGTAGTCATACTCATAAAGATGGGAATAATCTGGTCTGGGATGTCAATCTTCACTCCTGGGGATGCAATATGGGCTTCAATGGTGAGAAATCCACTCCAAATAGATCCTAGGGTTTGTTCTTCACACTTTCTCTCTCTAGAACTCTGTTTTTTGCTCAGAAAAGTTGAATCCCTTCTCCAAAACTCGAAAGTAGTTTAAGAAGCAGTTGTCCACGATTGCACGGCTAGACCGCACGGCCGTGCAACCTCCTTGACTGCCCGTGAACCCCAAAATGCACCGTTTGAATTCGTTCCGTCAGGGGAGTGCACGGCCATTGCACGGCTTGTGCAAACCGAGAGCGTGGTCTTGCAGCTCTCTCCCAGAAAGCATCACGGCCAAAAATTCATTTGTGCACGGCTGTGCGAAAAAAGGGATAGGCCATGCAAAGTCTCGGTAAATCCCACACGGCCAAAAAGGTCACCTGCACGGCCCGTACCACCTTGCCCGCGCAAAAGGATGATGCACATCTACCATGCACGGCCGTGTGCTTTCCCGTACTGGCCGTGCAACTCGTCTACACTCCATAGCTCGTCCCGTCTTCGCCCAATCGACCCCAAACTCGTGCTCAAACCTTCATTCAAGCATTAGGACCTGCAATATCATAAACAAGAACAAGCTAGCGTAAAATCGGCTTAAACCCCGATATCCGAGCCTTAAAAAGTATAATAATGGTAGACTAAAACATGTGTAAATATCGAGTCATCAGCTACCAAAATGGAGCAAGCCGAAGAGGAAAATCCGACGACAACAGCAACATCAACTCAACTGCATTATATGTCAGAAGACGGGACATGCAACAAAATGTTACATGTTCAAATGCAGGAAGAAGACCAAGAAGATGAAGAATCAAACTTCTCTCAAGGTGAAGAAATGAATCAGGTGTCACTCGCGACATCGAAAATGGTAAAAATTCAGAACTAGGATTTGCGGATTAAGAGGGGGTGTCAAAAATCATAATCCGCCAAAGTGAGCATGAAAAAAATGCTTACTAGACCCATCAGCCGACTACCTACAATAATAGAAATAAAATAATATTGAGAAAATACAACCACATATGAAACCTACCCATCCAAATAATTCATGTATCTAGAGCATTCCTAACGGTGGTGGAGTGCTTGGAATTTAGTACAAATAGAAGCCTTTGTTAGGCATGGAAGATTAGAGAGAGCTAGAGAGCATATGCTCCTCTCAAAAGGGTTAAGGCAACAAACTTGTCTAATCCAAATGTGGGAGAAAATATGGGCTGAGTGTTTGTGAGGGTAGAGGCAGAACAATAAAGAGCAGCAACTCTTAATGTAAAAGACAGCAATTGTCGATATGTAATATTGTTCTGTTAAAAATATTGGAGTGAAATAATTTCCTCTAATATATTTGATCCTAAATCTCACCATATTTTCGTTGTGCCCCAACACAAGCTTGTTGTCAAAGACGATGAATAAAGCAGGGGAAAACGATGATGATGACACGAGATGGATAGATTCAATATTCAGATTGTGTGGGCGTGCTTGACCCAAGCTTTTATGAATCTCGTCGTTCAGAACCTCCGCCACCATAAAGTCGAGAATTTGGGGGTTGATCTATGCGTCATTACAGTAGTGAGTTTAGAGTTCTTATGCCTAAAATTGGATCTTCTCGAATATTCGGTCTTACCGCCATCGTCTGGATCTTCGATGGTTGATTACATAATTTCCTGAACTTGTAGCGTCTTACTACCTGCCAACGTCGAATGGATTATGTCGCCCACAAAGGTAGATGATAGCTGCCCAACATCCCTATAAACAATGAAGGTCGGATCATAGTTGATTTATCAGACTTGCTTCTTACTTATTTGTTAGCGCCTACGGGCGAAATCAAAGAAAAATTGAATACATTGGGGTGGAGCTTCATTTGGCATGGGAGAGAGAGAATGATGAAACAGTGGTTTAGGTAAGAGGAAGAGTGCTTTGACTTCATGGAAAAGGAAAGTGTAAATTTATAATAATAATTTTTTAATTAAGTTATGACATGTAATTATCAAAATAAATTTAAATTATGATGTGTTACTTGCTTATTTGTCAATTTTTTAGATTTGTCATACCACAACTACAAAATCAGGTTATAAGAGGTATTTCTCCAATATTGGCTATTATTGTCACAAACACAAAAATTTTGGCTATACAAATAAATTTTTCTTTTTTTATCCAAAATTTGGACAAAAATGTTTTGTTTGAAAATTCATGCCAAAATTGTCTTTTATGACAAAGTGTAAGCCAAAATATGGCATTAGCCCATTATTTTTTTTATGTTAACAATGTAGAAGTGTATTTAAATTATTTTAAATAATTTCTATGATTATATTTTAGTATTAAGTGGTTAATCAAAATCGAACTAATTAGCACCGTACTTCTATTCTTATGAAGATTCATTGAAAGTTCGTCGACTACTCCTCGAATGATGTGGTACTAATGTAAGGATTGCTTGTGGAGAACAAAGTTGTGGTGTCATCGCTCAAAGAGAAGAAGAGAAAATAGACTCTGCAAGGGGAAAAACTCCCAAAATACGTTAGTTAGTAAAAAAAAATCCCGCTTTCCATTAACACGGTAAAATAGTTCACCACGCTAGGTTACAGCGGAGATTTTGTCCACGTTTCCACCCCTGATAGGTGAAAAATAGGTCACAACCACCTAATGTTCACCGCCTTAGGTTAACGCAGTGATTAGCTTTCCCGCTTTTCACAACGGCGATGAATGCTCCCTGACTGTAAAATAAATACCCACCCTCCCATGAGTTGTTGGAAACATACTCTCCCCATTAATGTCATATTTAAGCAAAAATCCCAGCAACTTCGCTTACAGAAGCTCCCATTTTTCGGTATGATATAATTCTGTATTGTTTATATTTTGATGTTTTAGTAGTTATATGAATGTATGTAATGAATTACTATTCGCGGCAAATATGTTATGTTAGAGATACTTAGATAAATTCTTGTATGATTGATGTTAGTTATGAATTTCGATGAATTTGTTCATAATACTCATATTATTGTAATGCTAGTTATGGCTCATGTTTCGATTAGTTAGTTGCCTTTGTTTATGAGTTTGAATAATATTATTTTCGTAGCCGTATTCGGCATGGTTTTGGTTAATTTTGTTCGACTTAAGCTAATAGTTACTTATTGTAAATTGCAGATATGGGTAAATTCAAGAAGTTTCAGCTTATTATATGGTGGAATGTCCTGGTGACAAGCTCTGACATTGGGATTGATTATGAAGACGGTGAATCCACTATGTTGAAAATTGAGTCGAGATTCACGTGGCAAGAACTCCGTGACATTTGTGCATACAGGGTTTGTATGGGCGGACAGACAAGAGTTGGTAAAATTACTTAGCGGTATCCAGACATGAGTGCTGGCAGGGTTATGTACCAATAAGTTGTCATATATGATGATGACGCAGTTACCATGATGTTACAGTTCCTAGACAATAACAGGATGCGACTTGCAGAGCTGTTTGTTGAGACCAAGGCGGTCGGTGAAACTCATTCTCACCAATATTCTTATGATGATGGTTTTGCAGGAGGGTACGGATGGGGTGGTAGTTCAAGAAAATACGAAGGAGGTGGTTATACAGGAGGTTACGGATTGGGATGGGTGGTATTTCAAGCAACTACGGAGGAGGTAGTGGCGCAAGAGGGGTGTCATGGGAAGAATACCCGCAACGTGATGAACCTATCCCATTTGTTGAGGCCGATGGCGTTCAATAGCCTGCTTGGGGTCCAGAGTGGGCTGACATTGAGAACACCTTTTGATCCGGGCGTACTTCGCATGAGCGAGAAAGCGATGTTGGTGATGGTGGTCATGTTGATCCTTCTAGCCCGAGCTATCCATTCGACTCGAGCGACGATGAAAGTGAGGAAGATTTGATATCAGTGACCGATAAGGAAGATACTGACGGTACCGACGACAAGGTGGCATTTTGTGAGGCACCAACACCATACCACACATAGGTTCCATCTCAATTTTTACATAGTCAAAATGATGCCCCCGACTTTGTCCCTTTGCCAGTGTATAATCTGATGGCCAACTTGGAGGTGGGTATGGCGTTCACAACGAATGACGATGTTCAGGATGCTTTTAGCGAAGATGCCATGCGCCGCAATTTAGAGTGTAACGTAAAATATTTTGACGGTTAACAACTACATGTCGTATGCAAGAATGCTGGAGAGGGCTGTATGTGGCAACTGCAGGCTGCAAATATGAAGAGAAAGGGTGCATGGCTGATTCGAAAAGCTGAGAACAACCACAACTGCTCCTCATCCATACTTTCACAGGATCACCGCCAACTTAAAGCAAAAAAAGTGGGGAGAATTATCAAGCACTTTATCGAGGCACAACCAGATATCAAGGTAAAAGCTATCATGGCTGAGGTGAATGATCAACATTCCTACACGATCAGGTACAAAAAGGCATGGCATGGAAAGCAGAAGGTCATGGCTGAGGTGTATGGTGATAGGGATGACTCGTATGCTTTACTCCCTAGACTAATGACCGTAGTGGAGGAGTCCAACCTTGAGACTGTTTTTGTGCCATGTTACAACAATGAATACACTGATGGTCAAGTTTGAGTACAAAATGAGTTTATGTTTCACCGGCTATTTTGGGCATTCAATCCATGCATTGACGGGCTTGCGTTCTGCATTCCAGTTATCTAGGTATATTACTGATTAATTACTATTCTACAAGTTCATTTTTCTTGATTAGTAAATTTTATACTGATTAAATATAAATTGTAATTAGGTTGATGGAACTTTCCTCACTGGGAAGTACAGAGGAACTCTTCTAATTGCCACTGGCATTGATGGAAATATGCGGATTTTCCCTCTTGCATTTGCATTAGTGGAAGGGGAGAACAGCTTAAGTTGGGCATGATTCTTTGACCAACTACACAACCACGCGACACAACAACAGGGTATTACGATTATATTCGATCGACATGCAGGGATTAGGAACGACGTGGGTGGTTTTCCCGACGAATGGGGATGGACATGGAGCTGGTGTATTCAACATTTTCTTGCCAATTTCTCCCACAAATTCGGGAAGAAGAAAGACATAAGAGATCAATTGTCGGATGCAGGTACTAATGTCTTTTTATGCTAGTTAATTAGACATAATGGATATTTTTTTTATCATGTATTGACCAGTTATTTTTGTTCACCTTGAAGCGGTTGCACATCAACCAAAAAAGTACGAGCAGATGAAGACGATTTGTCAGATACACGAGTGGGGGCAGTATGGGCTGAAGGTCAAGAGTTGCACATGTGGACATTCCATATGGACAACGGGGCCAAATTCGACATTGCTACTACCAACCATGGCGAAAGTATAAATGGAGTGTACAAGGGCCTTAGAGCGATGTATGTTTCTGTCATAGTGGAGATGTCGTAATGGAAGGTCAACGAGTGGTTTGTGAATTGGCTTCAACTAGCTATAGGGAGGGAGCTAGCTGGTCATTCGATAACACATCACGTCTTTAATCAGGACCAACCTTGAATTGTGATCTATCTTAATTGTCATTTAGTTGTAATGATGTTTAAGTTGTAAGCTTGTTTAGTGATTGTAATGATGTTGAGATTTTTTTATCAATCTTGAGATAAAATGGTCGGCATGTCAAAGCCCAGGCGCTCAAGAATGGGCGGCCCCCAGCCTGCGTCGGGTTCGGTAGAGTGACTGATGATGGCCTCTCCAGTTATCGACAGCCCGGTGAGGATTGCAACGTCTTTGAGGGTGATCGTCATTTCCCCTCCGGAAGGTGGAACGTATGGGTTTTGGGGCGCCATCGCTCTGCCATTGCCATAATCATATCGTTTTCGATTCTAATCCGCATGAAATGCCTCAACATACCCAACCCAGTCCTCTATAGATACGGAGACAGTTGATCATGGCAAGCGGGCAAGTTAGTGGTCCCTCTATGAATGACGAGAATAAGTGATTCCTACAAAAAAATAGAAAAAACATCGATTTGTTAGTCAAATGAAAGCAAAATAAAACCTTTTAACATAATGAACTAAAGTAAATTCTTTATAAGGTACATAGTGTTTACCGAATTGTTGTGCCAAATTGCACGGGAGCGATGTGACTCGTTTCGAATACCACAATGATTTCCCGTCTAAGGCCCAAGTATAAACCTTAGTCTGGTGTAGTATAGGACAAGTATGGTTAAATATCAACCTGAGTTGGTCCGTCTACCCCTAGTTCAGTCATCTTAATCATTATCTAGCAGTCAAAGGTTTGGTTTAAAAGTTTGCAAAGTAAAATAAACTAAGGTAAAGGTAATTGGTTTTGAAAACTCTTTGTGGGAAGATCACTCGGGTGTTGCTTCCCCCTAAATCCTACCATGGTACATAAACAGGAATGATCGCTTTGGGCGAGACAATCACTAACCACTAAGAGACGCAAAGGTGATCATAGACCACACTCGAGATTGATAAATCGAGGCATGCATTATAGGTTGTCACTACGCCCTCTCGGTTTAGCCAATCAAAGGTCGACTTACTCCCTCACTTTAACCCAAGGGTTGGATGGTTAATTGTGCTTTACCAAATTGTGTAATTCAATATCAAGGTTTGCCCTAAATTAACCTAGTTAAAAGGCTTAGAAAGCCCTAAGGATACCAACTCAATTGAGACTCCCTTGGAAGGGGAGGTTTCCCTCTCTAAACTAGGTTAATTGGTTAATAGGATTGCTAAGCATAAATATGCACATTCCTTAGGTTGCTAAGCACTAAACATGCACTAGCCTAAGGATGCTAAGCATAAATATGCACAATCAAGTGAAAAATACCTCAACCATTGAATTAAACAATACCCAATGGCAATCATTCAAATACACATAAAGGAAACTACATGGTAGAGTTAGGGTTTCACAACACCCAAGTGAAAGGGAAAACTAATCCATACTAAGTGAGGAAAACACAAGGAGAAAAGAAGAAAACCATCTTGAAGGATGCTCCCACTCTTCTTAATCCTTGTGCTGAAATTTCCTTGAAAGAATTCTCCTCAAAATCCACTTTGGAGCAAACCCTAGCTTTCTTCTTCTCTTGGTTCGTGTTTCTCTCTCTAGGATGCAGAAGAAAGTTTTTCACACAAAATGGGCTCTCCCTTCTCTCGAAATTTCAGCTCACATTTTATACCAGGGACGATCTCAGTTCACGGCCTGAGTTCATGGCCGTGAACCATCAAACGCGTCCGTGAACTTCAGGCGTGCGCCAAAACGCAGTGCGTCGTTCACTCTCGTTGACGGTCAACAGCCTTCGTTCACGGTCTTAGTGACCGTGAACACACCTTGCTTCGGTAACTTCTCGAAATGTTCTGGAGGCCTTGCGATTCACAGTCATCAGCCCTTCTTCACGGCCAAGCAAGGCCGTGAACTTCCTTTCCAAGCCGTGAACTACCCTTTTTCACCTCTTCTCCCCTTTTTCGATCCTTTTCGCCCAACTTTCGACTCCAAGGATGGTTTCACCTGTTAAATCCTGAAACATGCTAAAACACTAGAAACCTAGCGTAAAACCAACCTTTTAGGAGCGAATTTTCCACTAACATCTAAGTAAAACAAGGGTAAAACATGTACAATTAGGCCCGAATCACTCCCCCACACTTATCTCTCCTTTCCAAACTAGCACCCATCATGAACTACGTTGAAGCACTATTCCTCGGTCTACTCTTGCTATCATCTTTCAATTTGGTAGTAAAGGAGTTCTAAAACAATGTTGGGGCTTCAATGGCTTGAGTTCCAAGAAATCCCTCCTAGAGCATATGCTTTGTTTTTTTTTTTTTTTGGTGGCACTCTCTACTTTATTTACCCCGTTTTATTACCTCTTTTTCATTTCTCTTTTCTTTTCTTTCTTTCTTTTCTTTTTCTTTTCTTTTTGAGGGGGTACTAGAGAGTAAAAACACTTGCCACCTATAAATTTAACGGCCAATGCTCTCTATTTGAAGAACTCACTCCAACACTACATTTCATTTTTCATTCCTAGCTAGAACCGCACACAATCCTCCTATGTGAAACCTCGATGGAACTCAAAAATGAGAGCTCCAGGAAACAAGGACGACTCATGTTTAGACACAAAGAAAGGATTGGTGGGGGTCGCTCTATTAACACCATTAAGCTCACAAAATTGAGAACGGCCCCCAAAGTCACAAGGCTCAAAGAGGTTGACTAAGGGATGACACATTTCGGGACAATCAACATTTGGGCGTGGACTAATCCTATGCCTCCATCATACTTACTAGTGACAACTGTAATGTTACACACCATGGTAAGAGGGATCTAAGCACACAAGAAGAAAACGATCGGCTCAAAGCTCACAAGGCTACATAGTCACCCAACCATCTATTCCAATTCACAAACACGATGCATGGCAATTGTAGTCAACAAGTAATCGCGTTAAGACATCCATTCATTTATGACTCATGAGAACTTAACTTTTGCACTATCCTAATGAACTTCTCAGTCATCATCATAGAATGTACGCGATCACATGCAACAATTCAAGATCAATGGCAATAAACACTAGAATTTCCCACACACCGGCCACTTTGATCACGCAAACATTGCTTGCAGCCCTCAAATTTTTAAAATTTGGGCATATCTAGGCTCCAAGCATCATCACACACACATAAGCATAATAGTAAACTACCCCCCCCCCCCCCACACACACACTTAACTTCAGCATTGCCCTCAATGGCGCAAGAAAAGGGGTAGAGTGATGTTACCACTTGGGTTTGGTGAGTGAAAGTTGGTTTCGAATCCGGGGTAGGAAATTTGAGCTTCAAGGGGAAACAAAAAACACACACACAAACACAATACGACTCGCTCGAGGCAAGGTTATTACATAACACAACACATAGTAGTAGTAGTAGTTTATAGGCAGAAACACACTAAATAAAGAAAAAGAACAATAACAAGTTCAGGGTTACAAGTGGAGAAGTGGGCTGAAAGTAATTCGGCTCTGCCACATGTCTCACTTGTCGGCTACCTCTCTCGGGTGGAAGGACCCTCGTCATCGTCGGAGAGGATGCCCTTGTGGCGAGCCATGCGCTCGAGGAGATCGGACTGCCGCTCGATTCGGGAAGAGAATCCCACGAAGTTTGTCTCGAGGTGATGCACCCTCTCTACGAGGGGATCGCCAGCTGCTGGTGGTGGTGGTTGTGCGAGGCGCTAGAGCGCTGGATGCCACCGGCAGCCGGGTGCACATGCAGGTGGCTGCTCAGCTGGTGGTGGGACCTCAGGGTCGGGCTCTACTGGATCCGGGTGGACAGCTGCTCGAATGACCCCTGAAGGTCGGAGTCCCTCCAAGTACTCCACTCCTCGCTCTCCCTGGAGCACCAGCTTCTGGTTATAGAGCTTTTCCACTAGGAAGGGAGTCATCCTCCCGTAGCTGGTTCATCCAACTAGGTTCACCTGGAAGTGTCGGGCTATCCTCGTGATGAAACCCCCCATATGCATCGTGTCCACTCTGTTCCGCCCCTGACATCAGGCGAAAGAAGTGGCTATCAGGGATCCCATGTGGATCGGCTCAGTAGGGCTCCTCATGGAGTAGAGGGCCACGAGTCCTCTGTTCGTCATCAGATGACCAGACTGGCTGCTGGGGACGACGGAGTGGGTGAGCAGGGTGTGGAGGATCCTCAACTCGTTCTTCAGCTTCACCGCATTGGTGCGGCTACCGGTGAACTCGTCAGACTTGTGCTCGGAGTGAGAGAGGGCATGAAAAACTATTTGATAGTCAAAGTCGACGGAGTACTGCCGCTCCGTCATCGTCATGTGCGTGGGGTCGAGCCCCATAGCCTGGGCGAAATCATCATAGGATAGCATCCGAGGCTGACCTCCCAGCATAAACTCCACCCGTGGGCGGATCTTCTTGCTGGCCGGGACAATGTGGGAGAATGTGGAGTAGAACTCCACACACAGCTCGTAGTAAATCTCCTCGACCATCGTCAAGATCTGGCGCCATCGGGGGTGAGAGAGCACCTCGGTCATCGCGGCTCGGCACCTGAACAAGCTGAACATGTCCAGGTCCAGCCGCCAGTGAGGCCCAATGGGACTGCCATTTTGGTAGGCGAACTTGTGGCCAAAATCCGGGTGGTTCACCAGCTATCTGATGTAGTCGTGCTGCACGTTCACCATCCTGCACAAACGGACAAACATACACCATACGTGAAAACATTTGTCAAATAATGCTCATTGGGAAGAAAAGAAATTCCCCCCACACTTATCGCTCCACCATGGATAAAACATTTAAGCTCAAGCTCACCGTGGCATGGTTGTGGTAGTTCACGGTTCAATCACACACAAAAAATTGAACCACAACCCAAACCACGGTGGCCACCATCCAAAAAATAATCACAAACTCCACTTGCATTCATAACATAACACTTGGTGGGCAAATTCTAAAAATCAAAGTAATTCGGATCAACAACGCCCACCAAGGATCAATAAAGCTCATGCAAAAATCATTCCACCATTCAAACGACCTAATTCACCTAAGTTCTTGCCCTAAATCTAGGTTCAATCATGCAAAGCACAAAAATTCACCTCACTTCGCTACCTAATCCGATTCTCCAAAAATTAATAAGGTAAAGTCGAAAAACCAACCTGGAGACACAAGTAAGACAAAGGAGGAAGTGAGGTGCGGGCGAGGAAGGTTAAAACGGTTGGAAAACAGACCGGGGAGGGTCGTCGGAGCTTCAGCGGAAGCTCGTCGAAAAACTCGCCGCCGGTGACTTGGCCGGAAAAAATGTGCCCCAAATCTCCCCAAAATTCAGCACAAGCCGGTCTTGAGGTGAGGAGACTGGGTATGACGTTGGTTTTTATTTTTGCTCGCCGGATTTGGGGGGAAAATCGAAAAACCGACGAATTTTTGCGGATTTCCGACGAAGATTGAAAATTTTCCGACGAGATTTGGTCGTGAAGTGAAGAGTCGCTGTTCACACCCTTTTTATAGGCACGACCGTGAAACCTCAAACGCGGCCGTGAACTGCGGTTGGTCGCCACGTGGTGAACATGCAGAAGCGCCCAGTTCACGGACGCGTTTGCATGTTCACGGTCTTGTAAGACCGTGAACACAACACTCCGTCCGTGAACACTAGTGAAAATAGGGCACTTCTAAAGAAAAAATTGACCCAACCTATTCCACCGTGCCTCCTAATCCACACAACACAACCTTAAACCGCAAAATCACAACTTTGGCATGGGGACACTTCACCACTCGAACTCTTCACAAGACACTAAAACGACAAATAAGGAAAAGAAAACAAACCTCCGTTGGGTTGCCTCCTAACAAGCACTAGTTTATCGTCATTAGCTTGACGGTTGGGGATCGATCACTAGTTTAAACATGATGCCACCTAGAGCGGATCCACCATACTCTCGGGGAGAGGCTTGTAGCCTCCCATCTCCAGCTCCATGAGTTGACCCTCTTGATTGGCCAACCTCGCTTTGGCCTTCTCCTTCCTCCGGGCCAAAGCTTCCTTCATCTTTTTCCTCCAAGCATTCTTCCTCTTCTCTTTGGGCATAGTACCCTCCTTCACTTCCTGTTTAACATCATCAAAGGCAACACAAGTAATGGTGGGGTTTGCCTTGAGAGGCTCTCCTCCACTCTCATTCACATCATGTGCAACCATCTCCTTCACTCCTTCACTCCTAACCTTAGGGTCAATCTAAGCTTAATTCTCTCCTTATCATCCCCTCAAAATTAAGGTTCCCTCATTCACATCTATCAATGCCTTGGCGGTGGCAAGAAAGGGACAGCCGAGGATGAGTGGCATATCCGAGTCCTCACTTATGTCGAGATACACGAAATCGGTCGGATAGCAAAACTTGCCCACTGTCACAATCATGTCCTCCGCAATACCTCTCGAGCTAATGACCGAATGGTCGGCTAAAGTGATGCTAAGCTTAGAGGTCTTAAGTTCACCTACTTCTAACTTTTTGAAAAGCTTGTAGGGCATCACATTCACACTAGCTACTAGGTCCTCCAAGGCATTGTCAATATGATTATTTCCAATATCAATAGGGATAGTAAAACTACTTGGATCGGACCACTTCTTGGGCAAGCGGTTGAGGAGGTAAGTCGAGCACTCCTCGCCAAGGGTCACGTTGGCGAGGCCTTCAAGCTTGGGCTTCTTGGTGAGGAACCCTTTTAGGTACTTGGCATATCTCGGCATTTGGGCCATGGCTTCGAGGAAAGGGAGGTTGAGGTGAAGGTTGTGAAGTATCTCCATGAAGCCTCCACACTCATCGTCCAACCTCTCCTTGTACATCCTTGTGGGATAAGGAAGAGGTGGCGTGTACTCCCCCTCCGATGATGCCGTCCTTGCCGCCTTCCTTTCTCTCCTCGAGGGTTTCCTCTCTCCCTTCTTCGGGTTGGCACCTTCCTTAAATTGCTCTATCTTCTCAAAAATTTTGGATACTCTTACTCACAAAGGTGTTCACTAGGTCTTCAAGCTTAGATAGCTTGTCGGGTTGTTGTTGTTGTTGAAATTTGAAACCCTAGGCCACCTTGTGCTTGGTACAGTTGTTGGAAGCTTGATCCTTGAACTTGAGGCCTTTGTTGAATGAAGGTCGGCCGAGGTCAGTAGTTTCCCGTGAGGCCTTGAAAACCCGGGGGCCTCGGATTAGTCGGTGATGACCAAGCAAAATTGGGGTCGTTCCTCTATCCGAGGTTATAGGTATTGATATATGGGTTGTTGACCCTAGCATTTTCCACGAAGTTGACTTGTTCCTCCGGGATGGTTGCATCCTTCATTGTTTGACACTCCGCCATTTCATGACTAGTGCTTGAGCACCACTCGCACGACATCAACGCCCTTTTTCCTTGTCTCTTATCTTCAAGCATAACCTCAAGCAACTTGTCCAACTTTGCCTCAAGTGGGCCACTCGCTCCCACATGTGAAAATATCGAGTCATCAACCCCCCCCCCACCCCACACACACACACACACATACACTTAACCGTTTGCTTGTCCCCAAGCAAACCTAACTCAAACCAATGCAGCTCTCCAGACCTCTATAGTAACATGCACCCTCAATCGTCGGTAGAGGATTTCCTAGATCATTTAGCAGCTTACGAGGTCAACCGACAAACAAGTCATCTCCTAACTTCTTTGGCGAGAAAGCTAGTCTCGAGTCGGCATCATGGCAAATAGTGATCAGAGGACAAATGAGTCGTGGACAAAGGGACTCTAAAAAACAAAAGATCATGGACTCACATTTTTCAAGGTGCTCTTATTTTCTTTTTAAAGATGGTTGGAACCCCTTTTTTCTTTTTCTTGTTTTCTTTTTTTTCATTTTTTTTCAAGGGTTCCAACCCGATTTTCAGAAAACGGGGGTTCCCACCTAGCAAAGGTTTTGTGGGAACCCGGCTCTTACCGGCCATGTCAGGAGCGGATGTCTCGAGCCTCGTGCGGGGGAAAATATTGTAAGGGGGCTGGAGGTAGTAGGTGGAAATTGGGAGCGGATTCTCGTCTCCCCTTACACACTTTCGCCCTTTTCGCACGAGAGATGTTATTTTAAAGCACATTTTTAGCACCTTTTCTTCAAAACATTAAACAGGAGTCCATGACAGGTAGAGAGTCCACAGTACCACACAATTCAAGGGTCCTAGGATCACTAATTCACACAATCAACCAACACAATATGAAGAAGGAAGGAAACTTCTTAAATGCATCAACATCCTCCATAGTGCTACACTACCTCCCTAGGTTGCATATTACTATAGAGACTGTCAATTCAAAGCATATTGAGCAGGAAATTGCAAGGAACACGTAATAAGAGCCCTCATATTTAAAAATTTGGACAGTGGACTAGGCTCAAAGCACACACATACGACCAAACATTTACACGCATACATAATCGAACATCCCCCGACACTTAAGCACGACATTTTCCTCAATGGAGGATAGATAGGGAGGGTAAAACAAAGTTACCAGATCAAGTGTGAATGATGGTGAACGGGGAAGGCGATGTATTCCAGGAGGAGAGAGTAGTCGGAACACAAACACCACACAAAATCTCACAAAGGTTGAGTTATTGACTCTAAAATCAAAGAACAAAACTAACTCAGACAAGGAGAAATAGGGAAAGAAATGCAAACCGAATGGTTGGGTTGCCTCCCAACAAGCGTTTCTTTCACGTCAAGAGCCGGACGATGGCTCCTAAGTTTCGGTCCACCCCAAAACCTCTTTGAAGTTGAGGTTCTCGTCGACGAGGTGGAGTCTCAAGTCACGAGCATGTGGTGTGGCAGGTGATGAAGGCTCATGCACTTGATGCAGATGACGTCTCCACCCTCGAGACCTCTTCTTCTCTTCTCTTGTCTCATTGCCCGAAACTAGATATGACAACATCGATTGGCCACCATCGCGTCCACCAAGAGGGACCTATGTCGATATGGCCTTGGTCTGGAAAAGAGACACTACAAATGAGTCCTTGATAAGAAGTTCCTCGAAGTTTGGTGGAGATATCACATGTAACTCATGGCTGGTGCAAGCCTCTTCCACCTCAACTTCATCCTCGGCCTGGACGCCAATTGCTTCTTCAACCCCTCCTTCCTTCTTCAAAATGTAGTATCACCCCTGGGAAAAGATCAACAACTCCTTCTACTTCACTTTCTTCATCCTCCACAACTTCTTTATGCACCCTTTCTTGCTCTTCTTCTTCCAGCAAGGATTGGAGGGAAAGTCGCCAAGAAATTTCTTTGATGAGATCATCTTGCATCTCTCACTCATGCCTGCCTCTTCAAAGCTCAGTGTGGGATGTGGGAAGGTGTGGTCGGCTAAGACAAGACATTTTTTATCATGATCATCACGGGAGCTCTCCGTGACAACTTCTGTATGCTCCACAATGTCTTCGTAGCCTTCGTCTTCCTCCTCCTCTTCTAGTATAGTAACGGAAGGGTGATCTTGAGCAGGTTGTGCATAAGATTTCTCAAGATCATCGAGGCTCTTCTTAATGCTCAGGAGGATCTCCTCTTTTTCATGATAGGCCTGGGTACAAAGATCCATCTTGGAGCATCTCTTAGTGTCTCGAGCAAACTTCTCCATGAGAAGCCTCAATTCATAGTTTCGATCTGGCCGTGGAGTGTAGCATGGCTCTGCAGAATGGCCCGTGAAGGCCGCCATGGCTAACTCTAGCTCCGATGGCCCTTCTGGTTGTGGGAGAAATTCTTCTTGACAAGGAGCTTGTTCTTGATATGCCCAGGGGTCTGATTGTTCTCCTTAGTAAGGGGGTTGGTACTGGAACCCGAATCCATAGTCTTCTCCTCCTTGATTGCTCCAAGGAGTCTCAGGGTAATACCACTCGGATGGTGGTGGATACCCCCAATGGTTGGAGAGGCCATGAGGATCCATTCTTAAGATCTGCACCAACAAAAACAAAAACACCCAAGTGAAAAGCAAGGGTGGAAAAGAAAAGAAAAACGCTAAAGTAACAAACTTCTGCCTTTCCTAATAATCTAGAAAGTCCCCGGCAACGGCGCCAAAAACTTGACTCGCTATGACACAACTCCTAACAATGGCCAAGTGTAACCAATGAAAGGGACTGCAGTATAGTGGCTCAAGTAATAAATATCGAATCCACGGGTCTCTAGAGTTACTATTACTCAGCTTCAGTTCATTATCTAGCAAACCAGATTAAGATGGAAGAACTAAAACTACTCTAGCAAACTACAGTTAAATTTAATCTAATTATAGATTGGGAACTCACTTAGGTATGACTCCCCCTCGCCACTAGCCAGATTAATGATTGATGATTTCTAACCTGTTTCACTTTCGTTCACAATGCGGAGAATCCTTGACTAGACCTTGAATCTCGACTAAAGGATCAAGGCCCTCTTGAGTCGATTGCCTAGATGGACGTATCCTTCTCTAGAACAACCGATCAAGGCGTTCTGAACTAGACTCTCTCTATCGAATGAGGTTCATAATCGATACAAAGCAGTGAATCGACCCTCGACTAAAGCAATCGATCCAATACTATCAATCTATGGTGCTCTATTGACCTAATAAGGTATTCGCTCTCATAGGATCCAATACTATCAATCTATGACACAACTCCTAACAATGGCCAAGTGTAACCAATGAAAGGGACTGCAGTATAGTGGCTCAAGTAATAAATATCGAATCCACGGGTCTCTAGAGTTACTATTACTCAGCTTCAATTCATTATCTAGCAAACCAGATTAAGATGGAAGAACTAAAGCGACTCTAGCAAACTACAGTTATAGTTAATCTAATTACAGATTGGGAACTCACTTAGGTATGATTCCCCCTAGCCACTAGCCAGATTAATGATTGATGATTTCTAACCTGTTTCACTTTAATTCACAATGCGGAGAAACCTTCACTAGACCTTGAATCTTGACTAAAGGATCAAGGCCCTCTTGAGTCGATTGCCTAGATGGACGTATCCTTCTCTAGAACAACAGATAAAGGCGTTCTGAACTAGACTCCCTCTATCGAATGAGGTTCTCAATTGATACAAAGCAGGGAATCGACCCTCGACTAAAGCAATTGATCCAATACTATCAATCTATGGTGCTCTATTGACCTAATCAGGTATTCGCTCTCATAGGATCAAAGCAGAATCAATAATCTCGACTAAAGTAGAATTGAATCATGAAAAAAGCATAGATTGAATATGAATTCAAGATTATCAAGTAGGAGTACTCATACAATCATCCAATCAAACAAACATAGCTAGGGTTCCTCAAAACCTAAGTGAAGGGAAGTTACTCCATAGAGAAGAGAGAGACTGCAGTAAGAATCTTCAGATGATCCGTCTGAAAGTCCGGGCTTGTTCCTCGAGCTTCCAAGGCGAAGAAATCCCCCAATTCAACTCCCAGAATTCCCTCAAATCTTCCTCTCTCTCTTTGGTTCGTCCCTTGGGTGTTTGGGATCCAAAACCCAGCTCTCCTCCTCAAAAAACGCACAAAACAGACTTTTAACAGCCTGCGTTCGCGACCCGGTCGGGTATTTTGGGTACCCGGCCGGGTATTTTTGGTTCACGACCGGGGGACCTTTTGATGCTGCCAAAAATACCCTATCAGATGGCCAAAATACCCAGTCGGGTATTTCGGTCGGGTATTTCGCAGTTCGGGTCCCCTATCTTTGATTCTTTGTTTCTCCCTCGTTCGGACTCCAAATCAGGTGCCGTTTGATCCCAGACGCTCGTAGTCTCGTCCATTTTATTTTCATGACAATATTACATGATTCTATGGTCACAAACTGAGTTAGAAATCCATTCTTCTTCAAGTCATACCCTAGTTTCTTCCCCCGAGTCGCCAATTGATCTCCGACTGACTTGAAACTTGCGCCTACGCTTCACTTTATGTGCTAGGACCTGAAATGTGACAAATGAACACAACCTAGCGTAAAATAGGCCAAAGAAGCGATAATACAAGCTTAAACGATCAAGAAACAAAGGGGAAAACATGTGCAAATATCGAGTCATCATACGTATTTTGGAAAAAAAATTAATTACTAGTGTATTTTGGGATTTATTCCCAATCATCCCTCTATTGTTAAAGTTTGAGCCCTCGGAATTGGATAATAGCTTTTTGATTTACGGGTGAAAATCATGTAACATTATGTTTTTCCTCTTCTTCTTGCGAAATCGAACATACAGAAGTCATAAAGTGTAATCACGATAGTTTGTATGCAACTGAATTTATGATGAAAGAACTCTTCTTTGCCACAGGGTATAGATCTAAAAACTTGAAAAGAAAAAAGACACGAAACTAATAGGGGATGAGAAGAGAAAAAACACTTCCCTTGGAAAGGCTCATGCTTGCTTCACCTTCAATGTGGAACAAGGACAAAGACGAGCAAGGAATGAATAACAGAATCATTGTTGACAGCAGCAAGACAACAAAAATCATGGGTATTCTATCCGACCCAACTCGTGTTGATGGGTTTCGGGTTGAGTTCGAGTTTAAATCCGTATACTATTCATCGGGTTTGGATTAAAAGATATCCGACCCATAGATACTCACGCACACTTATTTCGTCGCTCTGCTCTCCCCAAATCCTATCATAATTCTAATTTCCCTCAATCTAACTCTCACTACACTTATTCCGTGTGCTTTTATTTAGTGTAATTGTGATTTGTATGAATTTTCTAGAGTGGTGTTTTATAATTGTATGAGAAAATTGATGTTTGAATTTTATTTTGATAGGAACTTGTTATTGTAAATTTTTTACCACAAAAACTCATGGGTACCCACGAACCCGCGGATATCCAGCGGGTTGGGTTTGAGTTTTCCAAACCCAGTGAATTTTATCCCGAATTTTTTTTACGGATAAACCCATGGGTTTGGGCAAACCCCAACCCGACACATTGCCATCCCTAATTAGTTTAGACTTTAGATACACTAGTCACTCGGTCGCTAACTCGACGTTCTATCAGCCAACCACTGAAAATCTTTCCCCTCTTCCATCCCAATCTATTCCATGCACATTAACATTGAAACATTAACAACCACCATCCAACGTGCTTTCACCGGTGGCGGATACATGGTGCTTTAAGGGTGTTCCGGGACACCCCTAAATTTTGGGAACATGATTATCCAACCCCCGGTAATAGTTTTGTATAGATAAACAAAATATAATTGGTAATCTGGGACACCCCTAAAATATAAATAAACGATTATCTTACCCTTGATAGTAGTTTGTGTATGATTAAAAAAATATAAGTGGTACTCTGTGTTATTCAAATCTAGGACACTCCTAATATTAAACATCTTATCCATTAGGTTATAACTCATTTGTTGTTCTATTTTAAACTCTATGTAATGGTAAAAACACGATTTTTTATTCCCAGGGGTACCGCTAATTTGAATTGATTTTGTGGTTACACTACAAGAGTTGATATAGTCTTTTCAACTTTGAATTACATAATGAACAAGGTTAGAAATTGAATATGCGATCTAGTAGGATATACTGATTTGTTAAGCAGTGTAGACACCAAATCTATCTTATATTTTTTTCGAAATATGAAAACACATCGTGGCTTTTTGTCAACATGTGTAATAATTGGATATTTTATTATTTATGTATTATTTAATTATTAATGTAATTTAATTTTTGGAAGAGGACAACCCTAAAAAAAAAATTGGATCCGCCACTGGCTCTCGCCCAATAGTAACAAACACAAAATACTCCTTCAAGGTGTGGCTTACATCAACAGACACAAAATCATTGTATTGGCTGACTAATAGCTCTGACAACTAGATCAACTTTTACACATTCGCCACATAGGAGTTGTTATCAATCATCCACTAAAAAAAACTATGGGAAGGGTTATTTTCACTTATACCAAGGGTTTTAACCCTTGCTATACGATTTAGAAATGGTTTGTCAACCCTTGTATCAACCCTTTCCAAAGCCACCCTTGCTACGTGTAGGAAGAGTTTTGAGCAACCCTAGGTGCAAGTCCCATGCAAGGGTTATAGCAAAGGTTTGAACCGGTGATACATGTAGCAAGGGTTAAAACCCTTGCTAAAACCCTTGCTAAAACTCTGTGTAAATTTTAGTAGAGATATGTTGATGGCATGGGTTAGAACCCTTGGATAAATACGGGTCTTACATAATTCGTGATTAAAGCAAAACCAACATTTCGCAACCAAATGTTCATCGTCGTTAACTGGTGGTTGCTAAAGAGAAACGAGGACCAGAACTGGAAGCTCAGCTTGGTTGCAAATGCTTTGATCACTATAGACAACCCTGAACCAAATGCCAATTTTTTTAATAATAACCAAATTTATTCCATGCACTTTACCCGTCAATACTTCATTCATACCATAAACATAATATGATTCATGATCCAAAATAACATTATTACATGGCTACAGGTTAATTACCAAAAATATTCAAACATAATCCAAAGAAGCATGGTATGTTTATAGAAGCACTTAAAAGCTACATGAGGTATCGCGAAGCTCGAGAACCCAAAGACGGAGCATGAGCACTAGTTGCACCCTGTTCATAAGAGAAAAGAATTAGTAAGAGTAACATTAACACCGAGTGTGAAGTAACAATGAGCAAATTAACAATACATCAATCTAACACAAGGCCCACATAATTAGCTTTGTGCTTACTCTAAAAACTTAGAACAACTGTAACAGAGCTTGCTTGACTCAATTTGCCCCAATAAACCATACCGGGCCAAACTTTTCTAACATCCAGGTGCATTCAAGTTCTTCGATCTAAATTTACCCACTACTTAGACTCTTCATGTTCCCCACACTTCCGAGTAAGATATGATCATCTCTCACTATCAACCTTATGGTAGTCTGATAGAAACTCAATTCTTGGGATTTATCATAATAATTATTATTACTATAATTAGGATATTATTAGATATGATAAAAGTCATTGAGTCACATTATGATAGTCTATTAGGTTTTTCTAGTCTTTCGCTATAAATATGTAATTGGTCCTTCATTCATGGGGAGTCAAGAAAATATTAAGAAACCCTCTCCTAAATCATATTCTCCCAATCCTCTCAATTCTCGTTCCCAATCCCTCTAAAGGCCTAGGCCGATTCTCTATCTTTCTCTTCTCAAAACCCTAATTCTGTTCTTAATCCCTAAATCCCCAATTCTCGATAGAACCCTAATCTCAGGTTCTATCATTTGGTATCAGAGCCCTCATGAGTCCTTCAAAACTCACTGATCCAGCATGGGCTTGTACGAAGCAGCTGATAGAGTTCACGTTATCTGAACTCAAGCGTGAGGCTCAGGAACGCGGGTGGACAGCAGCAACAGCGGAAGAGGCGGCCGATCCGTCCGCGGTGGTCCCCGTACTGTCGGGCCCGACGCGGCGCACGAGAGGGACGGCGCCCGCTCTGGCGGCAGGAGCGGGCGATGGGCGCGCGGGGGAGGAGGCTGGCGCTAGCGGCCGCGCCGGGGTGGCTGCGGGGTTGGCGGAGATCGGTGCTGGCGGCGGGGCCGCGGAAGGCAAGGCGCGGCGGCCAACGATGGCGGGCGACCGCGGGGTCGTGGCTGCAGTGACGGCACGACAAGAGAAGGCGCAGCAGCCCGTGGCGGCGGACCGGCTGAGCGAGGCGCAGAGCGCGGCGGTGAAGGGCGCCGTGGTCGCGGGCTCGGCGAAGGAAGGGGGGTGCGACGGGTTGTCCGGGTCTGCGCTGATCGATGAGGAGAAGGCGGCCGCGGGCGCCGACGCGGGGGAGCTCTTGGCGATGGAGGCGGCAGACGTTGTGGCAGCGACGCGGGCGCGAGAGGGACGGCGCCCGCGCTGGCGGCTGGAGCGGGCGATGGGTGCGCGGGGGAGGAGGCTGGCGCTAGCGGCCGCGCCGGGGTGGCTGCGGGGTCGGCGGAGATCGGTGCTGGCGGCGGGGCCGCGGAAGGCGAGGCGCGGCGGCCAACGACGGTGGGCGACCGCGGGGTCGTGGCTGCAAATATGTAATTGGGATATTATTATTACTATAATTATATCATAGTAATTATTATTACTATAATTAGGATATTATTAGATAAGGTAAAAGTCATTGAGTCACATTAGGATAGTCTATTAGGTTTTTCTAGTCTTTCGCTATAAATATGTAATTGGTCCTTCATTCATGGGGAGTCAAGAAGAATATTAAGAAACCCTCTCCTAAATCCTATTCTCCCAATCCTCTCAATTCTCGTTCTCAATCCCTCTAAAGGCCTAGGCCAATTCTCTATCTTTCTCTTCTCAAAACCCTAATTCTGTTCTTAATCCCTAAATTCCCAATTCTCGATAGAACCCTAATCTCAGGTTCTATCATAGTCAATAACAGATCTTAGTAATAACTCCCTATTGATAAATGAAGTTTCAAATGGAGCAATATGAAGGGGCCATATAGTTTAACCCGATGATAGCCACTAAACTAGCCATCACATGGAAAGTTGAACTTTGAGATGTTCCAGATGTCATGTACGCAAATTGAAGAAACAAACTTGTATTTATTTAAAATACTCAAACATTAGGTCATGAGGTGGAGCAAAGTCATAGTCATGTATACTCCTAATTCAGCACATGTATATCACGAAAAGAATCCCAAGGAATAGCACAAGACAAGCTATGGCAATGCCGATTTTGCTACCCTTGGTAAATGACTATTATCCCACACAAAGGAGCATTCTGGTATGGGTTATGACAAACCCATATGAAGAATATGGTACAGGTATATACTAAGGACTTCTGTATCAACAGAGGCTAGCCTGCAGTGGACTCAAACTTCACAGTTGGCTTGCCTCCTGATATGAAGTACATGGGTAGAAATTTTATGGGTATTGAAGGAGATGATAAGAGTTCTGAGCTACTTACAAAATAGTTCACTGGTAGAGAGGCAAGGCTCCTAGAGCCTCACATTATGCATTCTCCTTTTTCATCTGTAAACAAATTCAATATTAATGCACATTTTAATTCTTTTAGCTAAGTGTCTACTTCAGCTCTGACAATGAGAAACAAAAGAGTAAATAAATTTGAAAATTAACAGCTTAATATATAATTCATAGGATTAGGAAGATGCTCATATTTGTCTCCGTTGTCACCCTCACATACCTAGCTACCATCACAACTCATTGAGAGCAAACCAGATAAGTTCCTAACAGAAAACACAACTGCCTTTTGAACTTACTTGTTGCTATTACTCTGTTCATACTAGTGCTCTTGTATGCTGAATCCATGGTATAGCCATCGACTGCATCAGAAGCACATAAACTCAATCATGATGAGCTGGAAAGCCTATCAAACAAAAGGTTCAAATATGGCAAACCATGACATATACATAGATATATACACAACCATATTCACCTTATTTGCTCCCAGTTTGACATACTTATCATGCATTAATCATGCATCGAACAACACCTCAGAGCACCCAAACCTTGCCAATAATGAACAAGCAGAAGTCATTTAAAATAGGTTTCTTTGCAAAAGCCATTTCAAAACATTTACATTCTTATGACAGTTTTTTTTATTTCAGAGTGATATCAATGAAGGATAATAGTTAAACTTACAATTCTACCCAGGACCCCTAAAAGACTCTAAAGAAGCCACCCAAAAAAATCAAAAGATTCTAGCTCTAAACGAGACAAAAGCAATGCTTTACGCGCCATTCTATAGGCAGCACTGTTGGCGGACCTAGGTACCGCCCTAAACTCTATACAAACAGACAAAGAGCTAAGGATCTTATGACACTCTCGTAACACCGGACCACCAATCGAGTCTTCTATGACGCCTTGACGGATATTGACAACCACTTCGGAATCACCTTCGACTATCACGCGGGTCAAGGATCTTGAGGCTATGATGGTGATGGAAACCCAATTCTTGGGATTTATCATTACTATAATTAGAATATCATTAGATATGGTAGTAGTCATTGAGTCACATTAGGATAGTCTATTAGGTTTTTCCAGTATTTAGCTATAAATATGTATTATGGGTCTTTAGTTCAATTAAGCAGAAATCAGTTAAAGAATTATCTTCCCCAAACCCTAAGCTCTCCCTATCTCCTAATTTCTCTTCTTGCATAGTCCAAGGCTTCGGCCGATTCTTTATGCTGTTCTTCCTCTCCTAATCTCAATCCCTAATTCTGTTCGTATAAACCCTAATTCCCAAATATCAGATCCAATAGAACCTTTCTTCTATCATTTGGTATCAGAGCCATGATCACGGATCTGAGTTCATCACAACTCTCACTAGGAAATTGTTATCAAAACCTCTATCAAGGGATTGAAGCCCCCCAAACTAGCCTAGCAAAACATGAAGCTAACATGGAAGTTCACCACAACAATATGATGGCAAGCCTCGAAGAACTTCTAGCCAAACTCGAGGAAATTTTGGCCCGCCGCCGCGCGACCAATATCCATCGACAATCGGCGTCGGCAGATTCGTCAGAAGTGACTGCAAATGACGGCTCGGCAGTCACGGAGGAGGCTGCGGACGACGGGACGACAGTGGTAAATGGAGTTGGCATTAACGACACCGCTGCCACCCCAAACATCATCACCGCCGAGCAGCAAATCACCAACGAGCTGGAGAACCGGGCAGAAAAGGTAGCTGAACTGCTGCCATTTATAGACAACAACCTCGGGGTGGAAACGGTTGTTGTGATATCATCGTCTGAGACAAACCCATCGGCGACCAGGGATGTCGCCGCACCGCCATGGACGCCAGCGCCAAAGGAGGAGGTGAAGGAGAAGGGCGGCGACTTTTCATCTTCTCGTGCTATCTGAGAACCCAGGGGGGAATCCGGTCGCGATGGGAGAAGAGGCGCCGCAGGCAGCTCCAGTCGCGGCGATGAAGGCCGGACGGGTAGAGACAGGGACCGACGAGCCAGGGATGGGCATAAGGCTGCTGGCGGCGTTGGCTGCACTGACAAATGGAGAGGAGAGGCGGTCGACGGGACCGCTTTGGCCTCCGATTCGTCGGCTGGGTGGGCCGTCGCTGAGCGAGGAGGCGACGTCGAAGAGGTCGACTGAGATTGAGTCGCCGTCGATGTACGAGGTGGAGCTGAAGGCGGCGGCCGGGCCGGGGTGGCTGTTGGGTTGGTCGCCGCCGGGAAAGGAACGTGAGAGGAAGGTGGAAGTCGGCGGCGGCGCTCTATTTCCGTTCGAGCCATTGCGTCTCCTTTCCTTCGATGAAACCCTACTCACCTTCCATGTGCCAACGAGTGGGCTTGGGTGTGTTTGGTTGGACCGAAGCTTGGAGTGGGTCGGGCTCGTGATGGGCCAAGATGGTTGGGTCGCAATTATTTATGGGTCAGAGCTAAAGAGCGGGCTTGTTTTGGTGAGTTGGAGTTCGCCGGGTCTGATCCGACGGAGCAGGCAGAGGAAGAAGTAATGAATGGGCCGCCCGAGAGCAGCCTCACCAGAGCCCTCCTATGTTGGTTTGGGTCGAAATCAAGAAGCCCAATTGCAGTGGAGGAATGGACGAATTGGACCAAACAAAGAAGTTATTATAGGCCTCATATGAGCTGTTTGGCTGGATCTATTTTGCAGGGACCAAACTTAAAGGAAGAAGGATTGGTGGGCTTAACAAGTGGGTTTTTAGAGGAGATAAGCCCAATTAAAAGTCTAAAGAGGAGAAATGAACAAGGGCTTCAAATTGGTTTGGGTCATACTTCTTTCTTTCAAATTCAGGTGGGTCGATCCAGAAGTGGGGGAAAGGAAGAATCGCCGACGGAGGGGAAGAGGAAGCTATCGGCGGGTGGCGTGGATGGGGGAGGCACCCTTCCGCTGGAAAACCCTAAGGCTTCCCTTTTCCTTTGGGCCGAGAAAGTTCTTGGGGATGGGCCGAAGACAGACCTGCTGAACTGGCTGAGTCTGAGAGGAAAGTGGGTGGAGCTAAGGCTTGGTTTTGGGTCGGGCAAGGAAGAGGCTAGCTGGTCTGAAAGTGCAAATTGGTCGTGGCCAATAGGAGAGTTTGGGCCGCAGATGGGTGGCCTGATTATAGCTCTATTGTTTGAAATGGGCTCAATTGCTTGGGCACCTAATTCTTTGGGTTTGAAAGATGACCTTTTAAAAGAGCATGGCCCAAACAGGATTGAAGGCTCAATTCATAATGGCCTAGCTCCAAGAAAGAAGTATGAAGGCCTTGACGAGTTAGTACTTAATGATGGGTTCTTGAAAAGGAATGAATTTTTGGATTCTTTAAGTTGCCGGAGTGTGATACCAACAAAAGAGGAGCTATTGAAGTTCGACTTGGTCAAGGAAGCAATTAGTGGGCCCATAGAGGTGAAATTCGTAGACTTGAATCAGCAACAGAAGATCGAAGAAAGGAGGTCAAGTGAAGAATTGGAGCATGATTGGAAGAAAAGGGAGCGCGGGGAATGGAGGAGACAAGGCGCGGTCTACACAGGCGATGTGAAAAAAATCGGTCGAGGCGGTCAACCTTGAGAGCAAGGTTGGTCTCAAGGGGGTGGGGATGATGGAAACTCAATTATTGGGATTTATCATTACTATAATTAGGATATTATTAGATATGGTAGTAGTCATTGAGTCACATTAGGATAGTCTATTAGGTTTTTCAAGTATTTAGCTATAAATATGTATTATGGGTCTTTTGTTCAATTAAGCAGAAATCAGTTAAAGAATTATCTTCCCCAAACTCTAAGCTCTCCCTATCTCCTAATTTCTCTTCTTGCATAGTCCAAGGCTTCGGCCGATTCTTTATTCTGTTCTTCCTCTCCTAATCTCAATCCCTAATTCTGTTCGTATAAACCCTAATTCCCAAATATCAAATCCGATAGAACCTTTCTTCTATCAGATGGAGATAGCGTCTCTAAAGGCTAGAAGCTCTGCTAGGTAAGGATTGACTATTCCTTGATGTTGCAGCCCGAATGGCAACACCACATGCCCGTCTGACCCACGGATAACAAGCCCATACGAACACCCGGTGGCACAAACAGCAGCGTCGAAGTTGATCTTCAAAAAGTCTTCTGGCGGTGGGACCCAAGAGGAGGCATGATGGTTTAGGGGTAGAGAGCTGCGGGGTGGAGGAGGAAAGAGAAGATTGGAGACTTCAAGAACCTGGTTGTAGAACTGTCTGGCTAGGGAACGGACATGAGGTTGGCGAAAATCGAAGGTCACTTTATTTATAGACTTCCAGATTCTCCAAAGTAAACAGACGCATTGGAGAATGTGGAATTGGGAGGTCTTAGAGACCATGACATGTCGCCACCATAGATTAAAGATAATAGTCTGGGCGGTCTCAATAAAGTTGCTCAATCCTACTAAAGTCCACAATCTGATGGCTAGGGGGCATCTGAAGAATAAATGTTCAATGCTTTCTCGATGTCTCCAACAGACAGGGCATCGGTTAAGGCAGTTTACTCCACGAGTTCGAAGGGCCGCTACTGTGGGAAGTATGAATTTGAGGCATTGCCATATGAAGAATTTGAGCTTAGGCGGGACTTGGAAATTCCAAGTCTTTTTCTAAATAGGAGGGTCGATGATATGTATTATCGGTTTTCAGCTTGATGTCAATGTTATTTCCAGAGCTAAGTGATAACTCGATTTGACTGTGTATTTTCAATCATTGGAATAGTGCCACACTCTAATGTCTTGCTGTGGGTAACGAGGAAGAGGAATTATCCTGATGAGATCAACCGATTAAGGTTCGAAGCAAGTCTGGAGTTTTGGTACGTCCTATTCCCCTTGGCCTTCTTTTATGAAATAAGATATCATAGTTAACTCCACGAATTTGTAGATTAGATATGCTAATATCACATGTGCAGTGCTTTCCTCCTTTAACAGGTTTTGATAAAATTCTAATTCAATGTTCAGTTTCTCCAATTCGGTGGTACAACAATTACCTCTAGCATCCTCTAAATGATATTGCTTTGACGCTTAATTGAGGCAACGAGATAGAATTAAGTATTACTCTGATCACCTTCTGATCGCCAATTGGCATCGTGCTCGATTTTTGTTTCCAAAACAATTCTTCTCTAGTAGGATGAGAGAGTCTCAATTCCGCAAAGCCAAGCATCATAGTCATATACATTTTTAAAACAACCTCAGATACCCACAATCCATAGCTAACTAACCTGTTACCTTTTACCAATGAGATAATAAAGCTCGTTAAAATTCTCCAGTAAAACCTCCCATAAATGTCTAAAGATTAGACTGAAAGATTAATTATTCTTGAAGAGAATTAAACTCACTATAAATTTATTAACAAACTCACTATTATAGTATTCTTAGGATAATTACAAGTGATAACGATGTAATTGCACATGTTTGCGCCCCTAGTTCTTATCCGTTTGAGGGGCATAGTCGTGTGTTTTGGCCTATTTTACGCCGGGTTGTGCTATTTTGTCATGTTTCAGGTCCCAGGCGTCAAAGGGAAGGCTAACCACGAGTTTCGGGGCATTCGGAAGTCATTTCGGTGAGCTGGAGCCAAAACACGGGCAGCCTAAAGCATTACACGGCCGTGTACTGCTGGCCGTGCTTTTTATGCCGAGAGCAAATTTGGTTTGGCCAATTCAGTTGCAAACACGGGCACTGAAGCACGGCCGTGTTCAGTCAAAGCATGCCCGTGTCCATCGCGAAGCACGGCCGTGTTTCCACCAGCTGCTGGCCGTGTAATTAAACCTTGGCTGAGACACGGGCGGAGTCAGGCAAAGCACGGCCGTGCCCTCTACCGTGCTTTGGCCACTGATGCTTTTAAGCAGAGTTTCAGCCACAAGTCAAGGGGATTCGAGTTTTTGAGAGATAGAACGATTTCTAGAGAGAGAAAGTGACGAGCAAGAGTTCCCAAGTGCCCTAGATTGATCTTCAACACCATTGGAGGCCAGCTTGAGCTTGGAGAAGTGTCAATCAACGTCCAGAAGCAGGAATCCATCCTTCGCAGTATGAATTCCGTGTCTGATTCTGCTTTTGCTTTCTTCTCCATGGAGTAGTTCTCCCATTCATCTGGGTATGGAGAACCCTAGATTTGTATGTTAGGCTTTGATTGTATGAACCCAAGTACTGATTCTGTGATTGATTATATTCGATTGAGGTTTTAATGATTGAATGACTTGAATCCTGATCAAATTCCTGTTGTTTCTGATTTAACCTAGAATGAGAATATCTGCCTAGGTTAATAGAGTATCCTTGATTGAAGGTAGGGAGTTGGTGACTTTAGTCGAGGAACCAACTCACTATTCTGTACCGGATTTACTCCGGTAGTGGAGGTTTTGTTCTTAGGGCCTCAATCTGTCTACTCCGGTGGAGGTTAGTCGCCCGCTAGAGGTTCAGATTGAGAGGGTCTGAAGACCTTTAGTCGAGACTTCACGCTGTTTAAGAACCTTCCGCAGTATAATCTTCATAGAAACTGAACTTGGTAATTGCAATCCGGCTTAACTGCAATCTAGGGGGAACCATATCCGGGTGACCTCTTTAACCTGAATACAACAGTTTACTTGCTTTGTTTGTTTGGTATTTTAGACTTGCATTCCAGTTTCGTTGCTAGATAACAAGAACTCACTGAGTAGTCATCAGATCTAGGACCCGGGTTGACATATAAACCTAACCCGCTATACTACGCTTTAGGAAGTGGTTATACTTGGCCAATTCCTGGAGTGACAGTAGAAGCGAGTCAAGTTTTTGGCACCGTTGCCGGGGACGGCTAGGTTGTTGAAGAAAAGTGATTTCTGTTAATTTAGCTTTTCTTTTTGCTTTGTTTTCTTTGTCCCACTTGTGCCTTCACGGGTTTGTTGCTTGAGTGTGTGCAGGTAGTGCATGACCCGTGGCCAGTCGGGAGGTTTACTGTCGTTGAATCCAGAGATTGACCGCACCTGTCGCCAGCTCAGGAGACAACAGCGAGCTAGACTGGCTAAGGAAGAGCGCATAGACGGCCACCTGAGCAGCAATTCTGAAGAAGAGCACGGGATGGACGGAGACTAGAACCAATACCAGGGGAATCCACAGCAGGTTCCCCCGGTGAATCAGGTCCTGGGGAACAACCCCATACCCCAGGATCATGGAGTTCATCATCCACCGCAGCCGGGTCCCACCCTGGAGTACTACTACACTCCGCGGATTGCTGACATCCGCCCGGTCATCCTCTACCCGCCGATCCCAGCAAACAACTTTGAGATCAAGCCATGCTGGATTCAGCTCATCACATCTTCTATCCAGTTCCATGGCTTGAAGAATGAGGAGGCCAGGGTGCATCTTTCCCGTTTTCTGCAGCTGACGAACGGGTTCAAGCTGAATGGTGTCCCCGATGATGCAATCCGCCTTCATCTCTTCCCCCATTCTCTGGCGGGGAATGCTAAGAGGTGGTTGGAGACCCAGCCCCCATTGTCCATCACCTCTTGGGACGATCTGGCTGACAAGTTCGTGCACAGGTACTATCCGGCATCGAAGACTACAGAGATTCAGCGGGAGATCACTCACTTCCGCCAAGAGCCAGATGAGTCCCTTCGTGATGCTTGGGAGCGGTACATGGGCTATTTCTGGCAGTGCCCCCATCATGGCTTTAGTGATGCATTCACAGTGGGGAACTTCAACAATGCCCTTTCTCCAGACAGCCAGAGGGTGATTGAGTCTCTATGCCCAGGAGGGGATATTCTTACCAAGACTCCACCCGAGCTGAACCAGATGATCAGTACTTTGGCTGCCAGAGATCATTCTTGGGGACAGGGTAGCCGAGGCAGACAGTCCCGGGACTGTGGTGTGCACGCCATGGAGACCAGATCCGGGCTTGAGCAGCAGGTAGCTGAGCTAGTGCAGACATTGAAGCAGCCCAACAGTCTGATTCCGGGCAGAGGTTTGGCTACACCTCCAGTAGCTCAATGTTAGTGGTGTGAGAGCTCCAATCACCTAGTGGAGGACTGCCAGGCTATGAGGGAGTCTACCACACCCCAGGAGCAGTTGGCCTTCATCGCCAATGCGAGGCGCCTCGATCCATACAGTAGAACATATAATGAGGGGTGGCGCCATCATCCCAACTTTGCCTGGAGCAGCAACACCACTAAACCACCTGGTTTCCCAGCACCAGCAGGTGGTTTTCAGCAGAGGCAACCCTTCCAGGCTCGCCAGGGGCCAGACCCACAGCAGCAGCCCTACCAGCCTAGGCAGGGCCAGCCATTCCATCAGCCCCAGCGCCAGTTTGCCGAGCCAGCAGCAGCTCCGGCCCCAGATGACAGGATGACGAAGCTGGAAAACATTCTAGCTTCATTCATGACTAGCACCCAGGCTGCTATCACATCACTGGAGGCAGGTCAGCGGAACCAGGGTGCCATTTTGCAGGATCTGCAGACCCAGGTGGGCATCTTGGCCCGCCAAAACACTACCAGGGCACCGGGGACTCTGCCTGCCACCACTGTTCTGAATCCTCGAGATCCTCACCAGCATCAGCAGCTGGATGCCATTTTTACCAGGAGCGGTAAGACCATATCTGCTGATCCTATCCCGGCCAGACAGGAGGAACCACTGCCTGCTTCAGCACTTCCAGCCGATGATGCAGAAGTGCGGGTGGAGAAGGAAGCCCCTGCTCCCAAGCCACAACCAGTGGTTAAGGAGCATGTACCCCAGCTTCCCTTCCCCACTCGCCTACACAAGGACAAGCTGGAGACTGAGTTTGCCAAGTTCATGGCAATGTTGAAGCAGCTCAACATCAGCATACCGTTCATGGAGGCACTGTCGAAGATGCCCAAGTATGCCAAGTTCATGAAAGATATCTGCACCAACAAGAAGAAACTTGGGGATCTTTCGACAGTGATGCTCAGTGAGGAGTGTTCTGCCATCCTGCAGAACAAGCTGCCCGAGAAGCGCAAGGATCCAGGGAGTTTTACTATCCCTCTTACTATTGGCAGCATGCATGTAGGAAAGTCCTTGGCGGACCTAGGCGCTAGCATTAACGTCATGCCATATAAGTTGTATAAAATGCTAGACCTAGGTGAACTTAGCCGTGCTAGGATGAGCATTCAATTAGCTGATCGTTCTATTGTGCATCCTAGGGGAATCATAGAGGATCTGCTTGTTGGTGTTGGTGCATTCACATATCCTGTTGATTTTGTTATTCTTGATATACATGAGGATGTGGATGTGCCCTTGATTCTAGGTAGGCCATTTCTTGCCACCGCCAAGGCACTTATTGATGTGCATGATGGTAAATTGATCTTGCGTGCTGGGAATGAACAGGCTACTTTTTCTGTGACTGAGTTTGATCACTGTGCTATGATTGCTGTCACGCCTGTGCATGCTATGTCTGATCAGGTACACGAGCCTTTCGTATATCCTTCTGCTCCTCTCATTGTGCAGGACCCTCCTATCATTCCTTCGCCGTCACTCCATCCAGCCTCGCCTCCGAACAAAAAGCTCAAGGAGGAGTGGCGGCCGAAGCAGCAGGTTGCTAAGCCTGCACGGAAGAAGAGTGGAGACCACTATGAGCTGGTCCCACCTCCTGCACCACGACCACCCTGGCCGTCTGGGTACTCGCTCACCTGCATCTTACCAGATGGGCAGGTCGAGCTGACTGATGATGGTGGTCGCATCCGTCGGGTGCATGGCCACAACCTGAAGTTGTACCTCAAGAGAGACGTGGATCCGCTCTTGGAGGCACCTGTTCCTGCACCGCCCTGAGTATCCACCATGGGCGTCCAGCTAAAAGACGGTAAAGAAGCGCTTGTGGGGAGGCAACCCCACCACGGTTTGATTTTCTTTCTTGTGTTTTGAGTCGGATTGTAACCCGGTGTGGGTTTGGTTTGTTTTCTTTTGGTTTGGATGATATTTTATTGGGCTGACCATTGAACCTAACATATTGTGTCTGAGCTCTTCTGTTTCCCTTCGGCTGTGCTTGCCCCGACTGGCCCGTTTCCAGTCTCCTGCAGTCCATGCATACCGGTAACATCGTTTCCCTTATCCTTCCCTCTTCTCCATTGAGGGCAATGTCGAGCTTAAGTGTGGGGGGATGTTTATCTTTTGACTGCATTAGATCCGTTTGTGTGCTTGGAGCCTAGTCCACTATCCAAATTTTTAAATTTGAGGGCTCCAAGTACGTGTTTCCATGCAATTGCCTGCTCAGTATGCTTTGAATTGACAGTCTTTATAGTAATATGCAACCTAGGGAGGTAGTGTAGCACTATGGAGGATGTTGATGCATTTAAGAAGTCTCATTTCTTCTTCATATTGAGTTGGTTGATTGAGTGAATTAGTGATCTTAGGACCCTTGAATTGTGTGGTGTTGTGGATTCTCTGCCTGTCATGGACTCTTGTATCATGTTTTGAGTTTAACAGGTGCTCGAAAATGTGCTTCAAAATAACGTCTCCCGTATGAATAGGGAGAAAGTGTGTAAGGGGAGACGGGAATCCATTCCCAATTTTCACCTACTACCTCCAGCCCCCTTACATGTCTTTCCCCCGCACGAGGCTCGAGACATCCGCTCCTGGCATGGCCGGTAAGAGCAGGTTGGGACCCTTGGAAAAAAGAGAAGAAAAAATAACAGAAAACAAGCAAAACAGAAAGAAAAGGGGTTCCAACCATCTTTAAGCAGAAAATAGAGAACCTATGAAAAATGTGAGTCCATGATCTTTTGTTTCTGAGAATCTCTTCATCCACAGTTCATTTGTCCTCTGTTCACTGTTTGCCATGATGCCGACTCGCCGAAGAAGCTATGAGATGACTTGTGCGTCGGTTGACCTCGTAAGCTGCTAAATGATCTAGGAAGTCCTCTATCTACGATCTGGGTTGTTTGTTGCTATAGAGGTCTGGAGAGTTGCATGGGTTTGAGTTAGGTTTGCTTGGGGACAAGCAAACGGTAAAGTGTGGGGGAGTTTGATAACGATGTAATTGCACATGTTTGCGCCCCTAGTTCTTATCCGTTTGAGGGGCATAGTCGTGTTTTTTGGCCTATTTTATGCCGGGTTGTGCTATTTTGTCATGTTTCAGGTCCCAGGCGTCAAAGGGAAGGCTAACCACGAGTTTCAAGGCATTCGGAAGTCGTTTCGGTGAGCTGCCAAAACACGGGCAGCCTAAAGCATTACACGGTCGTGTACTGCTGGCCGTGCTTTTTATGCCGAGAGCAAATTTGGTTTGGCCAATTCAGTTGCAAACACGGGCACTGAAGCACGGCCGTGTTCAGTCAAAGCACGCCCGTGTCCATCGCGAAGCACGGCCGTGTTTCCACCAGCTGCTGGCCGTGTAATTAAACCTTGGCCGAGACACGGGCGGAGTCAGGCAAAGCACGGCCGTGCCCTCGACCGTGCTTTGGCCACTGATGCTTTTAAGCAGAGTTTCAGCCACAATTCAAGGGGATTCGAGTTTTTGAGAGATAGAACGATTTCTAGAGAGAGAAAGTGACGAGCAAGAGTTCCCAAGTGCCCTAGATTGATCTTCAACACCATTGGAGGCCAGCTTGAGCTTGGAGAAGTGCCAATCAACGTCCAGAAGCAGGAATCCATCCTTCGCAGTATGAATTCCGTGTCTGATTCTGCTTTTGCTTTCTTCTCCATGGAGTAGTTCTCCCATTCATCTGGGTATGGAGAACCCTAGATTTGTATGTTAGGCTTTGATTGTATGAACCCAAGTACTGATTCTGTGATTGATTATATTCGATTGAGGTTTTAATGATTGAATGACTTGAATCCTGATCAAATTCCTGTTGTTTCTGATTTAACCTAGAATGAGAATATCTGCCTAGGTTAATAGAGTATCCTTGATTGAAGGTAGGGAGTTGGTGACTTTAGTCGAGGAACCAACTCACTATTCTGTACCGGATTTACTCCGGTAGTGGAGGTTTTGTTCTTAGGGCCTCAATCTGTCTACTCCGGTGGAGGTTAGTCGCCCGCTAGAGGTTCAGATTGAGAGGGTCTGAAGACCTTTAGTCGAGACTTCAGGCTGTTTAAGAACCTTCCGCAGTATAATCTTCATAGAAACTGAACTTGGTAATTGCAATCCGGCTTAACTGCAATCTAGGGGGAACCATATCCGGGTGACCTCTTTAACCTGAATACAACAGTTTACTTGCTTTGTTTGTTTGGTAGTTTAGACTTGCATTCCAGTTTCGTTGCTAGATAACAAGAACTCACTGAGTAGTCATCAGATCTAGGACCCGGGTTGACATATAAACCTAACCCGCTATACTACGCTTTAGGAAGTGGTTATACTTGGCCAATTCCTGGAGTGACAGTAGAAGCGAGTCAACAAGCCTTGATGACTTTTAGTAAAATGCCTCGAGAGCGACATTGTCACTTTGAACGAAAGCTCGTTCATTATTGCCATAAATATGACAAATTAAAGGCTCAATCACTCTCAATCCATTACCAGCCGTTACCGGATAATTAACCTTTGTTTTTAAGGTTTAAACAAAAGGGATTAATTCCAGAGAACGGGGGCTTTAATGCTTACAGCCGGATCGTCGTCGGCCATCTGGGGAATTATCGGCGATAGTCAGGGCACGACTTCAAAACCCGGACTTCATGTGTCGCCTTCTGATAATGGGTGTTAGTTCCCATTTCATCATGGGGAGGAGCAAATCAGAACAGGATTGGGGTCGGAAACCAAATTTCGCCTTCTGGTATTTCCCGCCGGGAGAAAACGATGTCTCCATCCAATGGGTTTTTTGCTCCACTAGTATATCAGTGGGTTACTGTTCTAAAATAGAACATAGCCGATGACCACCATCGTAATGAACTGATCGGAGGAGAAGGAAAGACGTTTGTGAATATGCAGATGGCGGAGTGTGGCCGCAGCGGGAGTCTCCGTACGTTCATCTTTCTTTCTTATGTCGCAGTACACTCTCCCGAAACGTTTCTTTACGGTGACGTAGCCGATCTCTCTTCTTCACCAGCACCACAGAATCTCCGGCCCATGACGACTACGGGAAGAAGAAAGTCGTTCGCCATCAAAATGTCGGCGGAGACACCATCGCCGTCCCAATCGCTGTCTCATTTCATCACACTGCCTTTCCACCCCTCCCATCCTGTCTTTGTTGTTGCTGCCAACGGAGTCTGCCTTCCTGTGAGAGATTATTGATTTCACTCGCTTCTCTCCGCCCCAGCATTTCTGTGTTTTCTGGAGGAGGTCTGATGCATGCCTTTTTGTTTATGCAGGAATGCGATTGATTCTTCGCTCTTCAAGCAGTGGCTGCCATAAATCCTGCATTCTGATGACAGTTCACACAACACCTACCATGGAGAGAACGTCAGTGTTAGGACTTAGAACCAACTTCATTTTTCAGTACACCTTGCACACACTCCTCTTTGCTCTACCATCTCGATTATAGTCAGATTCTAGTCATAATTATTCTGCAAAAAATGATGATAGAACTATATAGTGCAGAAGATCCTTAAGCAGTTGATGGACCGATCCTCCTCTAGGTGATCGTATTGGACTGAGAGGTTTCCACGCAGGCCCACTTGGTGTCTCGTTCAGCCTACCTAGTTGAGGAAGAAGAGTCCGCTTCCGATAAACATAGGGTTAGGCAAGTTACTTGTACGGGAAGTAATAATCCCTCTCCCATTCCTAGTTGGGATAGAATTGTTCCTTCTAGTACAGACGTGAGAAAGGAGCATATATATAGCTCTTGTGTAAGGCCAATGGTCGTAAGCTAATAAGAAAAGTAGTCGTGTTCTGTGGACGTAGGTCTCACACACTGTGAGGCTGAACCACGTAAAATCTCGTGTTCGTGTTACTCTTCCGCATTGTTTTACTTTTTATCATGGTATCAGAGATTGATCCAAAGTCTTGTTGATCAGTCTCACAGTTTCATCTTATCAACATGGGCGACGATGAGAAGAAGCCAATGGGCTCCCCGTCCGCCACTGTCGGTGTTGAGAAAGATCAGTCGTCACCATTGTATCTCCATCCGTCAGAAGCTGCAAGTCAATTGCAGGTTGGAGATGTTCTCACGTCAAGCAATTATGGAGAGTGGGTTGTTGAGATGACCGATGCTCTCATAATCAAAAACAAGTTTGGGTTCGTAGACGGCACCATTGAGAAGCCTACCACGAATCCCGATCTCATCGCATGGACTAGGTGTGACGCCATCGTCAAAGGATGGTTGCACACCGCGATGGACAAAGAAGTACGTGCTACTGTCAGGTATGCTCGAACAGCACAGGAAATCTGGACTGATTTGAGGGATCGGTTTTGTCAAGGAAGCGCATCTCGAGCGTACGAGATTCGTCGTCTTGTCAGCTTGCTACAGCAAGAAAAGTTTAGTGTATCATCCTTTTACACTCGTCTACTTACCTATTGGGAGGAATCTCAATCCATCTCCCCGTCTCCTAAGTGCAGTTGTGGTCTTTGTACGTGTGGACTTGAGCGTCGTACAAAAGAGAGAGATGAGAGTAATCGTCTCTTTGACTTCTTGATGGGCCTGGATGATAGTTTTGGCACGGTTTGTACGCAGGTCCTAACCATGAAGCCAACTCCAAGTCTCACAGAAGCGTTCAACATCGTCTTGTCCGACGAGCAGTAGTGACTCATCGCTCAAAAACGCAGCCCACAGCCCGGTGGTTGTGAAAGAGTCCGTCCAAAATGCTCTCATTGCGGCAAACCTGGCCATCGTAAAGAATTTTGTTATGATATAATTGGTTGGCCAGATTAGGAGAAGTCGCCGCAAGAAGCAGCAGGTAATGGCCAAAATGGTCGTCGTCGCCGCAACTCAAACAACGGACAGAATCCCAAGGCATCGCAGGCCGAGGTTGAGAGTCTGGTACCAGGCTTCAGTATGCAGCAGCTTGAGCAGCTCAAGCTTTTCTTCTTTCAATCGCCATCAGCTGACTCGCCATCCTCAAACATGGCAGGTACGTTGTATCCAAGCTCTGAATGATTGATTGACTCAGGTTGCAACGAGCATATTGTGTTTGATGATTCTATGTTAAGTGATGTGATGCTGGATTCCACTAGTCGGCCTGTTAAAATTCCCAACGGAACTAGTGTTCCCGTGGCTAAAATAGGCTCAGTTGTTCTATCGTCAGGATTGAAATTGGATAGAGTACTTCACGTGCCCCAATTTCGTTGTAATCTGTTATCTGTCAGTCGTCTTACAAAGGAGAATGACGTTGCTTTGATTTTTCTCCACGATTTTTGCATTCTCCAGGACTTACAATCCAGGAGCATGATTGGGAAGGGGATTCTCCGTGATGGTCTTTATTATCTTCGCCTCTTTGCAAGCAGTGATCGTCAAGCATTTGCCGCCGCATGAGGCCAAGCAGTTTCGTCCACGGTTTGGCATTCAAGACTGGCTCATCCATCTCTGTCAAAGATGGTGCAGTTAGCTCCTCTTTTGTCTCCTACCCTTCGAGTTAATGAGGAGTTTTGTCATTCGTGTTCTCGTGCTAAACAGACTCGCACACCTTTTGTTTCTAGAAGCATTAAAACATCGGATTGTTTTGAGCTTATTCATCTTGATCTATGGGGTAATTACAGTATTCCTTCTACTGATGGTGCTCACTATTTTCTCACCATAGTCGATGATTATAGCCATGGAGTCTGGGTTTATCCTCTCCGTTATAAATCCGATGTTGCGAGGTATTTGCTATTATTCATGAAGATGGTTCAAACTCAATTCCATCGTCGTGTTCGTCGGATTCAAACCGACAATGGGACCGAATTCCAGACCACGGTCCTTCGTGATTATTATGTTCAGCAGGGGATTCATTTTCAGACCAGTTGTACCGACACTCCTCAGCAAAATGGAGTTGTCGAACGGAAGCATCGACACATACTTGATACGGCACGAGCACTCCGTTTTCATGTCGGCTTACCAATCCAGTTTTGGGGAGAGTGTGTGTTGACAGCAGTCTATTTGTTAAATCGGCTTCCTACGTCCGCAATCGGTAAAACTCCTTTTGAAGCTCTCTTTGGTAAGCCCGCACCTTACTGTCACCTTCGCGTATTTGGTTGTCTTGTTTACCCGAAGGATACTCATCGTGGTCTTCACAAGTTCGCCGACCGAGGCAGAGCATGCGTTTTCTTGGGTTATCCCGCTGACCAAAAGGGATATAAGTTGTATGATCTTGTCACGCAGAAGATTTTTGTCTCGCAGGACATTTTGTTCGTTGAGGAACATTTCCCCTTTCGTTCACCGGATCAGCAAAGTCTCCATTGGATACCTCCAGAAAGTTTTGCGTTTCCGGTCCCAGCGGAGCCCTCGTCCATGACTCCTCCCGATCGGCATCTGGGTCCAAACCCTCATAGTGGCCCAGATCCTTTGTTCGTTGGGCCCAAGCCCACCTCACCTATTGGCAGCCTTGCGCCCGCGTCCCCCAGTTCGCCTTCACATGGCCCTGATCCTCAGTCCACAAGTCAGTCCGGCCCGGTTTCTCCTGGCCCATAGTCTTCCCCTTCGTCCCCAGTCCAACAGCCCGGCCTGGAATCCCCCCGTACATCATCGTCTCCAGCACAGCCCGTTGTCCCCGAGGCTCCTCTGCTGGACCAGTCTGTCCCACTTCGACGCGGAGATCGCGTACGTCGTCGTCCCAAGTTCTTGGAGGATTATGATACAACTGCCCAGTCCGTTGTTTATCCCTTGTCAGCTCATGTCTCGTACTCTCGTGCCACGCCTGCATATCGGACCTTTTTGGCGGCAATAACGTGTCACGATGTACCCAAAAATTTCAATGAGGCTGTTAAACATACCCATTGGCGTGAGGCTATGATCAAAGAGATCACTGCCCTTATACAGAATGGCACTTGGAGCCTTGTCGACCCTCCTCTTGGTCGCCGTATCATCGATTCAAAGTGGGTTTTTAAGATCAAGTACTTTCCTGATGGCATTATCGAACGTTATAAGGCTCGATTAGTTGCAAAAGGGTATACTCAAGTTGAAGGAATTGATTATCATGATTCGTTCGCTCCCGTGGCCAAACTTGTTACTGTTCGTTGCTTAATTGTCGTGGCTGTCAACCGCGGTGGTTTATTCATCAACTCGACGTTAATAATGCGTTTCTTCACGGGGACCTAGACGAAGAAGTTTATATGCGTATTCCCCCTGGCTTTGCGGAGAAGGGGGACACTCGAGAATGTCACTCCACAAATCCATTTATGGTCTTCGTCAGGCATCTCGTAACTGGTATCATAAGTTTACCGCGTCTCTTGGTGAACTTGGTTTTCGTGCGTCACCAGCAGATCATTCTCTTTTCATCTATCGGAAAGATGATGTGTTTGTGGCAGCTCTCATCTATGTGGATGATGTCATTTTAGCAGGAAATGACATGTCTTTTATCACTCATGTTAAGACTTTCCTTGATCAGCGCTTTCGCATCAAGGATTTGGGTTCTCTCCGTTACTTCTTGGGTATTGAAGTTGCTCGTTCACCACGTGGCATCGTGATAAGTCAACGCAAGTATACTCTTGATATTCTTGAAGAAGGCGGTGTACAGGCTGCTCGTCCAAGCGCCTTTCCAGTTGAGCAGAATCACCACTTGACACTGCCTGCTGATGTTACTCTTGTTGATGGTTTTGCTTATCGACGTCTAGTCGGACGTCTACTTTATCTTACTGTCACTCGTCCGGATATCACCTATGGTGTTAATATCCTTAGTCAGTTTGTTCATGCTCCCACACAAGCTCACATGGATGCAGCGATACGGATACTTCGTTACCTTAAACAGTCGCCCGGTCAAGGACTCTATTTCCCGGCTAATGGTTCCCTTGAACTGGTTGGTTACTGTGATGCAGATTGGGGAGGGTGTGAGAGCACTCGTCGTTCAACAACGGGGTTTTTCATCCGTCTGGGCAATGCTCCCATTTCTTGGCGCACCAAGAAACAGAAGGTTGTTGCTCGTTCGTCAGCTGAGGCCGAGTATCGTGCCATGGCCGGCACTGTCAGCGAGATACTTTGGCTTCGATGGTTACTTAGTGAGCTTGGTGTACCCCAGAGTCAGCCTACACCAATCTTTTGTGACAATCAGGCAGCTCTTCATATTGCTGCCAATCCGGTCTTTCATGAGAGGACCAAACATGTTGAAATGGACTGCCATTTCGTTTGTGAGCGAGTTGTGTCTCGTGATATTCTGCCTTGCAAAGTAAGTTCGCACTTTCAAGTTGCCGACATCTTCACCAAAGGTTTTGGTGCAGATCGTTTCCGGTTCTTGTTGTCCAAGCTGAATGTTCGTGATCTCCACAGTTCAGCTTGCGGGGGTGTATTGGACCGAGAGGTTTCCACGCAGGCCCACTTGATGTCTCGTTCAGCCTACCTAGTTGAGGAAGAAGAGTCCGCTTCCGATAAACATAGGGTTAGGCAAGTTACTTGTACGGGAAGTAATAATCCCTCTCCCATTCCTAGTTGGGATAGAATTGTTCCTTCTAGTACAGACGTGAGAAAGGAGCTTATATATAGCTCTTGTGTAAGGCCAATGGCCGTAAGCTAATAAGAAAAGTAGTCGTGTTCTGTGGACGTAGGTCTCACACACTGTGAAGCTGAACCACGTAAAATCTCGTGTTCGTGTTACTCTTCGGCATTGTTTTACTTTTTATCAGATCGTGTTATCGAGGAGGAGGATTGACTTGCTGGTATTCTCGAAGGCTCTCGATCGTGACCTTTCTCCGCGTCTCGAAATCCAGCCTGTGAAGATCAGTAGCTGTGGCGAGATACCCATACAGAATCCTCGTCTTATCCCCACTGCGATGGTCCACCTTCACGAGGTTTGTATTCCTCTCATTGTCGTCCCTGCCGCTGCCTAAAGTCGCCGGTTGTATTCGTTCCTATGTGATTCGTCCATGATTCTGCATCGCGACAGCTGCACGGCCTCCTTCAAGCCTGACATGTCGCCGCTATACTTTACAAGTGTCATTCCTTGATGACCTTCTCTTCCATACAGTGACTTACTTTGACTTGCCACCCGGAAATCCAAGGTCTGAAAAGCCACATTTTAATTGTAATAGGAAGGTAAATCGGCAAAGGGAAAAGAGAAAAATGATATTTCCACTGCATTATGACGATATGATCCCAAACCGACCCTTCTTCAACCCGACGAAACAGTCCATCCAACTGACAAGAAGAAACTCACGTTTTGGTTAAATGTTGATGTTGTTTCAGGGTCGCCACTTTATGAGCCTGGTCCTCACCAATGGTTAGATGAAAATACGAAAGGAAGGCTGGGAAGTGGAGTTCACATGTTTGTCTACGAGCTGGAAGGAAGGGTTGCTCAAAAACAGGTTTTGCACATTGATTTCCAGATCTGTCAAAAGGCTAGGAAGCCACAGGGGAGTTGTCTAAAATTGGCCAAGGCATAACACCGTTTCAGGCAGCCAACTTCCAGAGGCCATAACTTTGGCTTGGAGTACAACCAGGAAGAGCTGGAGATACTGGGACGAAGCTGGAATTATGATAAACCACGAGAAGGCATTAGTTGATTGAGATGGAGTCGGGAAGGGCCTGATTCAGGAGTGCAAAGTGGCTGTCTCGAGCAGGGTGTTACTTGTGTAGGAAGTAGTTTGCTTAAGTCTTAAGTTTCCGAGTTGTAGTAGGATTTTTACGGCAAGTTGTTGTTTACGTTTCCTTTTCCTTTCCTTGTTAGTATAGAATTCAATTGGTCTCAGCCTATTTAAAGGGCTCGTATTGCATTGTAATGGAGAAGAAGTTTTAATCGAAAACCCTAAGGTTTGCAAGCAGCACATTGTGTTCTTGTGGTTGAGTTTGGTGGATTCCAAACTCGAGAGCTCTGTATCGATCAAGAACACGTTGATCGCCGTCGGGCGTCTATCTTATTTCGTTCGAGCCTTTCACCATGTGTGGAACTGCACGACGAACCCTTCCGTAATCATCAATTTCATCACCATCGTACTCTGTTTGTGTTTTGTTCTTGGACTTGGATTCAAGTTCGTTGCTGCGCAAGTCTTGGGCTAAGCTAGCTCGCATTATATGATCTGTATATAACAAAAATAGAATTTGCATTTACAAAGTAATGAAGGCAGGCGGAGCATCTGCCAAATGTGAAATCAGCACCGATTTTTTCGTTAAGTAGGCCGATAGATGTTCAGAACCGATAAATGATCTCTCTAAAAGATCTTGCTCAATTGCTCCAAGGATATGAACATCCATATGACCCTAATTCATCCACTGCTTCTCAGCAGTGAACAACAGGGGAAGAAAACAAAAGGAACAAAAAAAATAAAAAACAGAGGCCCCTAGCAGCACAAGAAGTGCTCCCCACGCCCGAAGCCCCAAAAACGACGCCCCAACCAAGCACTGGAAAAAGGAAAAATGAACAAAGAACAATGAAAAGGAAGCGGAGACTCCAGCTGACCCTAAACCCAGACCGACAAAAGCAAACAAGGCCAAAGAAAGAACTGAAAAATTGGCAGCCTCTCAACGGACCAATCGAAACAGCAACGACCAGCACCAAGATGAAAGCTAATGCTCACTAGCTCCAACTGCTACTTAGGTTTTACAAGAAACTAGATACTTTGTAAGTTTCCACGTTCAGTCAGACTCAGCTTCAGTGCCTGCCAGATGATGAAGAGATAGGTTCTGCTTTATCATCATTCCCTAACAAGATAAATTAGGGACTTAAGTCTTAACACACTTGTGTTTGTAGCAGGAAAAAGGCACAGGACAGCACATTCTAACAGGTTCTTTAATGTAGCTGCATTAGACAGCTGAACTGGCATATTCACTCCATGAACCAAAACACTGGCTAACAGAGAATATTACAGCTAAGAGCAGAGAATCTATCTATGGCAATGATATGAGTTCATCTGAATTGTCATTTCTGAAAAATAGAGTTCCAACCTACCGTTGCACCCTATTCATGAAGGTCAATCTGCTCCCCCCTAATAGCCTCAGCTCTAAGCCCAATTGCAGTAAGGAAAGTTACCCCGAGAACATTAGAAGACCCAAGCAATTGCTTGCTTCCTAAACCCAGCCATGATATGAATATAAGACCGTTGAGACATAACACATAAGAAATGGTGTCAAACCCCCGTTGCTAAAGAAGAAAAGAACTGTTTAGCAACATCTTTACCCATTCCTCGCCAAAAAGAAAATCAAAATGCAAACAACCTATTCCTGGTTGTTGGAAGCAGGATGTCAGATATACTCCCCCTCCCTCCTCCAAAAGAAACTGGGAGGCCACCAAGATTGAGAAGGACATTGTTCTAACCTTTTTGAAGAATGAAGGTCGGCGCAACTCCATTCTTTAGCAGTAAGGTTTGCTTAGAAAACCAGACCTAGGCTGCAGAATCATATCTATAGAGTTGCTTGCAACTCAATACCTAAAGAAACTAAAGAAAAGGGGGGAAAGAACTCAGAAACCAACAACTCTTCCGGCCGCAATCTCCTGGTATCTTCTTAGAGCACTTCCCTAGTGGTGCCTCTTCGCGCAGACTGACCGAGTTTTTAGATCACTTTTTAGTAGCCGGCTTCAGTGCTGCTAATGTTCCAAAGCAAATTCTTCTACAGATGTTTGTCAAAGATAGAAACCCTTCTTGGATACCACCAAGTCACTTTAGTAGATTAAAATATACTGTTATCAGGGCGGTACCCAATAAGCACGTAAAGTTTTTCCATAAGATTGTCTTACGACTATAATCTCGGTTTACTACCCCCCCCCCCCCAAAGGAGAAATCAGTGCAGGATACCAGAGGAAACAAGTTGTCAGAGAAAGCTACTGCACAAACGCAACCCATCCTCCGTTCATGAACAAAGGAATCCATGGATCACATTGTTCCAAAACAAACAAGAACGATTGAATGAAGGTTTGCACTATACCTCTTATTTTGCCATCCATGACTTTGTTTCCCAAACCTTCCAAGCGTCCATCTTTACCCCTTCCTGTAACTGTTATGAATAATCACCAAAGGCGGCCACACAATCATATCGTTCTGGTTTGCTGCTGCTTCATGGGCAGGTAGGAACTGGTACGCCCTTGAACTATCAGGAAACTTGGTGAAGTTCCATCCCATTAAAACACACAGGGCTTTGTGTAAACCCAAGTGATCCACCCGAGATTCAACCTTTTCTGAGTTGTATTATAAGAGCATGCACATCTGATAAATCTTTCGACCTGTACTTTGCAACATGAAGGGGATCGAACAATAACAAATTTAGGCAATGATCCCACTTGTTTGCTGTGAGTCTAAAACACCAAACACAATTGCCGCAGCCTATACAGTCAGGTCTATCAGAAAACTACCAGAAAAGGAAATAGAGTGGTACAACTATACTGTTCCATTCCATGTCATGCATCAACCTTTTGGATTGTGTTCAGATACAGTTGGAGAAGGAAAATAGAGTCAAATCAACATGTGTTCACAATTGCACTCCTCGGGGAACCACTACACTTAAAACCTGAATTTGCTGGTAACTTCTGAGTATATCATATACAAAAGTGAATTGATATTCTATGTCAGTTCGAATCAGGAGCAAATGAGAATAACATCCCCTACAAGGACTGAGAGCCATATGTTGTGCAGGAAGATCAAGTCATCTATTTTCAGAAGATGAAGTGCATGGTTATCTATCTGTACAAAGGCAAAAGATTTTTCATATCTACAAGCACACAGAAACTAATACCATGATAATCCCAACTAATGTTTTTGTCCCAAGTATCAAACCAGAACAATAGACCTCCAAGACAGAATCTTTTATTCATTATCAAATTATGGAAACAGAGGACGAAGTGTCAAGCAACTATACAGGAAGCACATGTCTGCTGCAAGACATTAATTGATGAAAAATTATCTAAACCAACAATAAAAAGGAAATAATAAGAAGGAAGAATAACGGGATATAGCCTACAATAGTTTCCACAAGGCCCTGTGTGCCAAGAGCACATGCACACAGCAAGTCATTAGTTATTGCAACTGAGCATATAAAAATACAAACACTCAGAGCAAGCAGACAACTAGGAAAGGAGGAAGTGAAAATGAGACAATTGCTGTCTAATAATGGAATTGTTACGCATGGCTATGAAGCCAAATTGTCTGTCAAATAATAGTAAAAGAAGACAAAACACTGAACTCCAGTGTCAAGTCAGCACTACAATCATATGTAGGACTTGTCCACATATAGCCAACTAGAACACATAACGCAGCTACCCCAGGCTCATAAGTAAAGTTGGCAGAGAAGCAAACCATATGTAAATTGTTCTATATGTAAGCAGCCCTAAATACTCCCAGTAATTTAACAGATAAGTAGGGAGCATCCTCGTCTTAGCCCCTAATTCCTTAGTCTAAAGTGTGTTAGGCGTTTGAGGACAGAAGTATATGCCCAGAGTTTATATCATGGAAAGGAAGATTTCTGTTTGTCATAGTTGCTGGAATTTAAGAGAGCAATGAAATTTAGGGTTCTAAAGCTTTGCCTCTCCAACCAAGGAGCGGGACTTCACTTGAGAATCCACTCAAGAAGGCTCTAAATCTAATCAAAGATCCAATAGAACTTAGATCTTTCATCCTGTTATTCTAGATACGAACCACCTTAATGGGATGGCAAAATTTACTAAAAGAAAACAAGCTTTAGGACGATCATGAGCAAGTAATAAACAATATAGCTTACATAATAATAAAAAACTGCAACAACCTGTGTGGACATCAGAGTCGACAAGTGGGGAATTAGGGTTCTGGACGGGGAGATCTTAAGAGGGAGAATTGATCATTCTGACATAGCATTGCACTTGGTGCTAGTACCTCAGTCAATCAATGGCCAAAGCAATGTACACAACCAGATGGAGTTGATGTTGTTTTCCAACAATGAAGTAGTATCAATGAGAATAGACTCGTGTTTCTTTGATTAAAGCACCCGTGTTTGACAGTCGTTAAGACTGTGGATTTGATTGCTTTCAGGTAAATAAATGTTGCCAAAAGAAAAGATGGCCGTGCAGTAGCCCAAGCAGCAGCCAGGAATGAGTCCCCGCATACTGTTAGCAGCTATGTGTGTCTGGGGAAGGTCTAGGAAAGAATTAAAGCTACAGCCACTCACATAAACAATTAAACACTACCTACTCGCGATCTCAAGTTCATATACTGAGGAAGAATGAAGCTATAGCATACAAATATTTAAGTTCCTTCCTCAAAGGTGCAGCAAGAGAGGAACACATAGGACGTAAATCAAAGATTGAACTACTATCGAAGGCAAGAAGTTCCCCCCTGCCCTTCAAGTGCATATGCGAAACAATCATAGTGGCAGCATGAATTAAAAGAGTAACTTAAAGCAGATAATCCTTCCTGAACCCTCATGCCCTCAAGCAATGTAGTTAGATAAGGGGCAATTCTTTCTACCAAAACAAAAAAACTAAGCACCCGTAAGTTGCTACATTAACCTGTAAGTGAGTCATCAGTGTTCTCCTTCTCAGTAGTTGAATCCTGCCATCTTCTCACCACAAGGACTCTTGTCGGATGAGTCAGAGTCAGCACCCTCTTCATTTCTAGGTTCCTCCAGTTCACCGTCAATCTTCGCCTCAGACACCGCATCCTTAGAGACAGGGTTACCCTTCTCAGTGTTCTCCTTCTCAGCAGTTGAATTGCCTGCCATCTTCTCACCACAAGGACTCTTGTCGGATGAGTCAGAGTCAGCACCCTCTTCATTTCTAGGTTCCTCCAGTTCACCGTCAATCTTCGCCTCAGACACCGCATCCTTAGAGACAGGGTTACCCTTCTCAGTGTTCTCCTTCTCAGCAGTTGAATTGCCTGCCATCTTCTCACCACAAGGACTCTTGTCGGATGAGTCAGAGTCAGCACCCTCTTCATTTCTAGGTTCCTCCAGTTTACCGTCAATCTTCGCCTCCGACACCGCATCCTTAGAGACAGGGTTACCCACCGTGGCCACCACCAGACCATTACCACCCTCTTCAGTTCTAGGTTCCTCTTTCTCGGCCAACTTATCACCTCGGGGACTGTTGGAAGGATTCCATTTGATATCCTTGTTAGCCAACAGCTGCTTATAAACATCTAGACAGTCCTCGACAACATACCGGCCACCATAGACATGCCCAAACTTGTATTTAGAAGCCTTATCAATGACTGTCTTCTCATCCTTCACAATCAAAATGATATCGTCTATTGGCGCTACTATTGCACCGTTCCTCTTAATTCGCTCTGCTCCGGTAGCGTTTGGGAAAATAAAGATACAATGCGGACCATCCCAATCCTTGTTCTTCAAGGGATTTAGCAAAACGAGAACCACAAAGCAATCCATATCATCCTTATGCTCGAAAAAGTATTCCTGCTGCTGCACTGTCAACCTATAAGAGAGTTTAGGTTTATCGGATGATTTGCACTCGAAGTAAAATGTCTTCCCACTCACCGGGTCTATGGCCGTCGCGTCGTAATGCGCTCCGTCGGCCGACTTAACAAGGCTGTCAGGGTACAGAAGTTCAAGATACCTGAGACAGATTGTTTCTCCTTTCGCTCCATTATCAGATCGTTTATCATTATCATTATTCTTCTTCTTCGGCGTAGTCGCCTGGCCTGAATTTGTCGAAAAATTGGAGACCTCCTTCTCTCTCTCAATCTTCAAAAATTCCGTGTTCGCAGTCGGAGACCTTGCAAGCCCAGTAATCGGAGACCTTGCAAGCCCAGTAATCGGAGACCTTGCAAGCAGGACTGGACTTGTCCTGCGGAGGAAGCTACGAATCATGGGGAAGACTGAATTACTCGAAAAATTGGAGACCTCCTTCTCTCCCTCAATCTTCACAAATTCGGTGTTCTCAGTCGGAGACCTTGCAAGCCCAGTAATCGGAGACCGTGCAAGCAGGACTGGACTTGTCCTGCGGAGGAAGTTACGAATCATGGCGAAATGGAGGAAGGCAGTGAGGATTTTTTTTTTTTTTTGACAATCAGGCAGTGGTCAGTGAGGATTCGATCGAATGAATCGGGGGACCAAGGCGAGGCGTTAGGGGAAAAAAATTCGGTGAATAAGGGTTTGGGTTTTGGGCTAAGGCTACGGAAGTGGGCCGGTCCCGTGGTTAAGCCCAAAAGAATCTACAAGTATATTAAAAGCCCAAAGTTAAAACTTCCTCCCCATTCAAAAAGGTTGCTAAATCTCGCCCTGATCGCCCTAATCTAATGGTTTAAATTTACTTCTTTGTCCTTTATCCTTTTTTAGTGTGAATTGGGCCTTAATCGCCCTAAACTAATCCCCGGTCTAATTCTTTTCTTTTTCAGCTGTCTCACTTTGATTTGTTTTTTAATCGGATAATTCTAATTCAACGACAATGGGGCGACGACGGGCGGCCAGGAGGTGGAGACAATGATTGTTGGCGGGAAAGGGAGACTTCAAAGAGAAAAGGTGACGCCATATCTGAGTCAAATTTGGGTGCTCAGCTTTGTTCAATGCACTATTACTAAGTCAATTTGAATTTGAGAATCACTATTACCAAGTCTCTATGTTATCCAACTTCGTTTCCTTTTTTGCTTACATAGTATGACTTCATTCACAATCTTTACTAAAAGAGCCATGCAGCCTACGACAGTCGAACACCAATGATTTCGATGAGATAGGCGATCCACAACCTGTTGAAATAACAGTACCCCTTCCTTTCGATTTGATTTCGCTTCTCGGTGGGTCATGCCCCTCGGAGGGCCTTAGAACCAGAATCATAACCATAATTTTGTATGTGGTGAGATTCATTGGAATACATGAATGAAGTCGTATTATGGAAAATAAGAAAGAAAGAAATCCATAAAGAAAAAACAATGAATTGCAGACACATAATTGGGTAACAATAACCGCATCGTTTATGTGTGAAATGAGAGATAGGGCAACAAGAACCACATCGTTTTGTGTGCGGCGCCAGTTTTTTTCATCAGGTCAGGATGAAAATGGATCAACACATGGGTCGACTTGCTGCAAGGTTCTCAGGTTGAAGGCATACAAAGTCGTTTCCCGTTAATTTGAGAAATGAGCATCTTTTCCAGTTTTTCTTTTGCTTAACCCTATTTTTTAAATTCTAAGTTGAATTTTGAATATTGATGTTATAAAGTTACATGTTATTAACTATATATTAAATTTTATTTAATAGAATTTATAAATGTATAAACAATATAACAATTTTTCATACATTCAACTTGAAATGATCAAACCATTAACCATAAACCTACTTGATCGACCGGATTGAGAACCTTGCTTATAAGTGAAAAAAATAAACACTACTTCCCGCACTAGAGTGCGGGTAAACACATCTAGTTGCTAATAATTCTACAAGAGGTTGATCTGATATTATCATTAGAGAAAAATGAAATATTGGGAATTTGTAATTCACTACTATTTTAAGTGCATAGATTGTAGAGTTAAAATAATATTGGATAGAGTAATTTTCATATAAAAGTATTTATATTATTTCTTAAATTTTTTATATATGTTAAGGTGATTATTGCTTATGAAAATATCTAATTATCTCACTATTACTCAAAACATAAATTATTGAATCAACAGTATAATTTATAGCTGAAAAGTAAACCTGCACCCCCCATTCAAAATTTCCTGCCCATAGAGTGATTTTAGGAAGCTGATGTGGCAGAGTGTTAAGCGGGGAAAAAAAGGAGTCCCGCCTGATTTCAGAACCAAAAAACTCTCCACTACCCACTTTTTTCTCCTTCCACGCCCACGTTCTCATTTTTAATTTGTATTTTTTATTTCCGATTTCCCTTCCTTCCACTCTTTCCCTTCATTCCGTTTTCTTTATTCTCTCTTACCTTCCTTGCTTCATTCTGTTGATTGGATTCTCTAGAGATCAAAAGGGGATTTTTGATTTTTCCCTTTCTCTTGAAAGTAACAAAGCTGCTTACTTTAAATTCCACTTCGCTTAGACTGTCTTCCAGAGAGCAGCCGACTGCCGATTTTGAGCTGAGTTTTTCCGGGCCGCAGAGAAAGAAGAAGAAAGAAAGAGACGTTCGGCGGCGGCAGGCGGACAAGAATTTTGGTGACGAGATCTTGGGGAAGGTGATCGGACATTGTGGTGCCAAGAGAATCGGCTTGGAAAAGGGGAAACGCGAACACTTTTTTGAGTCTTGATAGAGACGAGTGGCCAAAAAATAAGGTCTGCAAGTTCGGCTGATCGCTCTAATGGGAACAGGGGAAGGCTTTAAAGAGTTTTAGTAATTGCAAGTTTGATCACTCAGCTCAAAATCAGTGAAATAAACATATATTTGTGTTGGCCATTACATTGTTGTCCTTCTCGCTCTTCCTTTGCATCCCCAAGCTTGGAAGCCATTCTGTTATATGTGTTTTGTTCATCAATTTAAATTATTCCTTATATAGTTATATTTTTCTTCGACTGTTATGTTTGTGTGGTGTGTTGTATGTGTCATTAACTCGCACAAACTTATAATTGGTGAGGAGTTCAACTTCTGTTGTAACAATTAATTAATTTATATAAATGGCAGCTGCAAAATTTACTTGAACGGGTGCATCATTTACCACGACCTCTATTTCAGATTGCATCAGGTTATTGGAGAATTTAATATGGATAGTGCAAATGTCATCCCATCTGCCCAACCACAGATTTATCGATCGTCTGTACCATGTGAGTGTCATGGTTTAGCACGCAACTGCTTCAATGCAAACTGACATTAATATTTTCCCTTGAATCTCATTTGTTTAGGGAAACGTCGAGCAGTGTTTATTCATCCTGAAGATCAGTACCAACGCTGTGTTTTATCTGTTGAAGAGGAAGAAGCATTTGAGAGAGGTGTGTTATCTGTGTTTTAATTTTTCTAATTAGTTCATCTATTCAATGAGTAATACATGGTTTTATATTTAAATTCTGCAGAAGAAGCTGCCTTACAATTCCAACTCTCTCAACTTCGGCGAATACTATCCCAAGTCGCCCGTAAGAGAAGACATCATATTTTGAAACAGAAGGTTCATAGGAGGGGCTTGCCTTTTGAACACCAAGGTTGTTGTTTGCTAAATTTTGTAGCAAGTCTTACAAATTAGGCTATTATAGATTGTTGAATCTTTATTTATTTCTTTAATATCGTATGTGTTTTGGTGTTGTTCATAGTTTTGGAGCCGGAGTTTAGATTTCTATTACAAAAGCAAAGTCGATTACTTCGACGTATTCATCTGCATAGAAAGAGACGTGGCCGAAGTTTCTTTCCTACAGAAGTCAATCAAAGTATGTGGATTCTAATGACCACTATTATACATGAAATGGTTCATCTCTATTTTGGTTTAGTTTTTGTACATTGGATATATGTTTTTGTGTTCTGGTCAACATATTTTGTTTCCTATTTTGGTTTTAGAACATATAATGTACCCATTTATGCCATGCATATAATTTAGTGATGTACGCTTCATGTCACCTTATCATGGTAAAGGAAACCGTACCGGACATCATACCGGATTCCTTTCTGGTATGGTATTTTGTGGTACGACCGTGGTTCAACCGTTTTGTACCGGTAAATACCGTTTTTCACTATTGATAGAGAAATGAAATGCGATAGTATAAAAAATATAATCCATCAAAAAAAGAACCAAATAGAGCATTATACAACCACAGTGACCCATTTTCAACATATAAAAATAACACAATAATATTCTTTTTAATTATTTTCCACATATTGGACGAGAATACGGAGAAATGAAGCTGAATCATAGACCAGAAAACCGGATCGTACCGGCCGGTTCAACTGGTTCAACCGGTCAAACCGAAAAAACCGGCCGACACGGTAAAATCAGCACAATCAGCCCACCGTACCGCTTTTGGTCCAATTTCGGTTGAACCGGCTGAACCGGCCGGTACGATCCGGTTTCCTGGTCTATGCACCTTATGCAAATAGTGGATTGTTTTTAGATGTTGATGTGTCAACGGCAAATTTGTGTGTTATGAACAAACTTTGGTGTTTCCTGAAATTTGACTTATTCTTACTCAAAATTAGAGGTATACCAATCTATCTTGCCTTGAGAACATTTATTTTAATAATTGTGTTTACTGTAGCGCGCCTAAATCGGCTTCACAGTTTCTCAATCTCATTCAATTTATGAATTACTGTGACAAAAATTTATTAATATTACTTATCTATTTCACTAGGTCTTCCGTTGGTTGAATTTTCTGATATTGGTCCACCTTCATGTACGTGTCAACATTGTGGAGCAGTTATGTGGCGGTTCGAGAATACTTTATCTTAAATATGATATTTTTCTCTCCGATTAAAAAAAAGATATTTTCCCTTAAAAAAATGGTATACCCAACTTTCAGAGAAAGGGTTCACTTTTCATTTAGAAAGGAAAATTCACGAAATAATTTTTTATATGAAATCATGTATGCATGCTTTTTTTTTTTACTGGGATCTTGTATGCATGCTTAAAGGGGAAGTTAAGAGTTAATTGAAAAAAAAAAGTAAAAATATGAAGTGCACGCGCCAACCAACAATAAAAAAGAAAAGGAAAAAATAAAATAAAAGCTACCTAGAATTAAGGAGAGGCAGCTTTGGGATTGCAGAGGCGGGTTTGATTCCTGCTCAGTAAATTTAATACCACTTCAAAGAGTCCTATAAAAAATACAATTGAAAACAGAGAAGGAATTAATGATAATTTAATCATTCAATTTAATAAATTATATTTAGGGAGGGTGGCGGATTTGAGATTGCAGAGGCGGGAATGGCCAGCTGCTCTAAAATTGCGGCTGATTCTTCTCCATTCCCCCACTATGACAAGTATCCATTTATTTCTCCCCCACTCCCCCACTACCTCTAGAGCCAAAACCGAATTTTTTCTACTCCTCCCCACGTTTGCCGCAAGCCACCTTATTATATAAGGTAATCTCTATTCAATTATTGCTATTCATTTCAACATCACCGCTGCACCATGACGCTGGTCTCCATTGCCGAACTTGCTACTGTCCAACAGCCCTTCGAACTCCAGTGTCGGGTTTCTAGGAAATGGACCGCCTACCATGCAAAGAAGGATACGGTCATTTCTTTGGATTTCATCCTCATAGATTCGGAGGTAATGTCATCTTTAACTCCTCTTCTACCTCTTTTGTTCTTCGCATATTGGTTTCAATTTCACTCAGGTTTTTGTGTCGTTGCAGGGAAATGACATTTGGGCGCAAATTCCACTAGATTCCGTCCGAATATTTGGTAGTCAGCTTGAGGAACAAAAATGCTATTTGCTAGCAAAATTTAAAGTAACTTCCACAAAGGAGGATTTCCGTCCTGTTCCAAACCCTTTGATGATTCAGTTCAACGGAGACACTACTGTTCAGCCGATTGATCCGATCCCAACTGCTCCGCCGTCCAAGTTCCGGTTCATCAAAGCTGTTGACATCCCCAAATATCATAATGTCACTGGAGATTTGCTAGGTTGGTATCCTCATTACGGCGCATCTGCTTGCTATTGAACTTATATTGACAATGGTATCCTCTTATCATTGCTTAATAGATGTGAGAGGACATTTAGAACAATTTTCTAATGTCCTGCTTCCCAAATCCTCAACCAACAGGACCCCACGGAAGGATATCAAACTCCTTCTTCCGGAGTAACATTTTTCATTCTATACGATCCCCGACCATTCTTCTTAATGTTATTTAATAATAGCTTCCCAATTGAATTACCATAACTTCTACGTTACTCTCACTTTCCATATGTTTTGTTTTCTAACACCACCACCATTGGATTATTTGTAGAGGTCAGTCGATTAAGGTTTCACTGTGGGCGAGAATTATGACGCAGCTGGATCCCTTTGCTAGACCAGGACAGGAAATCTTTGTTCCATTGGTTCTGACATCTATAATTGTTCGGAAATGGAATAGTATGTCCCTACATTTATATCAATATAGGCAACTCCTATCTAATTACTGACTTGCATTACAATTTCTGCAGACGAATATTATTTGTCTTCCTCAAGTGCCACGCGGATCTATGCAGACATCGATCCTCCTGCTGGAATGGTTCATCCTGAAAGGTAGTCCCCAAACCCCGCAAGTTGAACTGTATGGCAAGTGATTGGATGGCAAACAAATTGATATATTGTGTATAATTCATATTGGTAGGAATGTGCCCCTTCCTCCGCCGCGATTTGTAGACTCTGAACCCATCGTTGTAATCCCAGAAGTGACAATTGGTCAACTTAATGAGTTGCGTTTGGGTGATAGAGTTCAGGTTTAATCCAGTTCATATATCTTGGGGCACTCAAAATCCGTTCTCACAATGCGTTTGACCACTCTAATCATGTTGTGTCATTATATTTGTTTGTCTGTCACCAGAAAACTGTGCAGGTCAATTGCATTGTTACGAAGGTCGACCATAACTGGGCATACAATGGGTGTGCATCATTTAAATGCCACTGTTTGGTTAAAGAAGATATAGGTGGATTTTTCTGCTCAAAATGTGGAGTTACGTCTTCTAAAGCAATCAAAAGGTGAGTTCTATCGTCCACAACCCTTTCCCTAGCATTCTTAATTTCAATATGATTGTAGAACGTGTGTAGATGGCTGCCATCATACCCTATGCCACTTAATATGCCTACTACATATGAAAGTAGAAAGATTTTTGTTCTTCTCCGGTCAAATGTTCCGGCAAATGAATTGTTTCTGCTACTATACAACTGGAACTTCATGATCTCATTCGTCTATTATGTTTCAGGTTTCGCATTGTCATGACTGTGAGGGATTTGCAAGATACCATTGACTTGGTTTTACTAGACTATGCGGCCGGCAACTTCTTGAACACCTCTGCCCAGGAGTTGGTAAATACGATGAAAGATCCACATGATACCACCATACCTCCTACAGTTTTATCTCTAGAGGGGAAAGCATTGAAAGTGGATGTCAAGATCAGTGACTACGACTTCTCTCATCCATCAAGCAAACTAAGCGTGATGAGGATTGTGGAGGAGCTTGACCCGAGGAATGGGAATTTCCAGGACCTTGCTCATCAAATTGAGGTGATGGGAAAACTAGAATGATTGCCTGTTTTATTATATCGTTGTTAAATATTTTCCTTTACGAAATTTCGCTGTAGATTTCATTGGTTACAATTTATTTGTTGTTGTCAGGCTGATGTGATGACTGCTCAGTCTTCCTCGGAATCTATCTCCATCACTCCATCTCCACAGCAATCCTCACACGACTTGACTACGACTGAAGCTGATGGCAATTGAATAGAAGCCGTGGAACCTGAAGGCGCAACTCCAACGTCCTTGAAGCGAAAACAACCACCTACGTGCACCCCGGATCACTAGGAACATCAGCTACCAACTGCACGACGACCTTTATTACATGTCCCTGTCGGATAAACATGCTTTATTTCCTTTGATTATTATTCATGTGATCTTGGATGGTACTCTTTCTTAAATGGTAGTCGCCAACATGGTTTTTATTAATTTGTGGCCCATTCTTTATGCAGTACGGCCAGTTCTTATCAACATAACTAAACACCAAGAAAATGTATTTCAATTTAGGGGTGGGCAACGGGATGGGCCGGGATACCCGTCCAGTTTGAAATGGGTTCCCAAACCCATGTATAGGGTAAATTTAATGCCATGTCCCAAACCCGTACGGTTTAGCGGTATCAATTATACACTCAATAATTTTTTAATAATGTTTAGTCATTGACGTATGAAATACACGTTTCAAAGTGAAGAGATTAAACTTTAACAAAACAAATTAATTGTTGGCAACATTTATAACATACTATTGTTAAAAAAATTCAATATTGGGCATCAATCTCATTATAGTTCGTCTATTATCTAAGTTTGACTCATACCCACATTGAAGTTTTACCAAAAAAATTCTCATGTTGAAATTGTTATGATATAAAGTCTGTGATGCATTGTATGTATGCGAAGATTCATGAACTAAACTCAGTGAAAAATCATCTTCCACACAATATAGATCAATTTATAAAGTGGGATATTTGAGCTAAGGTACAACTTAGAATTCTTAAAAAAATAGTACCAAGTGTATTTTCACCAATGTCATAGAAATCCACCGAACTACACGGTTGGAGCGACTATATTGAATAGCAGGAGGGTGCTGATGGGTGAGTCTATGATTCTATGTTATTTAATCTTAAACCCACCTAATTAATCAGCAAAAAGACCTGGTCATTTTTTATTGTAAAAAAAATAAGGGAAATAATTGGCTGCAACCTAGGTAGCAGCCAGCTCCTGCTACCCCTCCACGTATTATCTCCTCATTGGTCATTCGTTTTCTTTCACCGTTAAAAATCTTTAGAACCCATTCAATTTTTTTATTAAAGGGTAATGCTAATTTATTTTTACATCCATGTAAATTACAGTTTGCAAGCAAATGTGGTTCTTCTGTGCCGTGATAGATATGCAGTTTAAAGAAATAACATTATTATCTACATATGGATGAGAGAATGTTAATTATGGATCTTATACCATTATTTAATAATTCAACATTATTATCTACGTAAGAAACAACATTATTATCTACCCGATAACATGCTCCCTTTACTTATCCACTATTTCATAAATCAATTGGTACTAATAATTCAAATTGTTAGAAAAGTTAATTATAGATCTTATACCACTTTCTAACATGTCCCCTCAAACAAAAGTCGGGAGAATGTTAGTTATGGATCTTATACCATTATCTAACATGGTGACACTAACGAAAGCTAACTCACGAGCTAAGTTTACATTGACTCATCATATATTGTACTTCAATCAAGGGTTAATGTTGGAGGTCATGAAAATTCGAACACACGACCACTTGACCAAACTAATTCTTATATAATATCATAAACCAATTGGTCTCATTAACTCGAATTATTGAGAAAAATTTAATTATAAATATTATATCACTATCAAACACACTAATTTGTCAAAATTTTGTTTCTTAATTGGGTGGACGTGGGTGATGATGTTCAGCTCTGCGGGAATATTTCATCATACTTGCTACTAGCATTAACCTTTAAAAAGAAAATTAAATGAAAATTCAAATGGGTTCTCAAGCTTTTGGACAGTGAAAATTAAAAAAAAAATGCGCCAATGAGGAGATAGGGTAGCAGGAGCGGGCTGCTCCATAGGTAGCCGCTAAGTATTACCCAAAAATTAAAGGGCTGGGCAAATTTTGATCGGGATAGTTTTGGGCCAAAGCATTTTTCAGCCCGCCCACTCTTCACAAACGTAGAAAGAGACGTGGGTGTAGCAGTTTATTTTCAAATTTGTAAACAGTCCCCCACTTCCCCTGCATTCTAGCGCCGTGTAGATCCCCACCTCCCTCTCTCAATTTAAAATACAATTAGTTAATGTTAATTTTATTTATATAGCCGAAATAAAATAGCCTTCCTCCGTTCCAACTCTGACAATCACTTTAGCAATCCAAAATCTCAAGCATGTCTGTGAATCCTCTTCCTGTTCTTCATGTTCAAAACGAGACCTGGGTGTTGCGCCTGCGGCTGCTGAGGGTATGGGGGAAGCTGTATCATACCGGGGATTCACTTCAACAAGTGAATCCCTTATTCATTAACAACCAGGTCTGTGTATTATTCATTCTGACCTCTTTCTCAGTAACGGTTGTACATACATTAAGTCATTTTCCTTGACTATGCAGGGTCAGTTGGTCGAAGGCATCATTCGGCGACCACATTTAAATCGATTTCTGTCAAGTCTTCATGAGAGCCGTGTTTATGGAGTAATGTCGTTTTACATTGAAGAGAACAACTCTATTCATCGAGTGGCGGAAGTGGATTTTCGTTTGTCATTTCGTTCGGATACCCTGTTTTATGTCATGGAGGACACATGTGATATTCAGAAATTTAGTTTCCGTTTCCTTGCTGTCAACGACATCCCGTATGCATTTCAGAATCAAACTTATCTGCCGGGTATGAGCTTTAAAACAATAGCTTCCTCAAATAAATGCATTTTGGCAACACCCTACATCTGAAAGCACGGTTTTTTTGATTGGCTTTTCTAGATTTGGTTGGAACTATTTTTGGATGTGAACCTGTTCAGGTTCTCTACCCAGGTTTACCGGTTCGGAAAAAGCGGATCACGCTCCTATTGGCAGAGTGCGTAAAATGGTTCTTTTGTTTATGCTCATTCTGAATTCAATGGTTATTTCTATCTTACCAACTTCTGGTTATTTTCTTTAGGGGAGAGATAGCTTATGTTTTTTTGTCGGGCTCGGCAATACCAAGTTTAGAAGAAGTTGTTTCTGATGCCGGAGCTTTGGGGCAGATCGCGGTCTTCACATCACTATTCATCGAGCAAAACGAAGGTGCGAAATTTTTCTGCCTTTTTCTTACTAGAAAGATACTAACCTTTTTTGTGGTCATGTGAGAACAATTGAATCTTTGCATAGTTTGCGTCAATTGAGTAGCTAATTCGTATGCATTTGGTTATCATGTCCTTGAGAATGGTAACATTTTTCGTGCGGAGTAGATGCTGCCCTTTGTTTCTTTTCACAATGACTAGGTTCAGAATACAGAGTCTTTCACAAAACATAATTTTATTATCCAATTAGCACAAGTAATTAAATTTTTGTTTACTCATTTGGAACAGTAAAACGTTGTTTGAAGATACATGTTAATAAGATAAGTTGTATCACTTCAATTCTGGTCATCATGTTTTGTAAATTAATAACAGTTCTTATCACTGTAATTTTATTTACTCATGTGTTTGTGGTTTTATTGTTAAATGGATGTTAGGAGGTTATTCGTTTTCTTCCTCACGAGCAACTAAAATGTATCTCAACATCCACTGCGCTCACATGCATCCTTTGTTAAACCAGTAAACTTCACAAACCTTTATCTTTGAAACTTTAATTTCTAATGTGTGTGGTATCTGTTGATAGTGGTAATTCTGGTTAATTTATTATCAGAGAAGATGGACCCCAATTTGGATCTAACTATATTGTTGGACCATTGCTATAAGAGGAAGCTCTCGCCATAGTTGAGCACACCACGGTTCCACATCTTAATATGATAAAGTTGAGTCTGTATAGTACTGTAAGTCACTCAAACTCAACTAAATATCAATTTTATTAAAGCATAGTCATTACCCAATTCAACATTTGCTTCATTTTGGTCATCAATAACACATTTGTCTGTTTTAGGGGACGGTATACATCATGTCGGGAAAACTAAAAGCCATTGGAATTTCAACTTCGGCGCAATCTATGGTCAGTGTTGTGCATTTCACCATCAATGATGTAACTGAGGAGCTGGAAGTTGTGTTTCCTTGTGTCAACCTTAGACGCATTGTTGGTGATGTGGTTGCGGAGACAGATATCAATTGGGACACTAATATCATGGCCATTCTCAACTGCATTGATTTGAAGTATTACCAATTTGTCATTGAAGTTGGCGCGTGGAACCACTTGGTCCGTCACTGTGATTTGGTTTTGCTGAAGATGTTCTCTGCTGCCTTTTAAGGATGGAGTGCTTTTAATGGATTTCTGGTCTGTGTTCCTATATATAAACCACACTCAAATATTTAATAGGAAGTGGTTGGCTAGGCATTTCTCATCATTCGGCTCTATTAACTACTTCTACCGTACTTTTTTACTGTTGTTTGCGATGATCAGATTGTTGAAGCTTAGCCTATTAGTTTCATGGTTTGGTTTTAAAGCACCCAGTGTGCAAGAGATTAGCTGTAATTGATTTCCTCAGCTTTGTTTATAATGGAGATTCACTTATGTATTTGGATTGGTTTGCTGCTGTTTTACAAGATGGTAGTTAAGCAGATAGGGTGTCAGAACTTATGCGCATATGAACCAGTAAATATTGTCGGGTTTGTGTTATGCACTTGATTATTTTTTTAGTCCTGGTTATGATCCGATGTGAATTGGAGGGTTTGTGCAGTTTCATGCCAGGTTAAAAAAAATGTGAATTGGAGGGTTGGAGTACATTGGCCTGGCGATTTTATTCAGCTCGCTCTTAACCCTGTGAGTTAAACTGAAATGATTAAGAGACAAGGTGTAAATAATTAGTGAGACGCTTCAGCAGGAGGCAAATAGTAACTTGATGTTTTTTTATATAATTAAGAGATGATTCTAACCTTGCTGCAGTATCCGAAGATGACCAGCCGACCTTGATAGCACCATTTTTTTAATTGTCACAATTTATTTGCGTGATTTTCTTGTCATTTATCTATAATAATTATTTTATAAATTAACTATATAAAATGATTTCATTTCGTTCAGTAGTTAGAGCATCCACATCAATATAATTGCAAAGTCAATTGTATATGTATTTTTTTATGACACCTCATAATTTTTGCAATCCAACTAATTTAAATTTCATTGTTGCTACATCAATGTTATTTCTTTGCAATTGCATGTAAAATAAATAATGGTTTTTCTCCAATATATTTTGGGATATTTAAATAACACTAAGAAAAAGAAAACAAGAAAAACTCTGCCATTAATCTACGTGTCATTGCATTTAGGCTTTCATAATATGAAAGCTTGCAAAATTGAATAACTTCGCACATCAGTGAAATTGCGTTTGCAATTGCAAAGCTCCCATCCACGTCATGATGCAATTGGAAAAAACTATGCGATGGAGATGCTCTTACGGGAGAGTAATAAATTAATCATACTTTAAGCATTCAATTTAATAAAATATTGTTAGGGAGGGTGGGGGCTTTGGGATTGCAGAGGCGGCCATGAACTGTAAATGGTGAAGGTGTCTACTTTTGGGGCGCATTCTTCTCCACTCCCCCATGATTACATGTATCCTTCTCCACTCCACCACTAAGCCAATACCTCTAGAGCCCAGTAACAGAATATTTTCTACTTCTCACCATATTTGTCTAATTATCCACTCCCCCACTATCACACTTTCCACACACACGTCATCCCTGCGGCCAAATAAATTAAGTGTTTAGAATCACTTTATCTCCTTTATATAATGGAGATACCACTTGCTCTCATGTTACAATTTCCGTTTACTACTTCCCATACAAAACACTTCGGTTCCATTCACCGTGAGAATTGCATTCAATATGGCGGGCCTACCTCAGTTCAACCAGTAAGTACTGCTCATGCATCCAACGAATACTACATCATGTTATTTCGATTCTTTTTCACTACTTAGTGCCAAAACTTACAGTCCAATATATAGGCTTCCACATGGTTTTATTGCTAATCTGCAATATGGTGATGCTCTTGAAATTTGTGAGCGTGCCGACACCATCGATCTCATTATGTTGCAAGTGGATGTCGAAAATCAGGTAACTAAACAAATAAATTTCTTTTTAATCGTACGCCTTTTGTGGCATGCTGCATTTTATCGATTTGCTTTGACAATATTTGTTTATGTGTTTACATCAGGGCACCTCTTTTCTGTTATCCGGACGTGTAACGAATTTGACGACGTCCTGATCCCCTGCATCCAGAATCCATTTCGTCCACCTCACAATTGAGGACGATTTCATTGGTGTTGACATCGTCTTCCCGTCATCACAGTTAAGAACGATTGTTGGATCTGTATTCAGTCATGCAGATGTTGTCAATGCTGACTATATGGCCCTTCTGAACATGGTTGGAGAACAGACATTTGAAGTCATGGTCACAGTCGGTCCCTGGAACGATGCATTTGGTTATTGTGAACTTGTGTTGGTGAAATTATTTTTGCCTTTGTTGAATTGAGTACCATGACATGAACAATGAGACAATGTCTTGAGTTTTCTTATTTTGGACTTGCATGTTATTTGTCGTAATACTCAACTAGATTAGATTTGTGATTAGTAAGATTTTATGTAATTATTTTTATAGTGATTAGCTAATCTTCAAATTTATTTCTAACTTATTATGAATGTTCATTCAAATTACATGTTCGTCTTCAACGAATTGCAACAATCTTATGATAATATAAAACAAGACTCATTTCTCGACACTATCATTATAGATATTGTAACTCCATTTCTTTAAACAAATGCGGCCAACGGGCCGGGCTATAGGCTAATCTTCAGTTATAAACTAATTTCTTCCGTAAAAGAGCGGGACCTCAATCTAGTTAATTAAACTCATGTTTATTTTATTTTTTTAATATGTTAATATCCGCCCCTGCAGTCGGCCACGTGCCCTTAGGCTGCTAAAATACTGGACTGAATCCAATCATCCATCCTTGTAAGATTCTCTCTCCTTCGTCTCCACGGCCGGCTGACCTCATCCGGAGTCTTCTCTCCTCCGCGCCGACGAACGCAACAGGTTTGCTCGACGCTTCTCCCCCCCCCCCCCCCCCCCCCCCCCCCCCCCCCCCCCCCGTGCTTTTGACTGGCTTTCTCTTCTCGTTCTTCTTGCTTCCCGCTGGCCTCCGATTCGTTTCCGATTTCGCCGCTCGATTCGTGAATTTGTTTCTCAATTTGCTTTTCCTAATCGGTGTAGCGGGTATACTTCCTGTGGTTCAGAAGCAGCATCAACTTCTGGTGACTCTACTTCTCTGCAATGCCGGTGCGATGGAGGTAATTTACAGCAGGATTCCCTCCCCTCGCCTCTTCAATTGCTCTGTTAGAATTAGAAAGAACACTTCCAACTAGCCAGAGATTTGGATTTCTCATTTCAATTCCTAGTCCGCAAAATTGCCTTGTTGTGTCGACTCTAGAAGTCTGTTAGCTTGATTGAATTAACAATTGTGCATTTCCCACTGCGAAATTGCAGGCACTACCTATATACCTGGACAAGATGTTCAACCAATACGTTGCAATTATACTCTCAGTGACGTTTGTTCTGTTCTTTGGGGAGGTATATATGTTTTTTTTTTTAATGTTGAGTGAGCCTTTTTTGGGCTGAGCTCTTTCAACTTTAATGGTTTCCATCATGGAATTATGTTTGGCCGGAATTAGGAATTGTCATCTTTTTGTGGGAGTAGGTTATTCCACAAGCAATATGCACCAGATATGGTCTCGCTGTGGGTGCCAATCTAGCTTGGCTGGTGCGTGTTCTGATGATCATTTGCTATCCTATAGCATTTCCCATCGGAAAGGTAACATGACCAATGATGCTTTTGTAGTTCTTCTTTATCCATTATCAATGAAGTTTGCAGCATTCCAAACTACTCGGGATGAATGCTTAGCTTCCAGTAGCATATGAAAAAGATGCATAATTAGCTGTATAGTGGTAGGAATCTCTCTGGTCTCCACGGCCTCATTTTGCCTTCAATTTTTGTGTTTTCTGTATTCAGATTTTGGACTGTGTGTTGGGGCATAATGAAGCACTATTTAGGCGGGCTCAGCTGAAAGCCCTTGTTAACATACACAGCCAGGAGGTAGGAAATATTAGCTTCACGGTTATACATCAAAGCTGCTGAAACATAATAGCTTTTTCTCGACCTTTAATCTGCATAACTTACTAATTATTCTGTCTATCTAGGCTGGGAAAGGAGGAGAACTTACACATGATGAGACAATGATCATCGCTGGAGCGTTAGATTTAACCGAGAAGGTACATATCAAGTACCAACTCAAAGTTTTTTTGTGAAGAAAGCATGTATCTTAGTTCGTCTTGTCTACTCAAGTTATTTTGGATTTAAAGGCAAAAGTTCAAGTTACCAGTTATGCACTGAATGTAGCATATTCTGTTCAAGAAGCTAATGACACAATATTGTTGTCCCGAGTTGCTCTTAGTGGTCCAATTAGCAGAAGAATGTATTCTTCTTTTCCGATTCTTCTGGTCGTGAAATCTCAAGATCTCGAACTAATGCCTTATTATTCTCTTTTTGAATTTTTTTAACAGACTGCTGAAGAGGCTATGACACCTATAGAATCAACTTTCTCCTTAGATGTCAACTCCAAGTTGGACTGGTAATTAATCTCGTTTTCTGTGCGACATCTATATCCTCTCCTCTTGTCCATCCATCATTTGACATGCATTACTCTGCTTGATCCCCGGAAATGCTGATATACATGCAGGGAGGCAATGGGGAAGGTTCTGGCTAGAGGACATAGCAGAGTTCCTGTCTATTCTGGAAACCCCAAGAATGTCATTGGACTTCTCCTGGTGAGCGAGCTTTCAACAAAAGCTTGAACTATGAAATTTTACCTTCTGACAATCATTATCTTTGCAATTAACCTCTTACTATGCATGGTATTAGGTGAAAAGTCTTCTCACAGTAAGACCTGAAACAGAGACCCCTGTGTCAGTGCTGTCTCAATCCAAAGAATTCCACGGTAATATCTTTTTGATCTATTCCTCTCATGTGTCTCCTTTATATTTTCTTGCTATGAGTATTCAAAAGAGATTCACTCATGACGATTAACATTTCCATTTCCAGGGTACCTTCAGATATGCCACTGTACGATATACTAAACGAGTTTCAGAAGGGAAGTAGCCATATGGCAGCTGTAGTTCGGGCCAAAGGGAAAAGCAAAACTGAGAAACAAGAAGAAAACATAGGAATAGGGAAAGATCAGCTAACGACTCCTTTGCTGTTCAAGGTGGACGAAACACCCGGAACTGTTATTGTGGATATTGATAGGTTTGCAAGTGCAAGGGCAGGGTACGGATTGCCTCAACAATCCGATCAAGATATAGAGGATGGTGAAGTTATTGGTATCATCACTTTAGAGGATGTGTTTGAAGAACTCCTGCAGGTACATATGACCAAAGGCCTGACCCTTCATTGACCAACTAGCTACCCCTGTAACTGTTGGTTTCAGTTGGCCGTTATTTACTTAAAACCATATTTGTGATCTCACTTGACTTTTGCAGGAGGAGATTGTGGACGAAACAGATGAATACGTTGATGTTCATAAAAGGTATCAACATTAATCTTTCTAATTGTTTATTGGAAGCCAAAAAACTTATATGAACCTAATGACTTACATAAACCATAATTCCGTTTGCTTGTTGGATGGCTTTTGCTCAAATTTAATTCTTCCTGTTTCCGCCTATCTTCCAGTTTTTCATGTCGAAAACCATCAATCCAAAATGTTCCAGTTGCGTTTGTGCTGTACTTTGAACTGGAACCTTTTTCATGTTTTCCCTTGTCTGCAGAATTCGCGTTGCTGCTGCTGCAGCTGCATCGTCAGTGGCTCGAGCTCCATCAAGTCGGAGGCTAATAGCAGCCAACAAAGGAGCTGTAAGTGGTCCAAGTCAATCCCGGTTTGGAAATTGAACATAGTTCTGGTAGCTCATTCGTCTCCTTTTCGTGTTTGTTTACGATTTGGTAAAATTAATTCCACAGGCAGGACAGGGGAAGTCCGGGCAAACACCGAGGAAATCGGACCACGACTCGAGTACCCCGAGGCTATTAGGAGGAAGTGCTGATGCTGCTGCAGCAGAACATTATAGAAGCAAGACATCATAACATAGTTGACTAAGCAGAGTGTTGGTTTTGGTCCTGTAATTATTTGAGGCAACGATAATCTAGAGAATGATGGATTCAAGTTGTGTTGTCCTGTGCCCTAAACTAAGCAAAAGAAAGAAGCAAGTTCATTGCAGCGTATCAATATATGTAAATTCAATGTATCAAATTTTGGTTTCCATCATTCGTCAAAATACAAGTGCACTGATATTGCAAGGAATTCCTGCTATACTATTAATGCATGCGTATTGTATTCTATGCACATATCATATGCATGCATAATACGTATGTTATACACGCATGAACGAACTTGTGCAGATCGACCGAAACGTAATTGTTCTTCCCATCTGCTCTGGCTCTCCGGTGATGAACATCAGATGGAATGGAGGTGAAAGGCTTGGAAGCCGCTGAGTCAGTCGTCGTGATCGGAGTCCCAAGTGAGGAGGATGAGGGAGCATTTCCAGATGATGTAGAGGCGAGTCCGCTGCTCCCTCGCCGCCCTTCGCCATGACAGCAATGTTGGAAGCAGCTGCTTCTGCAGCCCCCACGGTCTCATCCATCCCAAGCAATGCCTCCCCTCATGATTGATTAATAACAGAAATTAAGAACAAGAAAGAAGACTGCTTTAATTTCCCAGAACAACTCAGAAAGAGATTTTTTGGAGCTGGGAGAGTATGTATGTTTATAAGTTAGAACAGGTACTAGCAACTGCCAACTATCAAGGTCAGTTCGTTACATATATATATATATAACCCTTCTGCTGAATCCGAGAGAGAGAGAGAGAGAGAGAGAGAGGGAGAGAGTAAAGTAGAGGGCCTACATGGATGGATGAATACAAGAGCAGGGGGGCCTGGGGGGAGAAGATGAAGAAGAAAGGTAGGTGTGTCCTGTTTGACACAACAGCCACCTGGAAAATAATGAGAAACATTTATAGTTTTGTGAGAGAGGGTTTCCTCACCACAGCTTATCTCTAAAAATCCCAAGCCCTACCTTTGTCTCCATTAACTCAAAAAAATTTCTCATGTTAGATAATACATTTAATTATATTATGGTTCCATTAATGTTATAGATACCAACCAGCTGAACTTGGAAACATGCCTGCTGCTGCTGCTGCGACTGTTCAACCATGTATTAAAGCTATAAAGAAAGCTCACTTTTGTCTCCATCCACTCCATATATGATTTGTGTACTCTCAATCTTAGTCGACAAAATAGGAATATATAATATTGGGAAACCAAACCACACGTACAAGGCTGCAGTGTCTCAATCGGTACCACGTATAAGGACCGAAAGGAACACACAAAGTGGTGCAACAAGAAAAGAAGACAAGCTCTAACTTATTACCTACAGTTTGTTGTCTGTAACATCATCTAACAACTAGAAGCTTGCCTTGGTTCTTCAGGAACATTAAGAACACAAAAGTGGTATAACATAACATTCCCTAAGCAGTGATATAACGAAAGTGTATCATTTGTTTTTACTGCAGTTGCAGATGAGGATGATAAGCAAAGTACTGCCTGGTCTGGTGAAATACAAAGGTCCTCTACTAGTTGAGTGTAAGACACAAGAAATTCCAATTGGGGATTTAGGGATTGAGAAGAGAAGAAATTAGGGATTTGGAGAATTGGGGAAGAACAAGAGAGAGAAGAGAGACTAGGGATTGGGTTTTCTGAATTATTATTGCTTAACTTCCAAACTAATGAGCTGTAGGTTTAAGTAGTAAACCGAAATATTCTAAATTACAAATGTGCCATTCCCCTCCCCCTCTTCCTCCTTGGCCGAACCCGACCCTCACTCTACCTCCTCGGTCGGGTTTCCCACATCCCCTCCTTCTTCAGAATCGACATCTGCCTCGAGGTCGAAGTCCGGAAATCTCTGACGAAGCACCTCTGTCTCCTCCCAGGTGGCATCTTCCAGCTCGACATGCTTCCACTGTACCAAACTCTCCTCTATCAATCGTCCGCCCTTCTTGGTCCACCTGGTATCCAGCACCTTGAGAGGAATCAACTCCAAGTCGCCATCTGCTGTCACCGGGGGAGCCGTCACAGTCACCCTGTCCGCCAGGCCCCGATACCTTTTCAACAAGGAAATGTGGAACATCGGGTGTATGCGCGAACCCGCAGGCAGCTGCAACCGATAAGCAACCGGATTGACCTTGTGGACAATCTCGTACGGCCCAAAGAACCTAGCCGCTAGCTTCTGATATGCTCGCCGGAAAACCGAGGACTGCCGGTAGGGATGCAACCTCAGCAGTACCCAGTCTCCCACCTCAAACTCCTCATCTCGCCGCCCCGCATCCTCCGCCCGCTTCATCCGGTTGGTCGCTGCAGCCAAATTGGCTCTCAACTATGCCAATGCTGCGTCTCATGCGCCCAACCACCTGTCCACCGCGTCAACCGAACTCGACCCGCCACGGTACTGCACTAATGCTGGGGGCGGTCTCCCATATAAGGCCTCGAACGGGGTCATTTTGATTGACCGATGAAACGTGGTGTTATACCACAATTCTGCCCAAGGAAGCATGGCCAGCCACTGCTTCGGCTGCTGGTGGGCAAAGCACCTCAGATACTGCTCCAGGTGCTTGTTAACTATATCCGTCTGCCCGTCGGTCTGGGGATGATAGGCCGAGCTCATGCGCAACACCGTCCGTGCCATTGCAAAGACCTCCTGCCAAAACCTGCTCAAGAAAACAGGGTCACGATCACTAAAAATAGACCTAGGAAACCCATGATGTCTCACCACTCCCAATACAAACTGCTCGGCCACCGACTTCGCCGTGTATGGGTGCGCCAACGGCATAAAATGAGCATACTTAGTGAGTCGATCCACTACCACAAACAACACCGTCTTCCCTCCAAAGGGAGGTAACCCCACGATGAAATCCATACTAATGTCCTCCCATACTCGTTCCGGCACCGGCATCGGCTGAAGCAGGCCGGCGGGTCGCAGGTAAGACAACTTCGTTCTCTTGCACGTATCACATGACTCAACATATGCCTTCACAGCCTGTGCCATCCGGGGCCAGTAAAAATGACCTCTGATCCGTCTCAGTGTCCTCTCGGCGCCTGAATGCCCTCCCAACGGAGAGTCATGGAACTCCTGCAGGACTGAGGTGACCAGGTTCGAGCCGGGGGGAAGAACCACGCGACCCTTGAAGGTCACCAATCCCTGTCGAAACAGATAATGCCCCGGGTTGTCGCTCACTGCGATTTCCCGACAATCCTGTAAATACTGACTGGTCTCCATGGACGCCCACAACTCATCCCAGAAATGCGGAACTGGCCCCGACACTGCCGCGAGAACCTCGATTCCCGATCTCCTCGACAATCCATCCGCCACCACATTAGTGGGCCCGGGGCGATAATGGATCTCATAGTCGTAGCCCAGCAGCTTCGACACCCACTTATGTTGATCCGGTGTGGACACCTGCTGCTCGAGAAGGTGCTTCAAACTCTGATGGTCGGTGTAGATGTGAAATTTCTGACCCAAAAGATACGGCCGCCATGTCTGGACCGCGGTAATGATCGCCTGCATCTCCTTCTTGTACGTTGACCAAGCCTCCTTGGAGGGTGCCAGCGTCTTACTCATAAAGGCAATGGGATGGCGGTCCTGAGATAACACCGCCCAGATCCCCCGGCCCGAAGCATCTGCCTCAATAACAAAGGACTTGGAAAAGTACGGCATGGCAAGAGTCGGAGTGGTCGTCATCGCCTGTTTGAGCCGCTGAAAAGCAGTCTCCGCCGCCGGTGACCAAGCGAACCCCCCTTTCTTCAATAGATCAGTCAATGGGCGGGGAAATCATGTTGTACCCCTACACAAACTTCCGATAATAACTTGTCAGACCCAGAAAACCCCGCAACTCAGTCACAGTCGCGGGAACCGGCCAGTCCACCATCGCCTGAATCTTGGACTGGTTCACCTTCACACCCTGTGGAGTCACCATGTGACCCAAATACTCCACCTCCTGCACCCCAAACTCACACTTGGATGCCTTGATATAGTATTGATTCGTCCTCAGTATCTCGAACACTGCCTGCAAGTGCATCAAGTGATCTGCCCAGGAAGGGCTGTAAATCAGAATGTCATCAAAGAAAACCAGGACGTACCGACGTAGAAGAGGCCGAAAGATCTCGTTCATGGCCGTCTGGAAGGTGGAGGGCGCATTACACAACCCAAATGGCATCACCAGGTACTCATAGTGCCCGTTATGAGTGCGAAAAGCTGTCTTATGGACATCCTCCTCCCGCATCCTGATCTGGTGGTACCCCGCCCGTAGGTCCAGCTTAGAGAAATAGCGGGACCCATGAAGCTCGTCAAGCATATCATCCACGGTCGGAATGGGAAAACGGTCCTTCACTGTGGCCTCGTTCAGAGCCCGATAATCCATACAGAAGCGCCAGGTGCTATCCTTCTTCCTTACCAACAAAACCGGCGACGAGAACGGGCTGGTGCTCGGTCGGATCAGGCCCGTGGTCAACATCTACGAGACCTGTCTCTCAATCTCCTCCTTCTGCGAATGCCCATATCTGTACGGTCTCACATTCACTGCCTCCACTCCATCCTTTAGCTGAATCTGATGATCCACCAATCGCTGGTGATGCCTTCTAGAGCTGGTTTTGTGCTTTATTTGTTTTCCAGACTGAGACTCCGTGTTTTGTGATTTCGTTTTGTTTTTTTTTTTTATCTTGGATTGTAGACTTGGTACTCTGAGTCCTATCACCCAGTGTGTGTGTGTTTTTGTTGTCTCTAGCTCTGTGCCTCCTTCTTTTGACTGGTCCGCCATCCAGTCAACGTTCCTGACCACTGTTTCACGGTAACATCGTTCCCCTTCCCTCTGCTCCATTGAGGACATTGTCGCGTTTAAGTGTGGGGGGGGGGGGGGGTTCTTTGTATGAATTGGAACGTATATATGTGTGCTTGGAGCCTAGTCCACTGTCCAAATCTTGAGATTTGAGGGCTCCAAGCGCGGCTGTTTGCTTGATGATTGATCGTATTGGCACTGTGGAGGTGATTAGTGAATTGAATGGCTTTTGACTTGATACATGACAACTTGAGTGTGACTTAGACAACTTATTGTGATGACTGAGATGTGCAGTAGAATTGTGTAGGGGTTCAGTTTTTCAACTGTCTGCTCACTAAATGTGACTTGGTTTGATCACTTGCTTTTGACAGTCATTTATGCATCTAGTTCAGGGAATCAGAACGAGAGATAGAGCATATAGGTAGCCATGTGAGATTTGAGCCTGCTCGTTTCTTTCTTGTGCGATAGTTTCCTCTTCCATGATGTGCAGCATTCACGTTGTCATTAGCTAAGATGATGGAGGCATAGGATTAGCCCACGACCAAATTGACTGTCCTGGTGTGTCATACCCCTAGTCAGCCCCTTTGAGCCGTGTGTTTTCCTTTCTTTCGGTCTTCAATGAAAAGTCACCCTTTTGCATCTTTTAGAAGGTTCCACAGAGTGACTTTTACATGTTCTCTGTTGTTTCTGCTAAATGTAATGTGAGGGTTGGAGGTAGTGCTTAAAAGTTGGGCAGGTGTTTGAAAATGTGCAGAGGCGGTGGTTCTCTTAAGAAATGAAAAATAATGAAAGAAAATCAAAGAAAAAAAAGAAAGCAAAAGAGAGCCACCACCAAAAATCTGAATAATGCCCATGTAGTAGTGTTTCTTAGCAGTCTGGCTTAGAAATACTAGCATTTATGTAACCTCCTTCGCTCTTGTGCTCTGAACTTGAGTAATGCAGAATAGCAGAAAGAAAGTTTTTGGTTTGATTGATTGTGAGTCTGTTGGGTTTGGAAATGTGGAACCTTGTGCTGTATGAATACTTCCACCACCTAAAAGGCCTTTTCCCCATGTCCAAGACCCTAGCCAGTCATCTGAACCTGTGTCTAAGACCTCCGGATTAGTTAGTGATGACACCCCATATGTGAACTCTAGCACTTAGAGGCTGCATTCATGATGAAGAGATGTTAGTGATTGAGAGATTAAGCATGCGCATTTTTCGCATCATATTGTCCTGACCCCACTGGTCGAGAGTGAGCGATTCATTTCCTCTTATTCTCTATACTCTTTATCCCGGTGAGGACCTAGATTGCTCGGTCTTAATTCTGATATCTTGAACTTTGTGAATGACGTGACTGTTTTGAACAAGTGGTAGAGTTAAGTCTATGTTGGTTGGTGAACAGAAGGGAGACTCTTCCTTTGTCCGATTTTACTGCATTCGAATGTCATCTGTGGTGGTTGTCTAGGTTGTCATTGAAGTTGTCCATGTGTTACTGATCGAAAGCCAGTATGACATGTGTTTTGTGCCGATATGACATGCCCTGTTTTGAGCTTACCTTGTGTCTGACTTGGTTTGCTTGGGGACAAGCAAACGGTTAAGTGCGGGGGAATTTGATAACGATGTAATTGCACATATTTGCGCCCCTAGTTCTTATCCGTTTGAGGGGCATAGTCGTGTATTTTTGGCCTATTTTACGTCGGGTTGTGCTATTTTGTCATATTTCAGGTCCCAGGCGTCGAAGGAAAGCTAAGCACAAGTTTCGGGGCATTCGGAAGTCATTTCGTCGAGCTGGAGCCAAAACACGGGCACACCTAAAACAGAACACGGCCGTGTTCTGTGGCCGTGCTTTTACTGCCGAGAGCTAATTGAGTTTGGCAAATTCAAGCGGCAAACACGGGCTGAAAGCACGGCCGTGTCCACCAAAGCACGACCGTGTCCATCATCAAACACGCCCGTGTTTTCACCAACAAGCTGGCCGTGTAATTAAACCTTGCCAAAACACGGGCGGGCTGAGGCATTACACGGCCGTGCCCTTGACCGTGCTTTGGCCACTGATGCCCTTTTAAGCAGATTTCAGCCAAAACATACGGGGATTCGAGTTTTAGAGAGACAGAGCGATTCCTAGAGAGAGAGTGACGAACAAGAGTCTCCAAGTGCCCTAGCTTGATCTTCAACACCATTGGAGGCCAGTTTGAGCTTGAAGAAGTGCCGATCAACGTCCAGAAGCAGGAATCCATCCTTCATAGTATGAATTCCGCGTCTGATTCTGCTTTTGCTTCTTTCTCCATGGAGTAGTTCTCCCATTCATCTGGGTATGGAGAACCCTAGATTTGTATGTTAGGGTTTGATTGTATGAACCCAAGTACTGATTCTATGATTTGATTATATTCGATTGAGGTTTGAATGATTGAATGGCATGAATCCTGATCAAATTCCTGTTGTTTCTGCTTTAACCTAGAATGAGAATATCTGCCTAGGTTGATAGAGCATCCTTGATTGAAGGTAGGGAGTTGGTGACTTTAGTCGAGGAGCCAACTCACTATTCTGTACCGGATTCACTTCGGTAGTGGAGGTTTTGTTCATAGGGCCTCAATCTGTTTACTCCGGTGGAGGTTAGTCGCCCACTGGAGACTCAGATTGAGAGGGTCTGAAGACCTTTAGTCGAGACTTCAGGCTGTTTAAGAACCTTCCGCAGTATAACTGTCATAGAAACTGAACTTGGTAATTACAATCCGGCTTAACTGCAGTCTAGGGGGAACCATATATGGGTGACCTCTCTTAACCTGAATACAACCGTTTACTTGCTTTGTTAGTTTGTTAGTTTAGACTTGCATTAAAGTTTCATTGCTAGATAACAAGAATTCACTGAGTAGTCATCAAATCTAGGACCCGGGTTGACATTTAAACCTAAACCCGCTATACTACGATTTAGGAAGTGGTTTCACTTGGCCAATTCCTGGAGTGACAGTAGAAGTGAGTCAATGGTGGAGGCGATTGAGAACCGTAATCGAGGCGTAGCAAGTGATCGAAGATGATCACTCTCTCGGTCCCTAGGTCGAAGAAAATGGGATAAGCTACAAGGGTAGCTCTTTTGGCCTATTCGACTAAGGGCTACTTAACTCACACTCTCGAATCGGAATTTGGACGGCTAAAGCTTAATCGACCTAGGTGCCTACACAAACAAGAAGGGTTTCCCTACATTAATCTGGCTAGGAGACATGATTTGCCTAAGAAAACCCAGCTTTTCGAGCCTCTTTTACCAAAGGGGGCTTTCTCTCTACCTAGTTTAGAATGACAATTAGATTGGTAGGCAAACACACAAAAACACAATCTTCCATGAAAATACCTCCAAACTCATATTAAAACACACCCACACACAAACAATCATTCCATACATTCATTCACATGGTAGAAGTTAGGGTTCACCAACACCCAAGTGAAAAAGGAAACTACTCCATACTAGGAGAGAGGAAAATACAAAGGGAAAGGAGAAAAACCATCATGGAGATGATTGGATCCTTCCTTGTGCAATGGAGATCTTCCTTTGGGGAAGATTTTTCCCAAATCCTTCATTGGAGTGAAACCCTAGCTTCTTCTCTCTTCTTGCTCATCCCTTTCTCTCTCTAGAAATTTGAAGAAGAAGCTTTCTCACTCAAGGTCTCTCCTCCTCTTTTCTTTCAGCTCAAGCCTCCTTTTATACCCAGAACGGGCTCAAATAACGGTCTTAGTTCACGACTGTGAACTGAAAGCACGGACCGTGAACTAGGGTTAAACCGTGAACTGCCTTTAGTACAGTGAGACTGAAATTCGCTCTGGACACCTGGCGGTTCACGGAGAATGGCTCCTGTTCACGGTCTTAGTGACCGTGAACTCACAGTTCCAGTCGTGATCTGCTGCTTCCCACCTTTGACTTGATTTCTCACCCTTTCGTCCATATTTCGATCCCAGGGTTAGTTTGACCTGCCATAATACGAAAAACACCAAAACAAACCAAAACCCGGCGTAAAACCAAATCTCTCGGAGAGCAAATGCCTCAAACGGCTAAGAAAGCGAGGTAAAAAGATGTACAATTGAGCCCGAATTATTATCATTATAATGTATTGCATACCAAGATGGCAGGATGAACAAAACAACCCGCAAACTAACCTACTCGTCCAACCCGACCCAACCTACCCGTATTTATCGTCAAAATTAAAGTTTAAAGTTGGGTGATAGTTTTTTATTGTACAGCCCACCTCTATTGGGTAGGGTACGGATTTTGGATAACGCAGCCTGTAGAACCCGACCCAACCTATGTTGAACTATTGTCATAAGTCTTCGTATCAAAAACATATTTGTGAGAAAGATAAGCTATCTTGTCATATTTTTCTCTAGTGGTTTCTCTAGTCTAATACATTGTTCAGCTTAATTTCTAGACGTATATTTAATAAAAGCTATGATTCACGTAATACTTTTCTTGTGTACAATTTTAGAATAACAATATATTATGAATATGTTAGCTTATAACCACTTTAGCTTATTTCGACAATTATTTATGAAAAAACTAGACATATGTTTATGTAAATTACATTTCCTTAAAATCCAAACAACATTTGTGCATATTGATACTTTCCTCCTCAATTTATTTGTTTAAAATTTTTATTAATTATATAATATTTTTGTAGTGTAGAATAGTTGCATTTTTTGTGTTGTGTTGGGTTTTTAATTAAAAGTATCTCCAACCCTACTCAACCCAATTTTGAATAAACTATAGGGTTCTAATTTTTTTGGGTGTGGATTTAATACTTTCAAAACCGTAGTATATGGATCTGTAATTAAAATGACCAAACTCAAATCACCCGTCCCATGTACACAAAAATGGTATCTATTTTACATATTATTATTGTAATATAAGTTTATGCATCACCATAGTATACCATGTAAAGAATGCTTTGGTTAACGCATTAGTCCTCAAAATATCTTAGAGCGGATATCATTTTGTATAGTATGATTAATTCAGTTTTATGTTCAAAAATTTTGAAAATGGAAATTAAAACAAATAGAGATATAGTCGTTAAAGTCTTAAGAAAGAGTAAAAAATATATAATCATTAAAATTAAAATTTAATGGAGTAATTGTGCAGGAGTAATTATGTATGGTACTCAATTTTGGAATCACGTAAAAATAATTAGTTGACTACCTCATAGAGATTATCCAAAACATAAAAGAAATAAAGAATAAATGAAAAAAAAAGTGATAGGACTTGATAATGGATAACTCCATCCTTAACAACCAATGCAAATTGCTTTTATTCACTGCAATTGCATGCTTAACAAAAGTGAACAAGAGAAATGAAGAAAGAAAGGACGAGTGAGGCAAATCCAGCTAGGTTTATAATCATCATATCTGAAATTGAACTCTGCATATCCTAACATATAAATTACAAGAATAATATATAATGATATAGTCATGGTTTAACCGGTAGTATAAGATATGATATATTGTTCAAATAATACTTAAATATTATATGATTTTAGGAGAAAAAGAAAAATAAAACAACAACATGTTCCATTTATATGATTAAGGGGGAGAAAAGAGAAAATTATTCAATAGACCTTCCATATTATGCAGTATTTTTAGATCGAATGAAGGGAAATGAAAAGCACGGCCAATAGCAGCCTTAATTAGCGAATAATTAGGAATTAGTGGTTTAACCTTGCTTCACGCTTTCCCCCTCGCCGCCCATGCCATAATCCTTCCTTCCTAATAACCGCCTTTCTCCAACTCTTGCTCGCCCGACATGTGGCCGTCTCTTTCTATCTGCCCCCTTTCTTCTCTCTTTTTTCCTCTAGAAAATCATATTTTGTTACGAACGAACACACATGAATCGGAGAAATTTATTCCAAAATTTTTTTTATGATAGAGGTTGCTAATGATAACTTTCTGCCTGGTTGATTAAGAAAGACATAAATGAAATCGTACGTATGAACCTCTCTATCTATTTGTGAAGGGAGGAGAGCAGCTGCAAGAAGGACATCAACAGTTGCGACGAGTTAGCAATGGCAATTGATGACGTTGACAAGAGAGAGGACGAGATTGAGCTGGAGCTAGGGCTTTCTCTTGGCGGGAATTGCAATACCCGACTGCAGAAATTCATTTCGGTTCAGAAGGAGGCCCATGAGCGGAAATCCATACCTGAGTCGGCTGATTTGGGTTTTGGGGTTCAAGCTTGCACGAGATTTGGAGAATTGTCGGGCTTTATGGGTGCGAATTCTGAGCAGGACATGGATCCCAAGATGAAGCGCGAAATTCACGCAATGAGGAGGCAAGAAGCAAAGAAGAAGAGGGGTGAGAAGCAGTTGAAGATGGCGCTTTCCAAAGGGGAAGCTCACCGCAGCTATCGGATGTTCCTATCCGGCGAATGCTGTTTATTTGAATGGAGTATCTCACCACGATCCGGAGGAGCATAAATGCAAGAGGAGCAAGAGCATCAATTTCAGTGTCGAGCGGTTGGCGTCTACACCACCTACCTTGCAACGACTCTCGAGCCCGACTTCTCTACAATTCAGTGTGCCAACTCACGGGGTTGGGCGAACCGAAAGCAGAGCAATTCCCTGTTGGTTCGTTGGTGGCGGGTTCGAGAGGAATCTAATTCGACCAGTGGCATGCTATGATTTCGGGGCGCCGTTCCATGTGTGTGTTGAACCTTGTCAGGGAGTAACAAACGTGCATGATTCGGAGCAGCACGGTGACGAAGGCGGGTCGAATGAGTCACATGTATATACCTCCTCCATAATTTTGGATTACCGGAGTTCTTCTCATGAAGGTATATTATATTATATGATATTAGATTACTGTTCTTCTAGTTCGTATCCTCGTTCTTCTGATGACAATTTATAGACACTAAACCACCTATTGTCTCCTTTTTTTTTGTGAGGCAGAGTACTAATTGCTAGAGCTAATGATTTTAAAGAACACACACATTCTATGGACTTGGTTAATAATTGGCAATAGATTGCTACATTGCCAACTCTTGAAAGAAAGAGAGGCAAGCTTAATTGTTGCTAGGAGGTTAGCTATTGGCAGCAGATTTTAGCTCCTAGCTAGCTAGAAATAGAGCCTTCCATGGCAGAGCAACTTCTTTCCATTGTATTGAAATGAAATTTTCTTGCTGGTCTAGGATTGGGATTTTGCTTAGGAGTTGAAGCTATATTTGCTAAAAATCAAACTATTTCTAAAATATTTTCTTAGTTTGAAGCCTTTTCCAATATACAGAAGCAAAACAAAACAAATGCAATTTTTGTATAGCAAGTGATTTTGTTCAGTGTATATGGTAATGTTTGGTGAAGCTTTGTTTGTCAATAATAAGATTAACTAAATAGACGATGTACTTAAATTCAGGACGTGGTGGCAGCAGTGAAAGTATAAGCCATTCAATGCTATCAATCCTCGAACAACCGCAATTCAATGGTACTGGGAGCAGCCACATCAAGAGCCAGTCAGAACAGACAGCTACGTCCGATCTCATTGAATCCGCCAGCGAAGAAACAAACTGCATAGAAGCGATCAAATCACCATCGAATGATGCTCAACCTGATGATCCTCACAAACAAAAGGAAGAGTCAAGGTCTGACATAGATGGGATGAATATATCGAGTGTGCAGAATATAGTGACTAGTTTATCAAAGAGGAGCAACCAACAAGTAGGTTGCAATCTTCCCAAAAGCTCAAACCAACATGAGAATGATGTGCACCCGACCTTGCCCTACATGCCATGCGTATTGGCGACAGGAAATGGGCCGAATGGGAAAACCGTGCATGGATTTCTCTACAAGTACACGAAAGGGGAGGTGATCATCATTTGCGTCTGCCATGGAAGCTCCTTCTCTCCAATGGAGTTTGTGCAGCATGCTGGAGGCATAGATGTTTCTCACCCTCTGAAGCATATCACGGTAGTCCCACCTACAATTTGATGTGTTGGCATAACAATGGGGAGTAACTTTGTTTCACTTTCTTGACTCCTTTTTTCCTTCTTTCGAGCCAAACATTTAGCGGGGATGAGAGGGAGATGACTTCTACATGTACATTATATCTTTGGATTGTTGGGGAATCTTCTCATGAAACAGTTGGAGGAGATTCAATTTGCTTTGTTTTTGTTTCTTTTAGTAAACTATCTAACCGCATCAACAATTAGGTCTAAAGGGCTCTGCATTCAGGCTCGAAAGTAAACACATCTCATTTTCTTATACATCAATAGTATGTATAATTGTACATAGATGGCGAGGTAAGTTCAACATGTTGTATTTATAAATATATGTAGACTACATTCATAAATGCCAAGTCACTTAGGACTATGACTAGAAATGACGGTCGTATTCGATCGAACATTATTCGATCGAGCAGTGTGATTCCTTAGTGGAGAAATCCATAGGGTCCTTGCCGCTCATTAGTTCAGGTAAATGCTTCGATGCAAGGTGAGATCTAACGAAATAAAAAATCGACAGCTCGTATGTTCAAGACATCGAGGGATACGTAACTAAAAGACCTAGGAGGAGGCACCTCAGCCCTCCTAAATTGTTTTAACTCAATTGAACCGTGTCTCGCCACTAAAGTAAGGGTTCTGCGAGAGATTTTAGGGAAATATGATCCTGACCTTAGTGCTAGGTAAATTTTGTGTAAGCTACTTGCCAGATCATAAGTAACTATCAATGATTATCTAACAGTTAACCACTGAAACATAAATCACTAATTTTTCGGTGCGATATCCATTTCGATTATGAAAAGGGACTAGTTAGTATAACAACACCTATTTTGTTGTTAGGGTGACAACACTAGTCTCCAACCAATAGGAAGGTAGGATTGTGATGACTTTTTATTAAATAAGTTGACCTTAATATAAAATCACTGAAAGGGCATAATAGTTACTAAAAACAGTCCGCATGTGGCGTGTTCCTCTGTGCAGCACCAAGTTTCATTTAATTTTTTTATAAATACTAATTATTATTGGCCTAATTGAAAAGCAAGCGATTTCCAAAAAAAAAACGAGGGTTTTATGCTTGCAGGCAGCTCTACCCCTCTAACCTCTACACGTAAGTCGTAACTTAAAGATTTCAATTATAAAGGAGCAGAGTAAATAAAATTGGGCAACAATAAATCCAGTTCCGTTTGTGGAGAATAAATCTAACCTAAACCACCATGGATTGGTAAACCAAAATATGTATAAATTTATAGCTTATTTTCTAGCCAACCAATAAGTTGGAATATGAAGTTTTTGTTTTGTTAAAATAACTTGTTGATATCAAATGGTAATGTCATGATGCACTTGAAAATGTTGTGCTTATGATATAATGGTTTTTGTTACGCGAGTTCAATCATCGGTTACTAGTTACTGGAATTTTGTGGTATGTATTGTAAGATTTGTGATTTTTTGTTTTAAGACATTTATGGTATGTTTTCTAGTGTTTTTTATCTACTTTTTGTGGTTTGTTTTTCATTTTTTTTATGCATTTTGATATATGTGGTTTGTTTTATTGTATTTATGGTGTGTATACTTTATGAGAATTGTGGTTTAGTTTCTCATGTTTATGGTATGCTTTGTAGTATTTTGTAGTGTGATTTGTTTTCTCGTATTTATGGTGTGCTTTATGAGACACCAAAAACCTCTTAATGCACACAACAAATCTCCAGAAACACCACAAAGCATACAACAAATTTTTTTAAAGCAAACTAAAAACTTCCTAATGCAATCCACTAATCTCATTAAGCAAACTAGAAACACAGCAAAACAAACCACAAATTTTTTTAAAGCAAACTAAAAACCTCCTAATACAAACAACAAATCTCATTAAGCATACCAGAATCACCGCAAAACAAACCACAAATATTTCCAAAGCAAACCAAAACCCTTCCAATATAACCCACAAATCTTTTGAAGTAGACAAAAAAAACACCACAAATATTTATAAAGCACACCAAAAACTTTCTAAACCATAAATCTTTTGAAGTAGACCAAAAACAACACAACACAAAGCAAACCACAAATATTTATAAAGCACACCAAAAAGCTACTATTCCAAACCAATAATTTATTGAAACAAACCATAAATATGCCCAAAGCTTACCACACATTTCTTAAGCATTGGGTGCAACACTTGACTACACATTGACTAATTTGATCTCAAGAACCCAGAGCTCCACCATATATATCCTGGAAATTCCATTCTTAACATGTAGACAACTCTACCTAATTGATTGTCCTTTCGTAGTTCCCCTTTATATTGTGAATTGGAAGGCTAAGGACTCATAAAAGCTGGGCTCTTGATCCGCTGTAAAAGGAAGAAATGAAGAGATTTCTTCTCTTCTCTAGCTGTGATGGGATTCGATTTAGCAGAGAAAGGAATAGATAGTGGAATGGGTAGGTGAGTTCGCTTCTGGCAGACACTTTGGCTGGTAAATGCATTAATCCTTGTTTTCATCGAAGCTCGAGACACCAACAATTTATAATCGAATTACTCAAACTTTTTCAATTGAGTGTTGATCGTCACTAGAATCTGCAGATGAGAGAACTCTGGAAGGATTTGCAGTGGAGTTCACATCTTCTGTCTGAGAAGTTGGGAACGCTTTGGAGTAGTAGCAGTGGCAAATGAAGGCTTCTAAAGCGGCCGACGAGAGCGTCTCTTTGGGGGAATCAACCTTAATTACGGATCTGACCAGAGATCTGATCATGGCCAGGTTGTCGTGCTTGAGCAACGGAACGGCGGCAGACCCTCAAGCACCCTTATTCCTGTGAGGGCAGCGATCGAGTCGATAGACAAGAATAGGGAGCCATTTGCTCCTTCCAACGTTCAGTGATCATTATTTGCCTTGGATCCAAGGAGGAGGGTACCGGAGGAGAAGACGCCGACGGGGAAGAGAGTTTGGACTTCTGGTACGAGAAGAGATCGAGTGTTTTTGTTTTATTTTTTTGTTTTAATTTGTCCCTTTGTGTTCTTACCTTTTTACCCTTAATGAGATATGATGTTACTATAACAACATCAGAGGTGTTGTTACTTGATTTTTAGTTTTTACCTTACGGGAAAAAAAGATAATTCCTCCCCTCTCGGGTCAATAGCATAAAAGGTTACTTACGTTTGCAGTAACTAACAAATCAGTCACTTACGTTTCAATTTTAACAAATTGGTCACTTACGTTTACACTAACTAACTAACAAGTAGTTCCGTCAACTTTTGTCAACTCTCCATCCAAAATTATCATGTCACCTTGCCATGTCACCAAATAATATATTAAAATAATCAAATTCAAAAACCAAACCAAACCATTCTAAATTTCCAATCCCATAAAACTAACCAACCTAAGTCCCATGTCCTGCCATCGCCGTCCAGCCTCGCCGGACGCTACGGTCGCCGCCGCTGCTTCAGACTTCTCCTCTCTGTGGACTCCCCTGGCGCCAACGTTGTCACCCTCCTTTCTTCAGCCACTATGGCTTCTCTCACTCACGCCAAATCGCTCGGCGATGACAACTCTCTTCCTCCTGCCATCGTCGTGGGCATCTTCTCTTCCTCTCTCCAGCCAGCCGGTCTCCCTTGTCATCCTTTGTTCGCATCCAATCCCAAGCTCGCCTCCTCCCTATTCGAAGAATGAGAACAGAGAAAGGGAAGGTTCTGCTTTTCCCTCTCTTTATGTCCCAAAGGCCAAAACTGATATCCCTTTTCGCAAAAAAAAAAAAAAAAAACAAAAACAAAATCCCTAAAAACATAGAGTAGATCCACCTATCACAAACAATTGGGATCTTAGCTCTCAAAAAGAACAAAAAAACCTAAAAAATGACTGCTCCCTCTCTGTATTTGTTGAGTTCCAATTACTTGGCCTTCTTCAATTCAAGAAAATGAAAGGGAGAATTAGAGTGAGAAAGAGAGACAGCCAATGCGTGAAGGGGAGATAGAGTGGGTGTGGCGTGTGGGGCTGGGGGGGGGGGGGGGGGGGGGCTCTGTTAGGTTGGTTAGTTTTATGGGTTTGAAAATTTAGATTGGTTGGGTTGGGTTGGGTTTGAATTTAATTATTTTAATATATTGTTTGGTGTAGGGGTGGGCAACGGGAAACAGGTATTTGGGTATACCCGTACCCGTCCCGTTTTTTAAGGGTTACGGGTACCCATATTACCCGTAATATTATGAACGGATGGGACTTGGGATTGTACATTCCTAATATGGGTACCCGCGGGTTACCCGCAAATACCCGTTTGGGTAATGTGGGTACCCGTTTTACCCATTTGCGAACTCTAATCCATAGAAAGGGAATGTCCACTTCGCCACAAAGATGAAACTTTTCTTAGTAAAGAAACAAAGAACGCTATGTGAACATAATACTTGTAGACTCCCTTTTGTTAAATGGAACTTCTTATTTGATAATTTGGCGCTTAGAATGATTTATTTCCATGCGTTGTGATTTGTTCATGATTTGTGTTGAATGAAACTTCTTATTTGATAATTTGGTGCATAGAATGATTTTTTCTATGCGTTGTGATTGTTCATGATTTGTGTCTTGTGATTGTTAAGCAAGTACAAGTTAAGTTTAAACTTTTGTTAAAATTTGAGTGGTTTAAACTTTGGGTATTTATGGGTAGTATGGGTACCCGTTATTCGTCCCGTACGGGTAATGGGTACCCGTTTCCCATATGGGTTTGGGATATGGGATGGACTTTGGCCTCCAAATGAGACTGGGTACCCGTTTAAAACGGGACGGGTATCCCGTCCCGTCCCGTTTCCCACCCCTAGTTTGGTGACATGGCAAGGTGACATGACAATTTTGGATGGAGAGTTGACACATATTGACGGAATTACTAGTTCGTTAGTTAGCGAAAACGTAAGTGACCGATTTGTTAAAATTGAAACGTAAGTTCCCGATTTGTTAGTTACTGCTAGGGCTGCAAATGAGCCGAGCTGCTCGCGAGCGGCTCGGCGTTCGACTCGAGAAAAGCTCGTTCGAAACTCGACTCGTTAATAAACGAGCCGAACACGAGCTCACATTTGTTCAGCTCGTGAAGCTCGCGAGCTAGCTCGACTTGGTGGCTTGTTGAGCTAAATTCGTGAGCTAGCTCGTTTAGAGCTCATGATATGTCTTAACATGTAGCTAGAAAGCCAACTCGATTACCAACTTATGGACGAATCAATCTATATATTATGATTTTAGTTCATATGGTTGTTAAATTATATATTTAACCATATATAAAGTTTAGCACATTGAGTATGTGAGCAAATATATCTTATTTTCTACTTTAAAAAAAAATTATGCATCATAGATTGCTTCGATACTATGAAATAACATGATTTGGAGTAGTTAAAATTTATTAACTAAATGATATATGATACCAACAAAGTATAATTTGAAATTAGCTAACAAAATAAATCATATGTATCATGATATACAAAATGAAGTACCAAATAAAAGTTAAAGATTTTAATAAACAAGCTAGCTCGAACTCGACTCGGCTCGTTAATAAATAAGCTGAGCTCGACTCATTTATTAACGAGCCGAGCTCAAACTGGAGTAAAACTCGACTCGACTCGACTTATTTGCAACCCTTAGTTTCTGCGAACGTAAGTGACCTTTTATGCTATTGACCCCTCCCCTCTCCCTTTCACTCACTGGCCGTCTCTTTTCCCTCGTCCTCGAGCTTCGCCAACCAAGATCCGCAGCAAAACCCTAGAAACCGCTATTTCACCCCCACCGCCGAGGTGAGAGAAAGCGCCATTGCCACCGGCCAAGCTGCACCCTCCGCCACCTTTCTCTCACCTCTCTTTCTCTCTCGCACGCTCGCAGCCGGACCTCTATACGATCCGAATCTCTCAACCTCCCTCAGGTACTGCCTCTTGTCTCTTTTTCTTTCTCCATCATTTCGGCACTTTCTTTTGTTTCCATGCTCTCGTATCTGTTCTCTTCGCTCCGCTTCTGGTAGGAGCTAATTTCCCGATGAGTGAAATTGTTTTCTCGTCAAACTACCTACTGCTCTGAGTGTTGCCCCCCTCTTTGTAAGATTTGAAAGTGTCTGCTCTGTCTTCGAGTTTTTGTGGTTGGCCGTTATTTCTCTGTTACATTTGTTCGATCGCGAAATGTTCTTTTAGGGTTTGGTGGGAGTGATTTGTATATGAAATGAAGCATTGCGAGTCTAACTAGCTGTTGTAATTTTGCTCGCTATTGCTTATCAGAGATTCGCAGTAGGATGGCAGCTACCGTAGCACCCATGCAGCATCCCACAATTCCTCTTGCCGATGTAGTATGTTTCGTGATTCTTTCAACTCTAACTAGGGATTTTGTCTTCTGTTAGCCACATGCCTTCTGCTTTGTTGTTCCCCCAAGTATTGAAGAATCAAAGTGATTGCCAGATGATGATTTGGGGATAATTTTGCGCAAGGGCTTTGAGTTCCATAAAAATGGAGCGAATGAGAATGAATCCTACCAAAATAGTCTTCCTGATGGCAAATTGATCGTTGAGAGACATTTTTTTTGTGTGCTTACCATTCCTTCATGTTTCTTCATCTCGTCGCTCTTTATGCTGTATTGCTGTTAGGTTATGGCTTTCTTTTTTCAACTGGTTAGATGCATCCTTGGTCCAGGATATCCGAATGATGACTGGCTAGTCTACCCTCACATCTCCTTGAATCAGAAACTGTAACTTTATGCTGACATTTGGAAAACTTACCAATTCCCAGGACAAAGGCGCACCCTTTTCTCCAATGAAGCATATTTTCAAGATTATTTCACTGCTTGCTGCCATTTCTGCCTTCTGGGTTGGCCTCTTGCAGGCATCAATAATTCCGCGTACACATACTTGGTTGGTAAGTGGGAGTTGCTATATGCCACACTTGCTCCGTTCTCTTGTTTTTCTAGCCTTTGAGGGGGTATAAATTTATACTTCGTCCGTATGCATGTTTTTGGGGATCTAATAAATGAATACTCCTATTATGTAGTCATTTTTCCATACTGGAATAGATGAATCTTCTTGAACTTCTTATGATGATCTTAACTTAGAACATCTATAACTTAGATAATTAAATTGTATGCGATACATTTAAATATATTGCACAGAAGAGATGAGAGGATTTCTGTACTTGATTATTCAGGGCAGCTGGTCACGTTAACTGGGCTGCAACTCATGGCTGCTATGCAGACCCCAAGGGATCGGCCTAGTAGTTAAGACAATGCAGATATCCGAATCACCTGAGTTTGAAGTCTAGAGCCAACATCACATGTCATAGTGGAAGGAAATAACTTGCCTACTTAGTTGTTTGAATTGACTTTGAATAGAGGACTGAACTTAGATTTGGTTGAATCCTATTCTGAAGAAATGGAGGCAAACGATCAGAGTGTTACCAGATTGATGATCTAGGATGGAGGAATTACTCTCCAGTGATGATTGACAACTAATAATGTACTAACATATTTGCTGACATCTCCTGAATTTGGCTGCAGCTGCCAATCTATCTTGTTGTGTCATTGGGGTGCTATGGCTTGCTGATGGTTGGAGTTGGGTTAATGCAATTTCCAACTTGCCCTCAAGAAGCAGTGCTGTTACAGCAGGTAATGTCCGCTTGTGCTAACTATTTGGATTGTTAAGATTGCAATCACACGCCCCTCTTGATCTGATGATTTCCAACAAAGTTGTTTCCTCTTTTATCCTACTGGAAGTTCTAGGATCTCAAACAGTTACCAGCCATATTCATATACTCTCTTGCACTGATTTGCCTATAGCTCTCAATTTGCAGATTGTGTGTTGACAGTGCTGACATGTCTTAGGATACTGCAGCCAAAATTGTTAAATGAATTGAGTTCCTTTCAGAAGGCATAAACCATGAAAACTTGTAGAGTAACTGACTTGTTATTTCTTCTTGTAGGACATTGCTGAGGCAAAAGGATTTCTTAAGGATAAAGGAGTTGATGTCGGGTCAGATTGATGAATCTTCATGATCCTGAACGGTAAAAAGTTTTGGCAGAAAATCAAGTTGTCATTGAAATGTCAACAAGGTTGCTGAATTTGTCTTCTGCGTACACGCTCTCCGTTAGTGTAACTTTAGTTTCAGCTAATTAAAGGGCTTAGGGGTTGTTTGCATGAGTCATTTGTTCAAATGTAATTGTTTTTGTGTGTAAAATGTGGCACACTATAAGGGCGCTCTTGCCTGACACTTAAATTAAACCTTAAATTAAACGAATGTGAGCAATGCCCATAGTATCATACAAGATTAAAAAATATAGGTCTGTATCCGAGCTATCAAACATAAGCAAATCATAGTTATACAAATTATCCTTATCGACCAAGTAATTTGTTGCCTTGTACATTCTCTATACGTACGAGAGATTTTTAGCTCCCATCTTCTATAAATAAGCTCCTGGAATTGTTGGACTCGGTTGTAATAGCTAGAGGTGTCAATCGGGCGGGTTCGGGCTGTGTTCATTCGGGTTGTGGGTTGGTTGGGTTGCGGATCAATTGGGTTGCGGGTTCATCGGGTTCGGGTTGATCGGGTTGTGGGTTACTCGGGTTATAGGTCAATTGGGTTGCGGGTCAATTGAGTTACGGGTCAATCGGGCTGTGGGCCAATCGGGTTACGGGTCGGGCGGTTCCGGTTGCGGGTTTTACGGACCAAAACATCGCGTTAAGTTTTAGTGATTACTAGTAAGTTGTAAATCGTAACTATATGAAGCTAGCACAATACTTGTAAAAAAAAAAGGAATCGCTACTCAAAGTCAAAGACTCAAAGGTGGGGGGAAACAAAATTTTGGGGAAACATTATAGGGGGAATTATTGGCGGGTCTCGGCAGGCGGGGGGAATCAAATTTTTTGGCAGTAGTATTGGGGGAACCCAAAATTTGGAGAGAAAAGTTTAAAAATATTTTTTTAATTTTTTAAAAACAAGTGAAATTGTTGGTTTAGCTAGTTAATTGTTTATATGATTTTTGTATTAAACTAAATTATAAAATTTAGAAAAATTGTTGTGAGTTCAGTTGTAACTTTACTCGATAACATATAATCTAAACTCTAAATAGTCTATACCCTGAACCCCAAATGGTTTTATTCATGAACATGTGTTAATAAATAACTTGATCCTTATTATTTATCATTTTGATTAATCTTGGCTAAACCATTAATAGTTTAATACCTTAACCCTAACCCATTACCCTATACGTCGACTCTATATCATATACCCTAAACCCCCAATGCTTTTATTGATGAACATATGTTAACAAAAAAAACTTGATCCGTATTAGTTATGATTTTGACTAATCCCTGTTCGTGTCGCAACCCTAAATCGAGAGAGTAAAGCACCCTTGACCGCCGCCTCTTCCCTCCAGTGTTATCGCCGCTTCTTCCTTCCGCCGGTCGTGAGTACTATTACACTACAGGAAAACTGGTTTTCAGTCACGGTATCTTATTCACGGTAGTGTTTCCTGTACTTAGAGGTATGCTACTAAGCACGGTAAAATTTCCCGTAATTAATTCTATAGTTCCAATCACGGGAATTAATTTACCTATTTTTAATCTTCACTTCATTACAAAAAAAACAAGTTTCTAGTCACGAGATCTTATTTACGGGAACCTTTCCCATATTAAAAAGTATACTAAATGTTACGGTAAAATTTCTCGTATGTAATTATATAATTCCAATCACGGTAATTTATTAATATGATTTTGAATCTTTATTTACCGTGATTAATAGTTAGGCTCCAACCAAAATTCATTTGGTCAAAAAATTCATTTGATCCAAATTTTGGCATCAACCAAAATTATTTGGCTCCAAAGTTTCCCACCGCCCAAAATTCATTTTCAGTTTTTTGCTCAAAGTTTCCCACCGTTCAAAGTTTTCCACCGCCCAAAATTATTTGGCTCCAAAGTTTCCCACCGCTTCAGGACACAAAGGGAAAAGCAGACCGGGAAGAGGAGGAAAAGGGAAAGACAGAAGGCGTACTGTGAGGGTTCAGAGGGGTTGAGGCATATTGTTTGGTTGATTGAGGTAATTCATGATTTCTTTCCTGTTATGATCGTCATTTGGAATGTCAATTTGTTTTTTTGACATGTTTTTATTGATATTTGAGGTCTTGAGACAATATGAACTATCATGAGTCATGTATTCTTGTTATGATCAGACTTTTGTGAACTATTATTAATCTTTTTTATGACAGGACCATGATGTTTGGATTTTAAATCTAATTATTATCTTATTATGCTAAATTAATATTTTATAATGTTATGTGCACTATTAGGTTGATGATGTATCTAAATAAATTTTTGATGATATTATATGCGTTAATAGGTTGATGATGTATATTATTATACTAAGTTAATAATTGATGATGTAATGATCGGACTTTAGTGAACTAGAATTTCAAATGTCAACTTTTGGTTTATCTTCATCGAATTCCTTCTATTATAGTCGGGCTGCGGGTTGGTCGGGTTACGAGTTCGGGTTAGTCGGGTTGCGGGTTAATCGGGTTGCGGGTTGGTCGGGTTGCGGGTTGGTCGGGTTGTGGGTCGGGCGGGTTACGTGTCATTGACTTTTAGTCAAATCGGGTTGCAGGTGGGTTGCGGATCGGGTTGATCGGGGGGGTTACTCAGGTCGGGTTACATTTTGACAGCTCTAGTAATACCTATGATCTTCTTGGTCTTATGATGTGAAGATGTGGAATGTTGTCATGGAGTCCATTTTGAGGTGAACTCACATGATTGTCAATCTGCGGGTTGATCCTTCGGTTGATCCATTTTGACCCTAACTCGGTGACAAAAAATGGGCCACATACCCACCGGGTCGACCCGTTGTAAGATTACCAGATTGGAGTATACACGTTTTCGTTTTTTCTTTTGATTTGCTACATGTGTATATGTGCTGGATTCCTTTTGATTTGCTATGTGTCTATATGTTGGATCCAAATATGAAATGTTATTTTTATCATTTTATGTAATGCTATTGTTATTACTCAAATAAGATTTTATATGATTTATAAATGTATGAACAATATAATGATTTTTTTTCATATATCCGGACTAAAATAGTTGAGTTATTAATACTCAACCTACTTATTCTGACTGTGCTAACGGGTTAAATTGGGTTGACAAGAGATAAATCCCATCCAAGCTATATGCAAATCCATTTACGGCCCCCTTAATTTATTCTCTCGTGATAGTGCAGGTTGATGGGTTGGGCAGAAAAGCTTTTAAGCATTTTGCCTTGAGGATCTTGAAGTAATCCCTCTGCTGCCACTATTGACCAGGGTTACTTCTCAGATCCATCCGTTTGGAGTTGGACATTAGACCAACAATATTTCGGTGGCACTTTGTAGTTTGTTGACATCAAAATATTTTCCCCTTTGAAGTACTACTTGGGTGTAGGGATAGCAATTTTGACCTGATTTGTTTTATCCGATTTATTTGACCTGTTTTGGGGCGGGACCGACAATGGTACTCTCATCGACCCGATCTTGCCTGACCCATCTCATTCTCGACCCGTTCTTGCCTAAATTACATGTATTATTAGTCAAGTTACTTATGATTTTTCTTTTATTACATTATATTTTAGCTATAATAAAGTTCTAAATTAGTGAAAACCTCAATTTCTCGAATAATTTAATCACATTTATCATAATATGGTTTGTTTTCTTGGTATTTTAATGAAATTAATGAATATTTCTAATGTTTTACTTATAAATTGCATATCCATTGGGTCGACCTGCCCCAACCAGTGACCCATGATAACTTATCCGAGCCACGAGGCGTGTATGAGTATCGTGATACCCGCTCCGAACCTGCCCCATTGTGATTCCTACTTGGGTGACCATCCAGTACTTGGTTACCATGTGTCTAGTCCCAAGGATACCATCCAACCTCAAAGTGGATGGTATCATTTCATATAGTGGTGTCCATCCAACCTCTTAGTGGATGGTGACCATCCCACATTATGGATACCATCCAACCTCTAAGTGGATGATATCATCCCATATAGTGGACACCATCCAACCTCTTCGTGAATGGTGATCATCTCACATTATGGTTACCACCAACATTTAGATGGATGATACCATCCCAAATATTATGGCTATGGTACCGTCTCATATAGTGGACACCATCCAACCTCTTAGTGGATAGTGCCCATCACACATCATGAATACCATCCAATCCTACGGTGGATGATATCATCCCAATCCCAAAGTGGATGGTATTATACCTCATTCATGGATACTGTCAGAACAGAAGCGTGCAATCGAAAATCCAAACCAACATGAACGAACAAAAATTTAACGTGGTTCACTAACACAATGTGTGCTAGCTAATCCACGGACAGGGGGACAAATTTCACTAATTTGAGGAGAGTATATGTTATAAACCAGATTCCAAACGGACAAACCAAACAAACTAACCTGACTGACCTTAGTACAGACTAGGGAGATGAAGAGTATTTATAGAACTCTTCTCCTAATCCCAAACAGAAAACCAAACACCTTTTCCCAAACATACAAGGAAAAGGCCAAAACAAAGTCCAAACACAAACCCAAACAAAATAGGCCCAAAACACAAAGCAAACCCAAATCAAATTCAAGTCATATTCTAACAATCTCAACCTTGACTTGAATTCTCTCTCAAATACCAAATGTACCAGACGCAACCAAGGTTGCCAGATGTACCTAGACGCGATCCATATCGCCAAACTCAAACGCGATGCAAATCGCCAAACTCAAACGCAATCAGAAAATTGCAAACGTAGTAACTCCTCCAAATCAGCTGTACCAGAATCTCCCCCGCCTCCAAATGCCCCTAAGGGCGGTCAACAACTCAAACCATTCGGCAAGTCGAATCCATATTGATACTTGCCATTCAGAACCAACTTGCTGCACTTATCACCAACAAAACATGTCAAAACAGAACCTTGTAGATTATACAAGGCACCACGCTTGACACCTTTCAAAATCACCTTAGAACCCTTGTAGACAGACAACACTCCACCTTCACCTTTGAAACTGAAACCCTTGCTGTCGAGTAGACTCAAAGATATCAGATTCTTAGTCATCTCTGGAATATGCCTAACATTGTTCAAGGTGCGAACAAAACCATCATGTGTCCTCATCCTGACGGAGCCTCTTCCAACAATCTTACAGATAGCACCATTGGCCATAGAAACATGTCCTCCATCTATCTGCTCATAAGTTGAAAAACACTCCTGCTTGGACACATATGATAATCAGCTGCAGTATCTAAATACCACACATCCTGATGATGTACCTGTTCATTCACTGCTAAGGCTAAACCATCTTCAGAATCAGAGTTAGTTTCTTCCACCACAGCAGCAGATGATTCCTTCTTCTCATGATATTTCTTCTGTTTAGGACAATCAAATTTCCAATGTCCTTTCTCCTTGCAGTAATGACAAATATCATCCTTCAAACCAGCAGATTTCGAATTTGTATTCGCCTTCCTATTACCAGATTGTTGTCTCCTACTACTCGTAGCAGCCAACCCAGATGCCTGATTTTCCAAACTTGAACCAGATGCCTTATGTCGAACCTCTCTAGTATGTAGAGCAGATATGACATCTTCCAAAGGCAAACTATCTTTCCCAGCAATAAAAGAATCCACAAAATTCTCATATGACTGTGGCAAAGATACTAACAGAATTAAGGTAGCATCCTCATCATCTATTTTAACATCAATATTCCGAAGATCTAGCAAGATAGTATTGAGTTGATCTAGATGATTCCTGAGAGACGTACCTTCCTCCATACGCAAACTGAACAAACGTTGCTTCATATGCAACTTGTTGGTTAAAGACTTTGTCATGTATAGACTTTCAAGCTTCAACCACAAACCCGCAACAGTCTTCTCAGCAGCAACCTCAGTGATGATGTCATCAGCCAAACAAAGCAAGATTGTAGAGTGAGCTTTCTCCTCCAAAGTAATCCACTCTTCTTTATCTATACTTTCCTTCTTCGATTTTCCAGACAACGGAGCCCACAAACCCTGTTGTTTCAACAGTGCTTGCATCTTGATCTGCCACAAACTGAAACTATTTCTTTCGGTAAACTTCTCAATCTTCATACTGATAGCAGCCATTCTTACTATCAAACAAACTCCAACCAAACTCCACAAAGCAAAACTTCAGTCCAGCGCCAAATTCCCAAAACCGCAACCAAAGGCTCTGATACCACTTGTCAGAACAGAAGCATGCAATCGATAATCCAAACCAACACGAACGAACACAAATTTAACGTGGTTCACTAACACAATGTGTGCTAGCTAATCCACGGGCAGGGGGGCAAATTTCACTAATTTGAGGAGAGTACAGGTTACAAACCAAATTCCAAACGGACAAACCAAACAAACTAACCTGACTGACCTTACTACAGACTAGGGTGATGAAGAGTATTTATAGAAATCTTCTCCTAATCCCAAACAGAAAACCAAACACCTTTTCCCAAACATACAAGGAAAAGGCCAAAACAAAGTCCAAACACAAACCCAAAACAAATAGGCCCAAAACACAAAACAAACCCAAATCAAATTCAAGTCATATTCTAACAGATACCAACTAGATGGTACCAATCAGGTTGAAGTATGGTAACCATCCAATGTTATGGTTACCATCCAATCCAAAGTGACGACGTGGTGGATGAATGTTATGATATGATCACATGTCCATAGAAATATGGCAACTGACTAGCGTAGAAATTAAGCGGAGCTACTTTTCGGGAGGAGGAGGAGAGAGAGAGCAATTGGATAACTCTGGCAACAAAACTTGAAGCAACCTTCTGGAGCAAGAAGACAAGGACAACCCAAGAGATAGAAAACTTGTCTCAACTTACCCTTTTTCCTTTTTCTCTATAGTTTGCAGAGCTCTCTTCCATGAGCGATCCTCCATAGCAGTAGTTTTAGTTGTAGTCACAGATCTCTTAAGGAATCACTATAGGAGTAGTGTAAGGTAAAGTAGATTCTCAATACACCAAATACCCTCGTCCGAACAGTGTTTGAGGAGGTGTGGACTGCAGTAACAATAGTCATTTTCATAGAAGTTAGGCGCAACACATCCACTCGCTTTTACACAAAAATTAAATTGTCACACCTGGTGGGACATGTGTGTTTGGTATGGCTTCGCGATATAGGCAGCAAGAAGATGATCTTCTACAAGGTATTGTGAAGGAGGAGAAGTTTGTCAATGTTGAAAGTGACCAAGTTGGAGGGACTTCAGGCAACACTGTTGGAACAGCGGTGTCACCCTTGGCGCCAAACGCAGATCCAGGTGAAGCAATGCCCTCACTTCGTCGAAGGATGGAGGAGATTCAACAAATGGTGGTTTGACTTTGTAGAATCGACCAATAGGTAAATCTTTACATTGCCTCTATATATCGACATTTTGATCATCTCGAACAAAGCTTTGATAAAGATTGTGATATGATGATTGATAGATATGTTTGTGATATTGAAATGTAAAAGTATGAAATTATGCATGATGCATCCATTGTATCAGAAAAAATCTTGTTGTAGAGCGACAAAGATTTGGTGGATGAAAAAATTGAAACAGTAAGCACTGCCCAAGTTTGTGGTTGAGGCAATCACCCACAATTGGTTGATGAGAAAGTTGGGTATCTTGCCATTTTGATGGACAGTCCACAATATCATGATAAAAGTAGTGGTCAATCCAACTTGTTGTGCTTGACTGGTAAAAAAGTTAAAGAACCTGCATATGCCGTTGACAGAATTGGTAGTGGCTTAGATAATATCAATAAGGCTCGCCCCCTTCTTTGGATTCAACACCGTTGCTTAAAGCAAGCAATGCAAAAGTGTCTTGTTCTGGTAACACCATTGTTTGCCTGCCTCAAAAGTTGGGTATTACTTGCATAAGCCATTAGAAAAAGTATGTGTGAATGTCCTTATAGCAAGATTGAAAGTGGAAAATGTGGCAAGCAACTCATCTGTGAACACATTGAAAATGATAAGCCCAAGGGGGAACTTGCCAATAATGATCCAGTTAAACTGCCAGGGGGTCATGCCATCCCATTTATTGGCAGGATGAATAATTTTTCAAATTTTATCAAGTCAGGAGATGTTGCAACGATGGTTACCGAAAACACTTCTCATCATAATGATGGTGACATATGCCAAAATTCAAAGCCAAAAAGGTTGGTCTACCTATATGTGATCATTTATTGGACAATTTTTCAAAGTCTCCAACGAGATGACTAATTAGTGTTCCAAAGTTTAGAGAGGGGGGCATGCCACCAACCAATAAAGATATATTGGGGGCATGTCAACAAAAATGATGGACATGGTGGCATGCACAAGAAGCCTCAATATGCACCAACGAAACTTGATGAAACAAAGAATCAAAGGTGGTTGTGGGCTAAGTGTAGGAGTCAACAAGACTTTGGGATCTGGATACAAAGAAAAATGAGCCATGTAGGTGGCAAAGGACTTGTAAAGTCTAAGTATCCATCCCCTCAAAGTTATGTGAAGAGTAGACATGAATTAGTTTGGGAAAAATCAACGCAAAGAGGTGTTCGTCGTTTCCCTTCTCACCCAAAAGAACTGGGAATGCATGGTGTGCCTCATAGAACGACTTATAATAACATGAATCGATGGCACAAATAATAAAAAACTAGTTGGGTAACTCGAGAACATAAGAAAGAGGCAACAAGCACGCGTGTCAAAAACCATGAATTGTAACGTGACATGAAGATGGAGTATGCCACTCCGGTGTGTACATCTCATTTGAAAAGAGGAAGCCACGTGATGTATGGATGTCTTGTATGGTTTGACCAATGGAATTGGCAGTGAGTGAATACATATCGATCCTTAGTTACTGCTAAGGGATATGGCAAGTGGTGATTGACTTGCTTAAACACAAGTCCTAAAAATGGCCAAGTGTAACCAATGAAAGAGACTTCAGTATAGTCGCACAAGTAATAAATATCGAATCCACAAGTCTCTAGAGTTACTATTACTCAGCTTTAGTCCATTATCTAGCAAACCAGATTGAGGTTTGATTAACTAAACTAATCTATTAGCTAAACTAGGTAAACCTACTAATTACAGGTTGGGAACTCACTTAGGTATGATTCCCCCTAGTCTGCAGTTAGGCCAAGTTGTACTTCACCCAATCTAATTCAGTTGACAAATATATCTAGGAAAGTTCTTAACTGGCCTGGACTCTCGACTTAAGTTATACAGACCCTCTCGGTTCGAATACCCGGCGAGCAACTAACCTCCACCGCCGTAAGCTAACCAAGGTA